CGATAACGTCTTTTTTCTCCCAACTTCCTCATGTTCGCGCATCGGTATGCTCTCTGCCCTTCGGTCTATTGCGCATCGTCGAGCAATGGATCCTCTCATAGCTGTCGTCGGTGCTACAGGGACAGGCAAGTCCAAGGTAGGAAACCGAACACCCCCACTTCCACACGCTGTGACTGATAAGTATAGATAGCTTGCGGTGGACTTGGCCTCTCGATTCAATGGCGAAATCATCAATGGTGATGCGATGCAGATGTATCGCGGTCTACCAATTATTACGAACCAAATCCCGGTCGATGAACGAAACGGCATCCCCCACCACCTACTCAGCTGCATTGATCTCGACGCCGAGGCATGGCGCATAGGAAACTTCAAACGAGAAGCACTACGACTTATCGAAGATATCCGGTCGCGTGGCAAGCTACCAATTCTTGTTGGCGGCACACACTATTACACCCAAGCGGTGCTGTTTAAAGACCAGCTCGTAGGCGAGGGAGCGGACGAAGAAGGCGAACCGGAACCAGGAAAAGAGCTCGAGTCGACCTCGCAGAAATGGCCGATTCTGGACGCGGAGCCTGAAATCATGCTGGAAAAGTTGCGCGAGGTAGACCCGGTCATGGCTGCCCGATGGCACCCTAGAGATGGGCGGAAAATCCGGCGGTCATTGGAGATCTACCTAAAGACAGGGCGGCCAGCCTCAGAAATCTATAAAAAGCAGATGTCGCAGAAGGAAGAAGCCGTGCAGAAGGAGGAGGGTCTACTTCGATTTAATACGTTGGTCTTTTGGGTCCATGCCGAAAAAAAGATCCTCAATGCGCGCCTGGACGCGCGCGTCGATGATATGATCGAGCAGGGCCTGATGTCCGAGGCGCAGAAAATGTCGGACTATATACATGAGAAACAATCCCAGGGTGTCGAAGTCGACCAAACGCGGGGAGTTTGGGTTTCTATTGGATTCAAAGAACTGGCGCCCTACTTTGAGGCTGTTCGGAATGGAGATCTTAGCGAGAAAGAGCTTGAAAATCTCAGACGGACATCTCTTGAATCGATTCGAACTGCCACCCGACAATACGGAACTTCTCAAGTCAAATGGATTCGCAATAAACTGTGGCGCGCACTTTCAGAATCTGGAAAGACACGTTGTCTGTACCTTTTGGACAGCTCCAATGTGAGTGAGTGGAAGAACTGCATCACCGAACCATCGGAGCAGCTTGTTCAAAAGCTGCTCCAAAACGAGCCCACGCCAGATCCCAAATCTCTTTCTGAGCTGGCGACGGCTGAGTTCAGTGCGAAGGAAGCACAGGGCCGAGTAAAGGCCCAGACAGAGATTCTGAAGTGCTACACCTGCGACCACTGCAAAAAGACAATGTCTGGCGAGGACCAGTGGAACATCCATATCAATGGACATCCCCACAGAAGGGTGCTCAGGGCTGCAAAGAAGAAAGCACAGCGCGATGTTTATTTCCGACAGAAAGAAATGGAAGAGAAGCAGAGTCAGATTTTCAAACCTGACTCATGATTATTGCATTGCATGGGCGGACCGTGGATAGATTAGCGACTGTTGATAGAAATACCCAATTCAAGGAATAACCGATTCTCCTGCAGGTGAAATTGGCGAAACATTTATAATACAGCTTTCAAAGCAGATTAGGCAGACGAAATGCCTCACTGTCTTTGTCTAATTCAAGTTGAAAATTAGTTCCCGCGAGTAAAAGTACTAATAATACATGAAAGCCCAATTATGACTCCATAGACCCTGTGGCCGTTCGCCAGGCTTTGAACGCAGGCGAAAGGATATCACCGTGTCCCTGCTCCTCAACCTGGAAAACTTCAATGACCGAGGATTTCTCCTGTTTTCGAATCCTCCACGTCCCCTCACGGTTGATGGTCTGTTTGAGCCCTGAGAAACATGTCAGTAATGCTATGATTCCCACCGAAGAGGAAATACTCACAGTCCAAGAATGCACCGGCGAAGTTGATACAGATGTTCCCATCCCAGGAGCGCTTGCCGACACTCAGCACTTTTCCTGGAATGCTGGCCGTATCCAGTTCTTCAAGACTATGGCAGATACCATTTTGATCACGGAATCCCACGATGATTTTGGGCACACCCAGCAAGAAAGATTGAGCCCAGAACTTGAGCAGTTTACGCTCATACTTGAGCATGTCGCGGTCATTGCGGATTTGAGCCGATGTCTTTAGTTCGACCCAGTTTATGGGTGCTCCTTCTTGTGATGGTTTGCAATCCCAGACTTAACGATGTCAGTACTAACGATGCTGTGTGTTATAAGGGATAGAATAGACATACTGGCATCTACCTCGCCGCCGAGAACCATGCGCGTATTCCCAATTCCGGTGCGGACGACGGAACAATACTGTGCGGCGTTGTTGACGATAACATTCTGGCGATTCTCAATTTCTTCACGTGTTGATTCATCCCATGGTTTGCGGAGTACTGCCAAGTACTCGAATTTGTAGCCTGATATTGTTACTTTAGCAAAGAAAAGCTTAAGGAAAGCATTTCTAACATACCCCAGTACATCATGAGCTCTTGTGGTGCCATCCCGGGCGGTGATCCTCGCTTACGCTGGAGCTCTTTTTGTAGGTTTTTGTACTCGTTGTTCTCTTCGATGAAACTATCATGAGTCAGTATTCATACTGTGGTTTTGGTTGATTGAATACGCACATGGTACCCTGGATCCCGTGTTAGATCATCGATACTAGTCACTTCGAGATTGATTGCTTACCTGGAAACAAGTTGCGTTCATCTCGAAGCTACAGAAAGCATCACTGTTAGAATGAAAGCACTGGTGTCAAAGGCCAAAGAGGTAAACACACCCATCATTGTTATTAAATGGGGCCGTCAGAATCTGTACATATTGATGAGCATCTGGTCAATCCGGGCGTCGATTCAACACACCTTGGTCATCATCCCTCGCCAAGTGACGATATCAACATCACACTTCTTCTCTGTGGCTTTCTCATGAGCAGCAATGGTATCAAGCAAAGCATCTAGATGCTCATCCAGAGCATCATTGAGCTTTTGGAACGTGTCATAGCCCCGATTCAAGTCTGCGGGCAGAGTAGGCGTGTAGTAATAGGCCATGGATGAATCACCCAGTGAGAAACGGCGCTCATCATCATATGAGAAGCAGGCGATTTCCTAGAAAGATGTAAGCCATTTGCCTCAGTATTTTAGCATTGCGCTTGACTCACCTTTGGTCGTCGGATGGAGGTATTGGCACCGCCGAAGCGGTGCAGGGGTTGGATGTCAAAGCTGGACCTGTTCATGATTATTTTACACACTATTGTGTCAAAGGCATGGTCAAGGAGAAAGAGAGATGGGCTCCTCTATAAAACACAGCCAAGCTAGGCGTATAGTCGTGCGGGATGCGCGTACCCGCGGTGGTATCCCTGGCCGGAAACGGTGCAGGTTAACAAATAGAGCCTGACCCAACTAGAGACAATAGCATCAATAGGAAATACAAGAAGCGAGTACATGCAAGATATCATAGATGAGGAGATGACGGAGGAGATGTTCTCTGGGCCGCGTCCCCACCAAATCTCAGCCAACTCCCCGCGAACGTTCTTGCACTGCGCCATCTGCTTCATAGCGTCGTCCAATACGTCTTGATTTCTTTCGATTCTCAGCGACTGTACTTCTGACCTGACAATGTCATCCCGCATCGATAAGACGATCGCCCGACAGCGAGAAAAGTGAGAATCCCAGGTCATTCGCCTCAGAGTGTCTCTGACAGCATTCCTTAGGATCGCCTCCGGTGCCTACTACGAAGCTCACCAGCAACTACGTGTTATTGCCGTCCGGTACATCAAGCAGTCCAACTATGATGCCGCTGCAGAAATCTTGGCCGGCGGTGCGAAGGAGCTATTGAAGGCCGGTGCCCAACAGGGTGCTTCGGCAAGTGGCGGTGACTTGGCAATTATGTTGGTGCTGGAAGTTTACAACAAGGCGGAGTGGGAGATCGCAGGTGGTAGTAACGATACGGAGGGTCGTTCTCGCAAGAGTGAGTCGATCAAGAGTGCCCGCTGGGTTGGCCAATTTGACCAGCTCAGGTGTTGCATACAGAGGCAACATTGCTAACTTGTAACTTGCCACTCTACAGAGCGCCTGATTGAGTTGCTGCGCGAATTCCCTTCAGAGGAGCCTACACGAAAGAGGTTTATTCAAGAAATGATTGGATGGAGTGGAAAGTTTGGACCATTGGAACGGGGAGACCCAGAGCTGCACCACGCTGTTGGTTCAGTATACGCTGAAGGTTGGTGATTATGCAAAAGGAAGCATTGAGTGGATTCTAATCTAGTCTCAGACAATGAGCCCTACGATGCCGAGAAACATCTCGTTCTGGGAACCTCCGAATCCGCAGAGACCCTCGCAAAGCTCGAGTACGAGTGGTACACCAACGATGAACCACACACCGCCGCCATCTATGCGTCGCGCGCAGTCTTTCCATATCTCCTCACCGGAAACATCCGCAGCGCCAACAAAGCCCTGCTCATCTTCACCTCGCGACTTTCCACAACCAACCCTGCCCTCGGTGTGCAGGAAATCAGCAGCGCCAGTTCCGATGCCCGGGTCTACCCTGCCCTTCCGTTGCTGAACTTCATCAGCTTGCTGTTGTTGACCATCCAACGCGGAAGTGCTGATCTGTTCAAGCAGCTCACTGCCCACTATGCGGCACAGATTAAAGACATTGGTATCTGGGATGATGCTCTGACTCAGATTGGCGAGCAGTACTTCGCCATTAAGGTTCCCCGGCAAGGAAACCCCTTGATGGATATGATGGGCAGTATGTTATTTGGAGGAGGCCAGGGTAATGCCGGTGGGAGACCACAAGCCCGAGCTGCGAAGAAGGTCGAGGCACCGCCTTCGAGCATGGAGCTTGATTAAGGCACCTAAAGTGCTCTTGAGACAGGCATTTGCAGTGATCATACCCAAACGATAGTGTAATGAAACCAAGATACATGCCATATGCTGGTTCGATCTAGTTCAGAAACGAATCCTTCTCAGGCTCGAACATCCAATTATCGTCATCCAATGAAGCTGCCTTTTTGCGTAGGCTCTCATTCATAATGTTCAGGATCTCTGCTTCGAATTAGCACATACTTGGGAATCAAGACCTAAAACACTCACCGTCAGGCTCATCACTCGGCACTCCATCGCGATGCCGAATCATCATTTCCAACAGATCAGCCTCGTACTCTGTACCAAGTGTCAGTAGACTCAACATAAACAGACCAGTCCATTGTCACATACTCTCTTTCTCCCGTCCACTAAGCTCCGAGGAATCAAAAGCCTCAGCCTCAAGTTCGCCCAACTCCTCCCCATCTTCCCCAATCAGAGGCGGCGGCAACGTCGGAACCTCGAGCTTATAGCTCCCATTCTTATCCCTAACCACAATCTCCTTATTCTCCACAGTCTTCAGCCGCGCAGAGGGGCCCGAATCCGAGGATGTAGGCTTTAGCCGGTGCGAGGGGCGGTTCGCAAGGTTGCTTGGGTTTGGAGCGACCGCGCCATTGGGAGGTCCTGCGGAAGCAGGTCGGCGGCTGAGATTTCCATGGAAGAGGTTGCGGCGGACAGAGTTTGGCCCCATCATGTTGCTGGCTTGTTTGCCCTGGGGTCGCGAGGGTTCTGTTTGTGTTGTTCCCGTGGAGATTGTAGGTGCGAGATAGCAGCGAGTGATACAAAGAATAAGGTGGTTGGACGTGTCGATGAGGATAGGTTTAGGTTGCGCGAGTCAAGGCTTGTATGATGGAGTGTACTGAGTTATTTCATAGACTTTGAGGTAAGAATAAATGTTGTTAGGGGAGTGACAGGAAGAATGGTGCGCGGGATGGAGTAGAGAATAGTACAACGTCGAAGTACCAGACACATAGGGATTGACGTCTAAGTAATTAGCAGTATCTGACAACTTTATCATATAAACTACTATTAAGTGAATAGCTACAAATAACTACAGCTAAATACAACCAAATCGAATATGAATCACATTTTCGAGTTTCTAAGTGTCGAGCACAGACCATCTGATAAGCCGTTTATCGCGAACCTCTTCACGCGTTGATCTCGCGTCTCTCTTGGACTTCATCATTCACCATGGCCGAATCCTCCTCCGCCGCTTCGCGCAATGCTGCAAAGGCAAACACTGCCGGTGCCCCTGCAGATTACGAACTCCCTTGGTGAGTATTATTCCTCCAGATCACAGATCACAGCTGACCTTTGTCTTCAGGGTTGAGAAGTACCGCCCTATTTTCCTCGATGACATTGTCGGTAACACCGAGACCGTTGAACGGTTAAAGATTATTGCCAAAGATGGGAATATGCCACACGTTATTATCTCCGGTATGCCGGGTATTGGAAAGACGACTTCCGTGCTATGTCTGGCACGGCAAATGTTGGGAGATGCATACAAGGAGGCAGTTCTCGAGCTGAATGCAAGTGACGAAAGAGGTTGGTTATCACTCAATGGCTTCGATTGACTGGGATGTGATGCTAATCTAGTGATTAGGTATCGACGTGGTGCGGAACCGGATCAAGGGTTTTGCTCAGAAGAAGGTTACCCTACCCCAAGGTCGCCATAAGCTGGTCATTCTCGATGAGGCCGATAGGTAGGTATTCCTGGCAAAGCATGTCTGATTCGCTGTCGCTGACATCTCACAGTATGACGGCCGGTGCCCAACAAGCCCTGCGACGTACCATGGAAATCTACTCGTCCACTACTCGATTCGCTTTCGCTTGTAACCAGTCGAACAAAATCATTGAACCCATTCAGTCCCGTTGCGCCATCCTCCGTTATGCCCGCTTAACAGATGCTCAGGTCGTAAAGCGATTGATGCAGATCTGTGAGGCGGAGAAGGTCCAGCACTCCGAAGATGGTATTGCTGCTCTTGTTTTCAGTGCCGAGGGTGATATGCGTCAGGCTATCAACAATTTGCAGAGTACCTCGTCCGGTTTCGGTTTTGTCAGTGGAGACAATGTGTTCCGTGTCGTCGACAGCCCGCACCCGGTCAAGGTCCAGGCTATGATCAAGGCTTGCTGGGAGGGTAAGGTGGATGTCGCGCTAGAGGGGTTGAACGAGCTATGGTATGTTGGAACCCAAATGATTCGAGAGGAGTCGAGCTGTTCTAACAAGGTATATCAACAGGGCCCTCGGTTACTCCTCTCACGATATTATCAGCACCATGTTCCGAGTCACCAAGACCATTCCCACACTGTCCGAACACTCCAAGTTGGAGTTTATCCGCGAAATAGGATTTACACATATGCGCATTTTGGACGGTGTGCAGTCACTGCTCCAACTTAGCGGTTGCGTGGCGAAGCTTTGCAGAATTAACATGAAACCCGAGCTTTTCGAGCCTCCCAATGCCTAAGACGGCAGTGTCTTGCATATTCCCACGGCGTTTGTTGGCTTCCTTAAGTGACTCTGGTGGCAAAGGTCCTACCAACTGCATAATGAGTTATGTCTTGTCATATGTATCAAAAATCAGTTGCTACCAAAGGCGATTTCTTCTTCCAGTATGCGACTTGCACGCAATACATCTATCTCACTTGCCCTCGACATGGCTCTTCCAGAGCTTCTCAATAACCGTAGCAACCCCCAGCACCTTCTCCTCATGAAGTTTCTTCCCGATAATCTGCAGGTTGACAGGATACCCGTCCACCTGCGTCGCATCATATAGATTCCAATTCCACTCATCGAGCTGGTTCCTCGGCTCATACCGCTCCGAGGGCATCGCATCCTGATCAGCCCTGACCTTATCCACAGGGAACGTCAATGCAGGATAATCAAGCAAATTCCAAATCTTAGTATATCCTACCCAACGGAACTTCCGATGTGGCACAGTCGTATGTGGCAAAGTAGGACTCAACAAAACATCAACAGGCTTCCCAGATGGGGACCGCACGGCGTTCCATTTATCCAGATATCCCTTCTGTGCCGCAGCTTTCCGTTTATTCAACTGCCAATATTCATACACCGAGATGGCCTCGCCACGATTGATCAAAGCTTCAACATGTGGAATAAACGGTTCACCTGCCGCAGCTACATCTCGACGGATATCCTCACAGCCATCGGCTGTATAGTACTGATCCATCAATGCAATACAAGCGGCATGGTCGGATGTGTCCCAGACGATAACCTCATGCCCATTTGCTTTGAGGACCGTCGATAGTTCCTGCAAGGCGCGTGCAATGGGAGGGTGGACTTTAACAACGCCATCATCAAGAATCAAACCGATAACCAGAGGGAGGCTTTGAATTTCCTGGAATGCACCCTCGTTCCAGGGGAGGGGAGCACATCGCGGGTCCAGATCCCAAGGCTGGCTGTTCGCTAACAAACGACTCATATAGCAGATGGACGAGAGGTCTCGAGCCATTGGGCCAATTGAAGATGGGACATGTTCCTGGCCTTCCGTTGAGACAGGGACGCCCTGGTATGGGAGTCGCGCACTCTGCATAAGTGAGCGATTACAACTTATAAAGTGGGTTTATCTGTCATATTGGTACTCACACTAGGTTTGAATCCATACAGGCCTACTGTACTCTGTGGGATCCTCACACTCCCGCCGATATCAGTTCCATACCCGATTATGGAGCCGTGCATTGCAAGCAAGGCACCTTCACCCCCGGTCGAGCCACCGGGTGACAACTCTGGATTACGAGGATTGGTCGTGAGTCCCCAGAGAGGGTTCTCGGTTTCGGCCCACTTGCATCAATGTCAGCTTCATCAATTCGGTGGAAGATACAGAGGCAGAGGCATGTTACAGACCATGATACTCTGCGGGAGATTCGTCTTGGCGATGATAATGGCACCCATCTTCTTGAGCACTTGAACAAGCACGGCATCGTCTTTGGCTGGAGCAAAGGATCTGCCCACGTATCCCAAAGTCGTGTCGACGCCTTTAACGTTGAATTGGTCTTTCAGCGTGATAGGGATTCCATGCAGTGGTCCTCTGAGCTTTCCGGTATCTTTAAACTCGGCGTCTAGGGCTCTTGCTTGCTCTATAGCGTCTTCGAAGAGGATCTCAGTGAGACTATTCGTCTATTCATCTATCAATGACTGATATATATCGGAATGGGTATGTGAGGGACATACCAATTGGTGCGCCACCACGGCTCTGATGTTAAACGGTCAGCCTGTGCTCTGCTTGGACGCTTGGAGGACGTACCGTTTGATATAGGATTTGATAACCTGTTCCGCTCGAAACTCTCCTTTCTCGAGGTGTTCTAGCAGCACAACGACATTGTCAATATCTGTGATGGCCTGAACCAAAGGGTCTTTCGCCAATTGACTGCGCTCTGCGACATTCTGTACTTGCGGTACACGTTGATCTACATCATCCACTAGATATGGGGTCAGGAGTTGATCCCTGATAGTCCGTTTCTGAGAGACGATCTGTTGCCAAGCCTGTGTGCTGCCCATGTTGCTGTTGGTGCAACTCTAGCAGCGGGCGGGCTATCTCTCTATCTATATATATTTATAACATTTTCCCCTTCGGAAAGTAGTCCGAAGTATCTTATCAAACATGTTGGAGTAATTGTTTACCTCGGAATATATTCCCCAACAATTTGGGGTCATCGACCCATGAAGATATACAAATGTAGACCGTTGACCCATTTGGGAGCGGGGACAAGTGGGTCAAACCTTCAACCTCTGGTGAACTCCAAAGCCTTTTGGCTTTCTCCGAGATCTTCCCACTCCTCGATGGAGACATCTTAATGGAATCAAGCTCAAGTACCGCAAGTACCTCCGGGCCCGCCGGTGCCATCCGAAAGAACAAGGCCATTGCAAAGCGGGCCTGCGACCAATGCAAGTTCCGCAAGATCAAGGTAAGCGCAGCCACACCCCCTTTCTGTATTCTTTATGGATCGGATCGGGATTGACTTGCCTCCAGTGTAGCCTGTCGCAGCCCTGCAAGGCCTGCCAGTCCATGGGCTTTGAATGTACATTTTTTCAACCTCAGAAGAAGCGCGGACCAACGGGGCAGTAAGTGCAGATATCGCCACCCGCCTCTAACACGACTAACCCGCGTTCAAGTCGCGTATCGCAAATCCGCCAGCAGCAAACTCCTCTGCGAGAGGAAGCTCTCCCAAAGCAAAATGCTTTCCAGTATCAGAGCACAACGCCTTCCGTGGAGCCCGGGCAGCCGGGTCCGTTGCCCGGAGCACCGTGGCCGTCGGCGCATGGTCCAGTCACGATGCCATTAGAGGGCGCTGCTGTCCTGGCACCATCAGCACCCCCAGCTTCAATGGGGACAGCTTGGGGCGCGGAAACTCCGTCCTTGGATTCTCACAGTAACAGCGCAATGAGCTGGAATGAACGAAATGACGTCGAGTATTGGCTTCCAGATAACCTGGATTCCCAAGTCCCAGTGTTCGAATTCCCAGGAAGCAATGTCTATCTCAAGCCATCTCTCCCATCTATTATCCAGCCTGTCCCGGATGCTCAGGCTATGGGCCTGCCTCCACAGGAGGCTCAAAATATGCCATTTTCACCGACCGTCGGGTCTATGCACTCAGATAACCAGGAAGGCGATGCTTCCTGGCCATCGACGATCAATGAAGCCAATATGATCCCTTGGATCGACGTCTACTTTGATCGGTTACACCCGACCTTACCCGTTCTCAACAGATCCAGCTTGTACACCGCAATGCTTACTCAGGAGCATCGCAAAAATCCCCAGTTCGGGGCAATGCTCTTGTCATTATGTGCATTCTCACTCACGCAGCCAATTGAGATTAATGAGCGGCCGACAACTTCATCCCGGGCCCTTCAGGCTCGGGCTATGATGCACGAGGCGACCAAAATGCGGAGCTGTTCTGATTTTGGTGAAAACCCAACTATCGAGGCTGTATTGACGAGCTTCTTCCTTTTTGGGTGTTTGTTTGGGAGTAATCAGCATAATGCAGCTTGGTTGCGGATACGCGAAGCCCTCGATCTTGCGGCTTCGCTGGGGTTGAATGATCCTGATTCATATCATGAACTGTCTGGCGAAGAGAAGGGGCAGAGGCTACGAACCTATCTCGTTTTATCGATCACAGAAAGGTACTTGGCAGGTCGTTACATCTCCATTATCTCGCTAACATCAATCCAGAGCCTATGCTTTGCAACGGCGGCATCCAATAACATTCTGGGGCAAACCCGGTTTTACCATGCGTTCAGTCCACGACTTCATTCACAGTGCCACGCATAGCGTTGTCTCCGGAATCATTGTCCACAATGAGAAAGACGCCGAGGGAATGATGGGTCTCGCACGAATGATGGAACTCTTCGACGCAATAGACGAAGACGTAATCGATTGCTGGAACCGACGATGCGACATCAGCAACGGGTACTGCCAGAGACTTACAGAGGCCAAAGCTCTATCAATTCACCAAAATCTCAGTCGTATCAACCAAGCCGAACGATATAGAGGCTATGACTGGTTCGAACGAGCCAAGGGTGGCCGCGGTGAAACCAACAATGTTCTCCTCGCTATGGGACTGCGTGAGACTCAAGCCGCCGACGTCTTCATTACCCAGAAATGGCTCCAGAACCGTGTTTGGCTACTCTCTTCAACACACGGTCTTTTGAGTGTTCACTCGGAACGGCCCGAAATGACCTTTGGGTATGCCGTAACTGTTGCCGAATCAACTCTCCAGCTGTGTCAGTCATTACGGCTTAGTTCCATGGAGGCTCATGGTATAGGTCTGGTATGTTTTTGATACCTCTCTACTACTCAGGTAGCTTTCAACGTGTACTAACAACTTCAATAGACCGAAAAACTGTACGATATCGCCATCTGCGCAACAAATATCCTGTGCAATACCAGCCCGCCTTGCACCCTCAACATGCCAATCAACTTCACCGAAAACATCGCCCCTGCTACATCCTCGACGCCACAGTCTCTAGCTGAGGACTTCCTGCTACTCATGACCAGCTTCCGTGGGGGAAATCATCCTTATTTGGAGAAATATAGAGCACATCTGCGTTCGCTGCAAATTATGGAAGCTAAACCTCAGGAGTGGCCTCAGCGGTGATACTGGGTTGTATTTGATGGTGTTTGGTTCAGAATCCTTGTATATACGGAGTTAACACAGACGCCGATGTCTGGAGAAGATGTGACGGAGTATTGGGCGGTCTTGTATCTTGTATTATTTACTACCTTGTTCGAGTTAAATAGAATTCGTGCTTTCTTGTGGTCAAGCTGTGAGGGCTTAAAGTCCTAGTAACTTGGTATACATACGTCACATGGTGTTACACAGACTACGGGCTATTTATCTCCCAAGCCCGAGATTTCAAAGATTCTTTAATGTTCGAGGCCTCACTTCAAATGACGATTTATACGACCTCCACTTCCGCATAGGAATCTTGGCCGCATACATCTCATCAATCTCAGCAAAAGTCCGACCCCGAGTCTCCGGCATCAGGAAATAAAAGAAGACAATGATACCAGCCATGCAACCCGCAAAGACCAGATAAGTCTTCGCGCCAAGATTGGCCGCATCGACAGAAGTCAACTGCGGGACAACAAGCGTTGTAACGACAGCTGTTGTCTGCGCACAGGCGATTGTATAGGACATGGTATGGTGGCGGAGTTTAGGGGTTGCCATTTCCGACGGCATGAGGTTCGACAAGGAGAAGAACGAACAAGCCCAGAAGAAATTGAATATGAAGGCCAGTGCGGCAATCGCCTTAATGGCCTGTTTGTTGCCTCTGTCGAAGGCTAGACCACCAGCCACCACGTCGATTACGAACAAGATGCTCATTCCGACGAATGCTGTCGGGCGCCTACCAGCTCGGTCTATGACGAAGGGTGCGGCGATGGTTCCGGCTAATGTACAGCAGGATGCAATAATCGTTAGAGTGAAGGCGTTTCCGATTCCTAGTTCTGTGAGGAACAATGTCGTGTACGTTGTTGAGAGGATAATGCCCGAGATTTGATTGAGAGAGAAGAAGGACCCCGCGGTTAGGGTTCGTTTGAGATGTTGTCGGTGGAAGATGTGCCAGAACTTGGCGTGAGATTGTAGGTCCCGTTCATTCGTTTCACTGAGCTTCATCAGACGAAGCTCGTCGTCTACTTCTTCATCGCTGAAGCCGCGCAATTTCCGCAGATTGCCTCGTGCTTTTTCCGTTTCTCCCTTCCCGACAAGCCATTGTGGGCTTTCTGGAAGGGGTATTGTCAAGACAAACAGGATAACTGGCAAGACACACTGCACAGCCAGTGGGATTTGGTAGGCTAAGAGTCCACCGATCTTATCAGATCCGAAGACCACCACAGTGCCTACCACGCCGGCTGTCAAGTTTAAGATGTTGGTTGAACTAACACATCTTCCTCGTATTGAGGCGGGAACCACCTGTTTGCACAATTAGTATCATTCAACTCCACAAGCTGGGAGGGCATGCTACCTCGGAGATATACAGAGGAGCAGTCGCATTGACAATTCCCAATGCAACTGCATTGATTGAACGGCCTCCCACAAAGGCCCCCAGATTCGGTGCAAAGACTTGAAGCAGTCCACCACCCACGGATATGATATATGCAGCAATCAAGGGCCACTTGCGACCAAAGTGGAAGTTCAACGGCGAGGCAAGCAGTCCTCCGATCACGGAGCCCACCAACGGAAGGGAGAAGACGAGGTTTTGATTGCGCGCCGTGAGGACGTACTTCCCGGAGACCGGGTTGGGTCCTTGGAATTTCTCGACCTGATCGTTATTAGGCTCTTATCCCTTGTCACAATATGGAGGGAACACTCACAAAAGGAACCAATGCGGCAACCGGAGAAATGATTTTGTCGTCAAACCCGAACAAAAATGAGGCGGCACCAAAAACTGTACAGGCGAAGATCAACTGGGCGTTGATCGCTTTCCCAGATCTTCCCTCATGCAACAAGTCGACATGCTGGACGTCTGCGTCAGAGCCATCATCTTCCTTTCGGCAAGACATGGCGACGCGGATCGAGCAAAACCAATGCCAAAAGAGCGTGGTCAACCCAAAGTCCCTGGAGCAAAAACCAGGCACTGGGGCCATGGGGAATGCAATATATACACAATGTCAATCCATGTCCAGGCCCGAACGTATGCAAGAAGCAAGGGAGTGGAAGGGATCCCCAGATTCCCAAAGATTTGCGCCCCGGATTTAATTGTCGCATGGAGTTTCTCCGAGATTTCCCATTCATCATCGACCCTTGCTCTCCACGCCAATGACAGGCCAAAAATCCGGGGTTTACTGGCTGCTGTCAGGCCTCTGCTATTCCTGCATACTCCACTTCCCCAGGGATCGTCTTGATTGTGTGATGCTGACCAGTTTCGCCGACAATCCTCCGTCGACATATGCCGAACTCGTCTCCGACTAACTGCCGGGCAAATCGTTCTCCAGATATCCACTGAGCTGGTTTGATGCAGCTATATTCATCCCGAGTGGATACCCGTGGATACCTCTATATTCTCTGATCTTGGTGGTGAAGCGAAATGAGAGACCCGCCAGCCGAGACGATGATCTAATGCAGTGGATTCTTTCTCCCTCGAACTATTTCGTCCTAGCGTTCGCCATTTTCAAATTCGATATCCAACATGCCTGGCACGGAAATTCCAGATATGGATGCGCCTATCCAGAAATCCCGACAAAAGCCTACAAGATCTGAAAGTCATGACGTGAATGGCATTTCATATCATAAGAACGCACCTCGAATCCCTACACAATGGCGACCATCATTTCATTTCCTCGCCCCAGCCGGATGGATGAACGATCCATGTGGCCTTGGCTATGATCCAGTAACAGAACTATACCATCTATCCTTCCAATGGAACCCACACGGCAATGACTGGGGCAATATGTCCTGGGGCCACGCCACATCTCCAGACCTGGTATCATGGACGACATACGAAGACCCAATTCTAACACCGATGGCTGATTATGATTGTCGTGGCGTCTTCACGGGGTGTCTACGATCAACCGACATTTCCGGCAATGCGGGGTCTCTCACTGCCATATACACCTCTGTGAGCAATCTCCCGCTCCATTACACGCTACCGTATGTCACTGGGAGCGAGTCGCTCAGTATAGCTATCTCTGAAGATGGCGGTATGACCTGGGAACGCCAGGATTGTAACCCAATTCTCACTGGTCCCCCTGAGCAATTCAACGTGACGGGCTGGAGAGATCCCTGTATTACGACTTGGGCTGAGGGGCCTCTTTCCAAGGGTTCACCATTAACTCTGTACGGATTCATATCCGGAGGTGTTGTCGGCCAGACACCAACTGCTTTTGTGTATACTGTGGACCCCAATGACCTGCGCAAATGGGAGTTCCTTGGTCCATTAGTCGACGTCGGTCTCAACCTGCGACCTTCCCGCTGGTCCGGCGATTTTGGAGCAAATTGGGAAGTTGCCAATATGATGACTCTATCCGATGGCAATGTTTATCGGGATTTCATCATTATGGGAGCAGAGGGCTGTCTGCCTTCAGAGGGCGCAATCAAAAACGGTGTACGGGAAGCTGGTAGCAAACGAGAACCCCGAGGCCAACTTTGGATGTCCGTCAAAGCATCTGAAAAGCGAAGCTCCAATTCTACAGATGAAGCCCTGGCTACATATGCATTCTCTGGGTTCTTCGATCACGGCTGTTACTACGCAGCGAACTCATTTTGGGATGTCCAAGCTTCTCAGCAAATCGTGTTTGGATGGATTACGGAGGAGGATCTTTCTGATTCTCTGCGCCATCGGCAAGGATTCAGTGGCTTGACCTCTCTACCTCGTGTCGTGGAATTGATGACATTGAACAATGTGAAAAAGGCTCGCAACTCGTCGTTGAGTTCAATTACCTCGATTGAAGTTAACCCTGATGCACATGGCACAGGCAATTTCACTGTTCATACAATGAAAATCAGCCCTGATAGCCGGCTTTCACGTCTTCGAGAAGGTGCTCAGAAGAGTCAACTTGTTAACATACCTTTATCTACCACAGCAAAGGTCATGACGGCGTTAAAATCAACTAAATGGGAAATTAACGCCGAGTTCTCTGTCGGTCAATCTTGTACACGTGTGGGCATCGGAATCCCACATACTTCCGGTAAGACCCATATTAACAAGCCAATCTGTCCCATAAATCCACCCACTAATACACTATTACACTCACAAGACCAAAAGTGCACAACGCTCTCCTGGAACCCAGACACTGAAACATTCACCATCGACCGACCGCACCTTGACAACGCAGAAGTAAACCAAGGCTTTGAAACCGCGCCGCATACATTATTCACTTTCTTGGACGAGCAGGGTCAAGAAATCGAGGAGACTCTCCGAGTACGCGCTTTCTTTGATGCTAGTGTATTGGAGGTGTTCGTTAATGACAGGACGGTCATTTCCACACGCATCTATTACCCCGGAGACCATTGTTTTGGACCTATCTTCTTTGCGGAGGCTGATACCGCCGAGAAGGATGCGCAGCCAGCGGCTGTTCTCATGAGGGCTGATGTTTGGGATGGGATTGGAGTATGAAAGTGTTGGGTTATGTTGAAATACAGTCACAGACCTTAAGTCATTTCACACCCCGACCTTTATATAATCTACATGATCAACTCACCATTATAAGCAACTGCAACCCTAGGCACTTGAAAAGGCAAAGAGAGGTGAAAGAAATACCAGACTAGGGGAAAACCCATGTATGAAACGGTATACTCGCTTCGAGGCTTTCGTGTAGAAACTGTCCAATACTTCATGGCACTGTATACACATTTATGAACCCCCTGTTGTATTGAGATGCAACATTATGATTATTATGTATAATGCAGCCACAAGAATTCAGTAGTAACACAGGGTAGAATCAGACCCAGCGTGGCAAATAGACGAGCAAGTAAGTAAAAAAAAAAAAAAAAAACATCAGTCAAAATGCACGCGGGTAGCCATGGTCATGAAATCGTACGCCAAATCGGCATCCATTGAGCAAGCGCGCGAATACAGACAAACGCAGATACAGATACAGACACTGATGGCATTCACTCCAGTATCCATACACCCGAGATATATACATGGGTATCAAAATCATAACAGCGGAAGGAGCAGACTTGTCTTATCGGGAACCACGCTTCCAGAATTTCCAGCTGGGGAAGTCGATGCGGCCATCTCGCTTGTGGATACGCCAGTAGTAGACTGGTACACCGGTGATGATGAACGCGACCACGATGAGGGTTTGCAGGGGTTCGGCGATGACTGCTCGGCTAAGGAGGAATAGACTGACGCAGCAGAAGATGATTGGGGTAGTGATCCAGGTGCGGTAAGGTCGTTCCAGGTGTGGTTCGCGGATGCGGAGGACAATGAGACCGAGTACCGTGAGGAAGTAGAAGGTGTATCCTGCTACACCGTAGAAAGTAACCAGGGTGCCGAACTCGCCGACAACGATGTATATGGTAGTGAGAGCGCCGTTGAAGGCCATGGCATAGATGGGTGTGAGGCCGAGGGTGGCTTGATCACCGAAGACTCGGGAGAGAGATTTGCGAGCCCAAGAGCGGCGGCGTAGTCGGCTGCCTGCTGGGGGACCTGTTGATGGAGTGGCGGAGAGGCCAATGCGGCCAAATAATGAAGGGAGGTAGCCTTCTTTTCCGGCTGCGTAGACTAAACGACCGCTTGTGAAGGTTGTTGCGTTAAGGGCTCCGAAACAGCTGGCTGAGACGACTAGAGCGAGGATTAAAGCTCCTGCAGCGCCGAAGACTTTTGCGCCGAATTGCACAGCGACGGTGTTGCTTGCCTCGATAGTGGAGTGAGGCAGAACGAGGAAGTATGAGACGTTTGCGAGTAGATATGACAGTATGACCAGTGGCATCGCTGTGTGGATGACCCGAGGCAGGTCGCGGTTGGGATTCTTGAACTCGCCAGTCACGTAGTTGGTCTGATGATGTGTAAGTAGAGGGTTTTCAAAAGGAGTAGAACGCCGCTTACATTGTCCCAGCCGTCAAATGCCCATAGTCCTGCATACAAGGCAACTGCAAAGTCTGAGATCTCCGTGTTGGTGCCCTCAAACCATCCTGTCGTCTTCCATTCCTCATTCGCATCTCCTCCGGACGAAAGGCCAGTCACGGCGACTATAACACCAATGACGGTGACTCCCAACAGAGCCACAAATTTGAAGAACATGAACATATCTCCAATACGGGTTGCGAACTTGGTGGATATACAGTTGAACAGAGTGACCGTCAAAAGGCCACCAAATGCAACACCCTTATTGATCCAGGGACTGACATCTCCCACATCGGCACCCACAAAGGCACGCACGACATATTCACCGAAGATGATCGATATGATCGCCGCAGACCCAGGCTTCAACACCAACACGGCACACCATGTAAAGAGGAAACCCGGGAGCTCTCCAAAGATCTTGGACAGATAAATCTGCGAGCCACCATTGAGCGGAATAGCTCCTCCCAGCTCCGCATAGCTCGCAGCACCCGTCCAGGCTAATAGACCAGCCACAGCCCAAACAATGAGCGAGGCGCCTGGCGACCCGGCGTTGGCATTGACCTGACTCGGCGAAGAGAAGATACCAGAACCAATAATGAGCCCAACAATAAGCGACAGCCCATTCAAATATGTCAGTGTCTTATTCCGCTCCAGCGATCCATCCACCTGTCGGTCCGCCGACGGAGTCCCAACCGGCGCATATCCGCCCTGTGTTTGCGACAGCGGGAAAAGCGTACGTCCAAAATCAAATGCCGAGGAAATGGAATATGACCGGAGACCCCTCTGGTGACCCGATTCGAGTTCGACATCCCGATGCGACTCCCCTAGGGGATCTTCGTCCTCGAGGGAGAGCTTGCGGGATGAGGAGATGCCATCTGGGGAGGAGGAGCGCGAGGAGCCTACAGAGACGGGGGACGAGGATGCGAGGGAGGCGAGTTCTAGCGAGTCTCGAGGAGCGAGGTTGCCATTCCTGTTGCCTTGTGTGTAGGCGTTCGACATTCTCTTTGTTCAAGCGAGGAGAGATGGCTGATGCGATGGCGATGGCGAAAGATAGTATATCGTCAGAGGCGAAAGGGGTTCCCCATTGCCCGAACGAGAACCGCGAGTAGTGAGTGTGAGTGCGTGAAAGAGAGAGAGTGTGTGTGAGAAAGCAGTCGAGAGAAGAAGGGTGCCAAGGGGTGCAATTTATTGAGTGTCGATCACCCAATCGGCGCTTGTTCTTCCCATTCCCCGCGATTTCTCTCTTTTTCGCCCTCATCGCGCTTCCATGAGACCTCACACGCCTTCTCTGTGCTGTAGAGGCAGCCTGAGAGCCATTGCCCGGCCTCGCTATGCTTCAACCGCGACCTCACCCTCACCCTCACCCTCACCCTCGAACCCAAGTCCGATCCCGACTCCGTCACCGAAGTCTTCCCCCGGCTCCAACCCACGTCGCTGGCTGGGCATTATATTCGTGGGAGTATCAGCCGCAGCCGCAGGTGCATATATCCGGTCTCAGAACTCAGACTCGGCGACCCTAAACCCAGACACGTTCACGAAGTACAGCCTCGTATCGCGCGAGCCCGTGTCGGCCACGAGCAGCCTCTTCACCCTGCGACCGCGCAAACCCAGCGAAGACAACTATGATGTCTACGAGGAGGCATGGCGGGCCGGAGTATGGAGTGTGATGTTCAAGCAGCCCCAGCTACAAATTGGAAGAGATTATACACCGCTACCTACGACTGCTGCGACATCGTTAAGTGTGGACGATGAGAATGAGGGTTGCTTGCGCTTTTTCATTCGTAAGGATCCTTTCGGGGAGGTGTCGCGGTACCTGCATAGCATTGATGTAGGTGCTGATGTGGAAATGCGTGGTCCTAAGATTGAATGCGCTATACCGAGTGAGACCGATGATATTCTTTTTATTGCTGGTGGGACTGGGATTGCGCCGGCTCTACAGGCTGGATATTCTCTATTGTCTCGCACGAACAGTGAGCGTCGACCAAGGATTCACATTCTGTGGGCGAATCGGCTGAAGGATGATTGTGCTGGCGGTCAAAGTGATTCCGCGAAGCCGCAGCCCCGAGGCTGGTTTTCTGGGTGGTTTGGCTCGTCCAAGAGTCTCGAGAGCAAGAAACAGGATGCTGTGGCTGTAATGGAAGACAAGCACACTTCTTTGATTGTACGAGAGCTCGAGGCCCTCAAGTCGCAATACCCCGGACAGGTTACCGTGGACTACTATTTGGACGAGGAGAACACGTTCATTGGAAAGAAGGATATCATGAACTCGATTCAATCCACACCAACAGACAGCTCTCGCAAGAGCAAGCTGATTTTGGTTTCCGGGCCCGAGGGCTTCATCAGCTATATGGCTGGGCCGAAGCTCTGGGCACAGGGACAGGAGCTCCAAGGACCCTTGAAAGGAGTCATTCGGGAACTCGACCTCAAAGAATGGGGCGTGTGGAAGCTCTGAGCTCTGAACCTTGTACCAACGTCGGAAACCTTTTGTCATTAAAGCATATTATATAGCATGGATATATTGGGGAGTTATGTTGAATAAACAGTCGCAACTGTCTTGGACTTTCGTCCTATTTCGTTACCCATCACACGTTCCTGGCTTAAAGCTCCAGGTTGAATTCGCTCAAACACAATAATGCCCTCGAATCTATTGTCCGGTGGCAAAGTCTTCGAGGTACTTCACCAATTTCTGCACATTTTCCAACGGAACCGCGTTGTAGTTGCTGGCACGCATGCCGCCTACACTGCGGTGGCCCTTGAGGCCTTGGAGAAGACGCTTCTCAGCACCTGCAATGAACTCCTTCTCCTTGACGTCGTCGCCGCCGTTGACGCGGAAGCAGATGTTCATGCGGCTGCGGACGCTGGCGTCCGGAACAACCTGGTAGACTTGAGGGTACTTGTCCAAGACACCGTAGATAAGCTGGGCCTTGTTGTTAGCGACGGCCTCTTGGCCGCTCACCTTCTGGGTGCTGAACTCGGCCACAAGGTCAGCCATGACCTGGCCAGCAATCCAGAGGTTAAAGATAGGGAGGGTGTTGTAGAGGGAGTTGTTCTTCGCGATAGTGGCGTAGTCGAACACGACCGGACCGGGGAGACCACCGATGTTCAAGCGGTGAAGGAGAGCAGGGGAGGAGTCGCGGTCTGGGGAGGGAGGAGATCCTTGCGAACAATGGAAATGGTGATGCCGGTGACACCAATGTTCTTTTGCGCACCGCCCTGTGTATACAATTAGCTTGGTACTGCCATGTTGATTAGGTTATTACTTACGAAGATGACGGCATATTTGCTAACATCAACCTTGCGGCTGATGAAGTTGGAGCTCATATCAGCCACAACGAGGCGCTCGTCCTCGGCATCCTGACCCTGAGCCTCCAATGACTTGGGGAATTGCTGGAACTCCACACCATCAACGGTCTCGTTGTCACAGAAGTAGACAAACGCGGAACCCTTGCCGCCCTCCTTCTTGGTGGGGGTCAAAGACCAGGACTCCTCAGCGGGAATAGTTCCAAACTTTCCACCGTTGGCCTTGCGAGCATCAAGAGCAACGTTCACGTACTTGGAACCTACAAGCTTGCTCGCTTCCTGGGAAGCCTTGAGCGACCAAGATCCAGTCACAAGGTAATCCAACTTCAACTCCTCCTCAACTTCCTTCTGGAGTCTCTGGAAGACCAATTCGTCGATCTGCGACTTTTCCGCACCGGGGTTAGCCGCCTGCGCATCGGTCTCAGCCCTGCGGCGGCGGCGCTCAATCCAGACGGAAACAAGGTTCTGCACCACAGCGCTGAAACCACCGCTACCACCGGCCTGCATGAACAGGATCTCATAGTTGTCGGGAATATCGAGCAGAGCGGTCAAGTTGGCTTTGGCATCGTCGAGGATCTTGTTGGCCGTGGGCGAGCGGTGCGAGATCTCGCCGAGACCAAGACCGCAATCGTTGAAATTGACGAAGGCCTTGGCACCGGCCTCGACGACGGAGGTAGGGAGGGGAGCTGGGCCGGCTCCAAAGTAGGAGATTTCTTGTCTGGAGGGCATGATTGAGGTGAGGATATGTGCAGAAAAGAGAAGAGCGGGAGGGAAAAGATCAAAGTGTGGACCGCTGGTGGATCACCCGGGAGTACAGAGTATTTATACGATGGTTATGCTCTTCCCAGGTTATATGTTGAGGTTTTCTTTTTTGAAGAAATAGCGCCCAATATATTCACCGGACGTGTACGTATGTTTAGCATCCAATTACTAGTTTCATAGGCAGTCGCGGCAATGGCGGGGTATGAGTCAATTGTGAGAACCCTGGTGGTTGAGTCATGGAATATATTGATGTTTTTACTGCTTACTATGTACCTAATGCTCTGAAGAACTTGGTGCTTGAACTACCATGTTGTTTTATTCTAGTTCATTTGATGATCGCCGACTAAGGTTATACAATACTCTATCCAATGGCGGGGTCAAGGCATATACTTCCTGCCCAAGGCATTTTTGTCGATAGTACAGAGTCCATGTATAAGCAATTAATCTAAGATGACTATGTCCAGCTGAACGCTGTAAATGTAATTGCCCTCTGCTCTGGGTCTATAACTTCGTGTATACTGTTATACTGTTACTGGGTAGTAGGCTACTGACTAGTTAGATGGATCCGGTATCGGCTGAACGCCGAGTCACGTGCAAAATGATGTGATCGTTTTGCACTGTTTGTCTCATATCGAACTAAGTTATCCTGCAACGTCCCTATATATCGGTTTATTCTGGCCTGGCACAGACGACCATCAGCCTGAACTTGCCAATCATCAATGCCCACTGCCGTCGGAGCATAAAATTTCCGGAATGCATCATATTTCGTTTTGATCGCGTGCAGGGAATTGTAGTTGGAACCAAAAGGCCTGCTTCCAGTCTGGCTGTTGGGGAACCGCCTGTCTGTATGGTTAGCTGGTGATTTACAAGTCATGAATGTGCCTCGCCTTGCCTCGCTCATATAACACCCCGAGTCTGGAGTCAAGTCTGTCAGGATCGGCACCCACTTGGTCGGTGGGCCAGTTCCTAGAGTTCGTGTGTCAGGGAGCACTTCGAAGCTGCTGCACATCATGCCGGAGAAGAGCGTACGTAGACAAGTAACAATCAATGCCACTGTACGCCACGCTGGCAGAACTAAATTCCAGATATTACCCGTCACACATGACGAGACATTCAGTCCAGTGCCCACAAATGTGACCCCATCAGCGGTGATTCTCTGGACGGCATCCGTGAGCTGTGAGTTGTTCTGCTGGATGACATCGAGCGGGATAAGACGGCCGTCATATTACGCGTTTTGCACCAGCTGCGTCGGGTTTCGTTCGATCAGTTGCATATAGTGCTGAAAATAGGAGGGCGACTGGGTGATGTTCAGGGTGTAGGAGATGTTCAGTTCATGCAGGTTTTGCAGAAAAGGCGCCAGCAACGTCTTGGCCTTCGCTGCTGTATGCATGGGCAGTGTCAGCGGGGTGAGCAGGAACGATGAATGTGTGATCTCTGCGATAGCCATCCCACCAGTCGCGGTGTACGCGGGCAGGTGACGATGGTAATGGCCCACGGCTTCAAAGAAATGCCTCGATGAGGAGGTATTGCTCTCGAACTGGAGAACGACGCCGGTGGCAGGGAAATCAGGAAACGCCTTGACGGTCATGGCATACACGACGCCATATGTCCCTCCTCCGCCGCCTCCAGAAAGCGCCCGGTACGGATCCGGGTACTAGGTGGGCGATGCAGTCAGCAATCGTCCCATCTCATCCACCACTCCCCATTCCAAGACCAGGTCGGCCCCAAGGCCGAACCGAGAGCTCAAGGCCGAGTGACCCCGCCTTGCGTGTAGCCGCCAACGGGGCCTACAGTGGCACATTCGCCGCCCACAATGACCAGCCCTCGTGCATGGGCGGCCTCATAGATGTCGACGCCTTGAACGCCTGCAGTCATGCGCAGGGCCGGCCGGGTATAGTGCGCACTGGTGTAGTTCAGGAAGTCAATGTCCTGAAGAACATCTATACCGGGTAATATATACTCATGGCCCGTGTTGCGAATGACGAAACGAATATTTCGTTCCTGGGCGAATCGAATCGTCTCAATGAACTCGTCCGGGGAGCTGGCATTGACCGTGTAGCGCACCATTGCACCCAATGTGCAGGGTTTTGATCGGGGGGTAAAGGCTTCACAGGTCTCATTGGCGACGAAGGCTGCCATGAAGAGGAGAAGGAGAGCGGGAGAGCCTGTCCTACCACTGGCTGGCATGGGTATTATCTGCATTTATCGTGGAATTGCCATTTACATTTCTCAGCTCGCTGACCTACTGGCTGCTGTGGTACTTCCCTGTTGGATATTTCTATGCCCTCGCGCGCAGGGTACAGTTTCCTTATGTACGAGCTCTTTGGAGTATTTGCTACCAGTCTTGCTCAGCTGTGCGCATCGCTCATGCCAAATATCGAGGCCGCTTTTGCTGCTAACGGATTCTTTTTCATGTTCTGCAACACCTTCGCGGGAACACTTTCGCCAAAGCCGGTGACCCACCCCGGCTGGCGTTGCTACTACAAGGTCTCTCCACTCTTCTACTTAAACAAGGGCGTCGCCGTGGATGTATTGCAAGATTTGCCAATCCGGTGCGAGGAGTCGGAGATCTTAACCTTCTACACGGTAAATGGCACGAGCTGTGGCCAGTGTGCCCAAGACTTCCTGAAAAGCGCCACGGGATATCTGCTCAATCCCACCAGCATGACGGAGTGCCATTATTGTCGTTACAGTGACGGACAATCATACGTAAGTAGTTTCTGATCAGGGGAAAACAATGTATCTAGTTCAGGAACTAATCATTCAGTAGTACTGGCAATATGGCCATGAGTTTGCTAATCGGCATCGCAATATCGGCATTTTCATCGAATTTATCGCGTTCAATTTCACCATGGTTCTAGTAATAACCTATCTCACTAACATGCGCCGTCAATGACGGATGGTACATTCCTGTTTGTTGTGGCTCCAGACTACAAGAGAGGGACCTGAATTTTGGGAGTGACTTTGATTAGAGTAGGAAAGCCAAGATAGATAGGAAAGTTTAATTGAATGATCTGGTTCTCTCTCCGAGTTCCCTGCGTGTGATTCTACTCGCAGTATCTTATTATTGACCGTAATGAGCTCTAGGCCTCGACGGAAGTGACATGACATCCACTACAGCTCCGGCTTTTGAGCGATGATCTTTCCCAAGAAAGCTTTCCTCCGCATCCGAACTAAATGGAACATGCACTACACCGATATTAGTTGGTAAGCCATCACTAGCATGGCGGGTTTCTCTTGGCTAATCTGGTTTGGGAAGCTCAACTCCAACTCCATGGAGTAAGTGTCAACATCCATCTCATACCAAGGTGTCTTGGCTACCAAGACTTAATTTATCCTAGATTGGCAGATGGGAGACCGGCGCATATTAAGACCACCAAGCTTTCTTCAAACAAGTTGAAGTGCCGAAGTATTGATATTCCGAGCAGAATCACTCTTTTCCCTCAATCTGTTGTTATATTTGCGTCCTGCAAACTATGAACAAGATGAAGCTTTCCAGTGATGAAATGATCATGGCTTCCTCAGATGAGAGTGCTCAGATAAGCTATAACACGTCGCTTTCACGTCATGGGAACAGGCAGGAGGAAGCTTTCCAGCCAGTCCCACAGATTGGCAGTCCAGTAAAGTACCTTATCCACACATATTCCATTGAAAAGATTAGACCATCATCTTACAATACATAACCTACTACCAGACAGCTCTAGACATGGGCGCATTCGCAATTGCCTTTACAACTCTATCGATGAGTCTCATGGAGTGGCGAAGCGCAGTCATTACAAATGCATATATCGGAATTGCTTCTTCACAGCGGGCATGGGCCTGGTGTTGATCGCCCAGTGGGAGCTAGTGCGCGGAAATTCATTTGGTCATACGGTCTTTGGGGGCTTTGGTCAGTATCCAGTATCCTCTATCTCGATATTTGTGCTCTGTCTGGATCTGATTATTTGCTTTTATCCAGGTTTGTTTAACTTCGCTTTTGCCGCGATCAATGCACCGGCCTTTGGGGTCGCGGATGCCTCTAAAGATGATCCTGCCGCATTGAATAATGCGATTGGATATTTTCTACTCAGTGAATTCCTTTATTCTTCTAGTTGGGATCATGCTAATATGACGACAGTATGGGGAATATTCGTTTTCTTTTTCACCATTGCCGCAATGCCAATGTCAGTAACCACATATCTATTCTAAAAACGTGGTCACAGCTGACTAGGAAACAGGAACCTGGTGTATATGGCTATGCTTGGAACCTCCCAAATCACATACACTGTGTTGGCTGCATCGTACTTCTCGATGGCGGACGATCGTGTATCAACTGGCGTCGCTCTGAAGAAGGCAGCTGGGGCGTTCGACTTTGTCCCCGGGTTGTTGGCATGGTACACGGTCAGCCACCTGATGCGTCAGGATGCACTCCTGTTCTCGTTCCCACTGGGGAATACTGGTCTTTTGTACGCGCGATGCGGCGGAAGAGACGATGTATCAAAAGGGGGGGACCAGGGCTTTTAGGGTCACATGGCCTGATGGGTGTAGAGATGAACGAGCTTTGGGTGTCAGTCTGGATATTTACGAGACTGATGGTGAGATTTAAATGAAGCTATCGCGTTGTGAGATACATTATGCACTATGATGATCTATTTGGCGAGTGTGACCGAGTCTCCTCGGCATATGTTTCAACGATTGTATCGGAGTACAGATCATCATAAATCTGAGCTGAAATACTATCCAACATAACTCTATGAACCCGTTCTGTTACCCTACTTATTTCATCAAAAATCAAACCTGTTGCCAGTACGCACACCGGTCTGTATTGGTGGAGGCCGGCTGAACATTCACTCCGTCGTCTCCCAGATAGAGCAGATTAGCCTGTCCATGCTTGCAGGCGTGTCATTATCAGAGAGGACCCAAAGGAGGTGTCTGTGTATATCGCAGACTACATCATCGGTATGTGATAGAGAGGCACTTGGGGGTCTCTCTCGACATTCGGATTTCCCGTCTTAACAAACTGCGCGATCTGCCATTGTATCAGTCGAGCGATGGTGGCATTCAATGAGCCGGAACCCTGCCCATTGTAAAAGACCGACGTGGTGTCCGAGAGATGCATCGCAGACGCCACCGCATACTCAATTGCATACCCCTGCGTTGCGACGGCTCTATGTAAATACCGAGTGTTGCATCTGGTGGTGAACTCGGACCAGAACAGATTCGCCCGTTCGTGCTGACTGCGATACAGCCAGCGGCCATTGAAGATGGAAGCAGCAAACCAGCGTATCGGTCAAAATTGGCATCGTTGGTTATATTGGCCGGGCCAATGCGAAGCCTTCGTTGGAGGTGTACGAGGTGAGGATACGTACCGAGGGATCGACCTTGCGCTGTATCAGGAGTCTCTTGGGACTCCATCAATGGCCTAGCGGGATGAAGTAAAGACTGGTGAGTATCCAAAGAAGGTAATAACGAATAAGAAGAGCAAGTAGCGCAGATTGGTACTCACTGGACCCAATACGCCAGCCCCATACGGACGAGATGGCACCAGAACATAGTTACCATCAATCAAGGCCTGAGATGGCAGAAGCAGGGCCTCTTCCACGCTGCTGACATTCAACAATGCCAGGAAAGTATCCAACAGATTCCTCAGTGGCCGGGATCTTCGTGTCCGGTTCCCAGGCTGGGCTCTGGACAATAGTCTGGGCGAACGGGGGACTAATGGCGCGTCCGTAGGCCGTCAGCTGCATCGTGGTTGAGCCCCACCCGGTCGAGACACTCATGACGGTGACTCGCGAGGGATCGCCACCGAATTGTGATATATGCCGTTGTACCAATTCCAGCGCCAAACGCTAATCATACAGTCCAGCATTGGGAATGCCCCTTGCAGACCGAAACTTCCGGCCTGACAGTCATCCAAATGCGCCCAACTGTCGACACCATTCCAGATGAGCCACTGTGAGAGAGAGAGGAAGGAGATGTGTACGGGAAGGAAGGGAATGACGTACTCGATAATCGACTCCCACATAGATCATGCCAGGGGACCCATCTTCCCGGCTGGTATGGATCAGACCGGAAGGATCCTGACCAGACTTGGACCCAGACACATATGCTCCATCCTGGAAATATACCCACACAGGCGCGCTATGTCGTTTGGACATGACCTTTTCCGGGACATACACCCCAAGCAAGAGGCAATCTTCCGACTCTAATGGATCCCGCTCTGCAGCGAGCGGCGGGTTGGTGCAGCCATCCACTCCATATACCTGGTTATACGCAGCGGTAAAATTGAAAACTGAGCCTGCAGTTCCGGCATTGACAAAGCTGTTCTGCACATTGAACCAACAAGCTTGAGACTGGGGACAGATATATCCAGTCCTGTGCCATTGACGATCTCGCGACTGCGTTTGCGTGGGGGGACGGGCTGGGCGAACCGCAGGGAGTCCAGCGGGGGTTCGGCATAACGAATATTGGTAAACTGGTAATAGCGACCCGTTGACTGTACCCTCGATTTATCATCAGAAGCCATTCTTTGTTTGTTTTTCTTTGTCACGGATACAGGACTCACCTTGAAGCTACTGGCTCGGTGGCGCTTATAGCCCAGGTCCACTATGGGCAAATTGGCTGCTGCAGCCCCCGCAATCAGCAGACAGGCCCAAATGATGGGCAGCATTCCGAGACTGGGAATGAATTACAATTAATAACGAATAATGTTGTGTAAATTCAATTTTGTATATTCTAGTTGGTCTATAGCTTTTATATTTGAAAATGACATAGCGTAGTGTAATGTTCCGTCCACGCCAAACCTCCAGGGAACCCTCGATATAGAAAGTGAATACTCCGTAGTATACATGAGGTTAGGGCTAAAAGGGGCACCTGCTCATCTGCTGAGTCATCGACTGATTAGAAATGGCCGAATCTAGTTACTGGAGTGCCCAAAGGAGATTCGGAGCTGGTCAGCCCACTGGGAGTCTGTCATTGGTCAGAGATCCAAGTTGACAAAGCCAACCGTCCCAAAGGAGTATGTTCTCTTCTCTTCCAGCTCGCATTTAAGTAAACAGCACAGTCGACAAAATGGATACTTTTGGCTACTTCCCTCATTCCTGGCTTCTCTCTTTCTTTCCTCTACTCCATTGGGCATATCTACCTACGACTTGACGCTCGGTTCGCCTTTCTTCACCATGTCTATAAAGGATTCGACGAATTCGACAAATGAGAGCGTACTCGAAAGTCAATCCCCGACCCGCTTGGATGAAACAATCCCGATCACATCTCGGGATGCTGAGAAAGACGAAACCCCACAGCGAGAGATTCAAGGCATTCGCTGGCTGCTCATCTGCATTGCTGTCTTCTCTGCCAATCTGCTCTATGGCTTAGACAATACTATCGTGGCCGACATCCAGGGAGCTGTTGCGGGCGCTTTCGACGAGTATTCCCGGCTGGGCTGGCTCGGTGTGGGCTTCACCTTGGGATCGGTCGTTTTTATTCTCCCGCTAGGAAAAGCCTATGCCATCTTCGATACCAAATGGCTCTTTCTCGGCTGTTTGACCATGTTTGCCGCCGGCAGTGCCCTCTGCGGAGCAGCTCCCAGCATGAATGCCATCATTATTGGGCGCGTGTGGGCGGGAGCTGGTGGAGCGGGCATGTATTTGGGGTAAGTGTGTCGTTACTGGTAAAAGCAGAGAGAGAGAGGACTAACCAGCATCTAGAAATCTGAATCTGATCACCATCCTAACCACTCCCAAGGAACAGCCCGTGTATGTGGCCCTGGTTGGATTGATCTATGGTACCGGCTGTATCCTGGGTCCCATCATTGGAGGTGCCTTTTCTGATAGTGCGGCCACCTGGAGATGGGTACGTAGGGTCTCTTTCTCGTCTCTTTGACTGTGTTAATTCCAGGACAGGCATTCTATCTCAACCTGGTCATCTTTGGGGTCATGTCACCCGTTTATCTCTTTCTCTTGCCCTCCTTGCCGCGCCCGGCGGGTGAGGGCCGCAGCTTCATCAAGAAGCTCGTGGAGCTGGACTGGGTGGGCACGGTTCTGTCTGCGGGCATGCATGTCGCCATAATTTTGTTCATCGTCTTTGGCGGAGTCGAATGGCCCTGGACGGATGGGCGAAATGTTGCGTTATACGTAGTCTCCGCCGCCTTGGTTGTGGCCTTCGTGCTGAGCCAGTACTATTGTATTGGAACCAACACAGACGAGCGATTGTTCCCTGGTGAGTTCTTGAAGGACCCTACGATGATCCTCCTCTACATCCTGATGGCCTGTGGTGGTGCCGCCCTCTTTGTGGCGGTCTACTATATCCCACTCTACTTCCAGTTCGTTCACGGTGACTCCGGCATTATGTCAGCGGTGCGGCTGTTGCCATTCATCTGCTTTTACGTGGCGACGATCCTGCTCTGTGGGTGGCTCATGCCCAAGACCGGCTACTTTATCCTCTGGTACCTCGCAAGCGGCATCCTTATGCTCATTGGATCCGTCTTGATGTACACTGTGCACTTCGATACCAGCGCCGCCAAAGTCTACGGGTACTCCATCCTAATGGGTCTAGGCATGACCACCACGCAGGCTGCCTATGCGGTGGGACCGGCCCTGGTGACTCCAGACCGGGTGGCCGAGTGCATTCAGTTCATGAACATCGGCCAAGGTCAGAGTCAACTGCTGGGGTTGGCCATCGCAAGTGCCATTTTCCAGAGCAAGACACTTAGCGGGCTCAACGACCTGTTGGGGAGCAGGGGTTATTCCCAAACGGAAATCGAAGGTGCCGTCGCCGGCGCCCAGAGTACCCTATTGGAGCAGCTGCCACCGGCTTTGAAAGTGCAAGCACTGTCGGTGATTGTGGATGCGATCGATGCTGTCTACGTGATGGCGGTTGCGGCAGGGGCCTTGTACGTGGTTGCATCCTGCATGCTGCCTCGTCGTCGGTTCTAGATCATTTTGAGAGGGAGCAGCTACGTAGAGCCATACCTCCAGACGAGATATCGGATTCTCGTCCGCGAGTGGGGCGATTTGGTAATGGGGCTTTTTCTGTTCATTGAGCGCGAGGTAGACTTCTAGATGCCCTTCACACTTTTATCTTTCACAAGGTTCTTAGCTGGTGGAGCCAAAATACACAATCCCCTTCTTGCTATTTTGACTTCCGTCTGTTTATCTTAATTGGCAACGCGCAGTAATTGGATTCATCAAGTGTTCTTTGCTGAGGCAGACTGAGGCAGAGAGAGGATCAGATGCTGGAATGAGTCGCAGTTGAGAGAGCTTTTATAAATTACTTTGGCCCCCAACTTTATATCAATACTATAAGATATACTATGATGTCACCGCCCCCATGTCTTGGATAAAAGATCCTGGGACTGCGGAGACAAAAGTTCAAGGTACGCGATTTTCCTTGGATATGAAGCTGCGATCTGATCCCTGAAGATGTTGCAGTAAAAATAACCCCTCGTGTTTTGAAACTCCCCTTTCCTTGCTCTTTCTCTTTCTCCCACATTTCTCCACTATTCACAATGTCAAACACCGAACTCCCCAACCCCGGGCGCCGCCGCAAACCAGCCAACATATACTACACACTCCCATACTTCGAACCAGTCATGTACTCCTACGTCTTCATCGGCTCATCCATCTTGGCCTGGGTAGCCGACTACCTCACCATAGTTGGAAAAACATGTATGTGGACCGGGTTCGCCATAACGTGCGCACTAGTGATCGCCACCCACCCAACGATCACCACCGATCGGATAAGACCCGATGAGAAGGGAAATCCTATAAAAGTACGCCGTCCGCTGGTCGGGTTTAAAAGATGGGAGTTTGCTTTGGATATCGAGAGTATTGAGAATGGGCTTTATGATGATCCGTATGGGAATTCGGATGAAAGACTTCATGATGGGTGTCGGTATACATATGCTTGGATTCGGTTATAGATTGTTCTTCTGATTTGATGGGTGTTGTGGTATTCTCATAAAACTCTTTGTTATTTTGGGTTGAATGGAGTTCCTGGCATGTTGGGTTGTCTACTACCAGATCAAGTAGATGGTGGAATTGGACTTGAGATATGCTTGAAAAGGTACTTATCCCGCCAATCAAACTTGCCAGGATTATCCTGTACTATATAATCCTTGTGGACTAAAGCAGTTGCTGATAAAGCAGGTAAGTATTAAATGTACATATCCGGAACTCCGACTCCGTATCCCAATCCAGAAGTCCTAGACAAAGCGGAAATATATCAAGTCTCCCCTCCAATTTTATATTGAACACAATCTCCCTTCAACTATCTATTATCCAAGCACCATGGGATGCCCTTCCAAACACCTACAAACAGGCAGTCTTCAAAGAACAAGGCGCCAGCCTATCCCTAGAAGAAGTAAGCTTAACTCCGCCTAAGCGTGACGAAATTCTAGCCAAAGTCGAAGCATATGGCGTATGCTATTCCGACCACTTCGCGCAGACAAATCCACGTCGATATGAATTACATTTAGAAACTCATTCCGATCTTTCTATAGTCCCCTCGTTCCTGGCCATGAGGTTATCAGACAAGTGGCTGCGGGTGGGGAGGATGAGACTATTTAGAAGGTTAGGGTTTAGATTAGGGTGTATAGCATGGTAGACATGATAGTATCTAAGTTTTTCCCCTTCCCCGATATTGTTGATATTTATACACTGGAAAGGTACCTGCGTGGCATATAGAAGGACTACTTCTAGGTGTGTGATAACGAGTAAGTAAACGGTATTTCCCGGAATAGTGGGTGTATATCTTTTCCTCTTCCCCCACTGCCCCCAATGTATAGAATCATATCCTCTCGATACTAATACTAACCCCAACCCCCTAGATGCCGAATACTGCACTATCCGTCGCGAAGCAGCAATTCACATCCTACAGCACGTCAACGCAGCCAAATACGCGCCGATGCTCTGCGCCGACGTAACAGTCTTTAACTTAATCCGGCAAATGAACATCCCAACCGATGAAATTATCCATCCAAGGACTGGACGGGCTGGGTCATCCGGCGCTGCAGTATGCGAACAAAATGTGATACCGGGTCGTGGCACTATCGTGGTGTTCCGAGAAGAAAGGCTTTGCGTGGAAATTGGGGGCGTGTGAGTATATTGATACGAGTCGGGAGGATGCTATTGCTGCGTGGCAGAAGCTTAGGGGAGCGAGCCCGGTTGTTTCTATGGCTCCTATGCTAGAGATTATTAATCCGCTTATTCGAGGGTTAGGTGTGCTTGGGAAGTCGTTGATTCTTTCTAGTAGGTTTCTTGTTTTGGGTTACTAGGCTTTTGGTGGATGCTGATGTGGATATAATTGTTGGTGGTATTGAGGTGCATACTGGCCTGTTGGTGATTGGGACTTTGCCACCGGAGTTACCGAAAGATCAAGATACTAACTCTATTGCAGGTTGGAAAGGGCATGTCCATCTGGAGCTGGCCTAGTGGTCATGCCGCCGATTCCGAGGATGCAATTGCCTTTGCGGACCTGCATGGCATCAATTGTCTGGAGGAAGAGTTCCCCTTGGAACACTGCAACGAAGCATTTGGTAATTTCTTTTCTCTTGTCCCGGGTTTTATCCTCTCTGACCTGCTGACTTTCTATAGCGGCTATGGTGGAGGGAAGTGTACGGTTCCGTGCGGTCATCACAATGCAGTAAGAAGTTGAGAGGATCTGGCGTTTTCAGAGTCTCTGGATAGGACGAGAAATGATGAATACGGGCGTTACGGTAGCATTACTCTAGGGGTCCTGTGGACTTAATCTCGAATCGAAGTGTATTTTCTCGTTTGATTCTTTTCTTATCAAGATTACGATCGATCCCGAGCCGATTTAACCTCTGTCGGGTCGGTCCAAGGTCTGCCCTTCATGCCAGTGGCTGACTGAGTTTATATATCTTCCTATCTTCCGAGGTCCACGCCTTCTCCGTTCTTGACACTAAAAACGTCAATCACATCTCTTTACGATATATATAGAATTGACACGTTCTCACGGATAATATTTTGTCTTAATCCTTGTCCATTGAACCTCGGTCAACCATCGGCCCGTTGCTGATAGAGTCTGGACTGCTTTCTTATAGAGCTATGGCGGCAGGGAGTCACTCCCAATGGTATATTTCGGCGTCGGGCCGGAAATCCCACTCAGATAGAATTCTGCAGCCTATACACTAAACGCTTGCTATGACGATCTAATTCCTAGACAGGTATCATTTCGCTATAACCAGGGATCGCTGTATGCAAATGCCTACATAACTGACTATAGGAGTCAGTTGGTGATATCAAAGCTTCTATAGTCCATTGATCTATTTATTACGAATTTTGTATGGAGGGATGGCTAGGAAAATTCGCTATGTTGTGATAATTAGAAATTCGTTCTATCGCATGGTAGAATCATATACGACAAATCCTATCGCCACAAGAGGAATATGCTTCGTTGTAATCGTAGCGGCGAGTTTTACTATACCTTCAGTAATGAGGTGACTCACTAGTGGGATTAAAGCCATGTTCTCCACGGCTCACTTTGCCCTTGAATGTTATTGGTACCTTTGTCACGTTAGATATGCTCTTATTTTTCTCTTTGTTGCGCAGCCTCGACCCCCTGTCCCTCCTACCCCTCTCCATCTCATCTTTAACATTCAGGAAATTACTTTAAGATTGCGGCTGCAGTTTGGAGTTGACTGGTCTGAATCAGATCTCCATCGTCTTGTCTTGTCCTCCCGTGGCTCCGTCATGTACTCCACTTTCTCCGCCAACTTCGACACCACGATTGACATCTCCCGTGAGAGGTCAGCGTCAGCCACGCCTGTCAAAGCTCCACGTCCTAAGCGTAACCAGGTCGCTCGGGCATGTGACTGGTGTCGGCTCAATCGCGTGAGATGCGATGACAAGCAACCCTGTCAGAACTGCTTGAATCGAGGTGGTCATTGCAGTAACACAAAACCACAGGAGGCTACCTCGCTCCCGGCTGCGAACCGGTATGAATCTCTCTTCACTCTCATCTCTCGAGTGCAGTGGCCTGCTGATCCATACCGAGAAATAGGGAGATACAGCGGTTACGAAATAAAGTCAAGGACCTTCAGGAGCAGATCGCAAAACTTAAAGATGAAGCAGAAATTCAAGCACAGGCCGGTTGCGTGACACCGCCGTCATCAGATGCCGCCCACAGCTCGGTCGACTTTGGGGAGCTTGTCAATACCACGGAAGGATGGCAAGGCCTCCAAGAGACAGGGCAGATTTACTACGGACCCTTGTCGTCCTCATATTTTGTCACCCGACTCACTCGCTATCTCTCTCAAGCGCTCAATCAGCCAATTGACAATGCGAAGCTGGAGGCATGCATGGCACGCTTTCATTATAATCCCCCGAGCCATCAACCGTCTCGATGGGATACAAGCCCCGCCAGCCAGACGGATCAGCATCCGGACGGAAACGAGGAGGCCGAGGACTTGACCCGGTCACAAGAGGAACACTTTCTCAATCTGCTCTGGCAGTCCTTTCATTGTGTCTATCCTGTCCTTTCCGAAGTTAAATTCCAGCAATATTACGACTCATTGTGGTCCAATCTAACGCCGGATGGTATTTCTACCCGGAAGCAATCCGCCTTGGTCGATGTATTGTTGGCAGTGTGTATGCACTACAGCAGCACCTTCTTCGCCGGTGAAGACAATCAGCAGGAGGATTCGGAGGCTGGATGGCGGGCCAAAAACGCGAATCTCGCTAGTCGAGCTTACTATCAGAGGGCCCAAAGGCTCCTGCAGAGTGAGCTCGAAAATCCAGGCATCGTGGTGGTGCAGAGTCACATCTATTCGATTATCTATCTGTACAACACCTCCCTACTGAACATGGCGCATATTAACTTGGGTGCCACGCTGCGAATCGCCCACGCGCTGCGACTGCACGTCCGCCCGCCAGACAACATCTCCTCCGCGCAGCAGGAGCTACACCGCCGAATTTGGTGGACACTCTATCGAATCGATAGCCAACTCTCGATGACCTTGGGCAGGCCGCCACTTATTCAGCTGCCCCATGTCAGCTGCGGGCTTCCTGGAGATACTGGCGAGCACGCAAAATTATCTGGCACAGTCCTCCTCTCAAACGATGAGGATATCAGTTGGCTCAGCTTCCATGTCCAATGCACAAAGCTCACATTTCTTGTGCAGGGCGTGCAGGCGGCATTTCAGCGAAAATGTTCCCAGTCGCTGAATGGGGATAAGGCCAAGGATATTTATGATGACCCACGCCTCCTCGAGACCTTGGCCGAGTTTCTCGGAAGGGAGATGACGGTCATTCATGACTGGGTTCAAAATGTGCCGCAGTCCCTATGTAATGCTCGAAAGGGCGTGGGGGAGCCTTTCTCCACCAATCGCGCCGCGCTCAACCTGTCCCTGTATAGCCCGCTCTGGCTTCAGCGCCAACGCCTCCTGCTGGAGCTCCACTATCACCACCTTCTGATCTCGACGCTGCGTCCCTTCATGCGATTCCCTCCCGTGAGCTCCTCCATGACCCCGCTCACTGACGGTTACAATATCTCCTGCCTGAACCACGCCATGGCGATCACCAGTATCCTAAACCAAGTGCTGTCCGAGACGGATCTCTTGCGCGGCTGGTCGCCCATCTTCCAGTACCAGTGGGATTCCATTCTGTGCACCCTGGGATTTGTGCTCGCAAATGCCCTCTGTCCCCCAACCTCTTCCGCCCACAAGTCGCTGCAGACAGCGATTAGCACGCTAGAACTCGTGAGTGATCACTTCTTGGCAGCCAAAAACGCGGCTCAGGTCGTCCGCGAAGTCAGTTGCCAGGCGGATCGGCTCATTGACCACCAACAAGGTCTATCACGGCGACAAGAGCCACGTGGCAGCCAATCCTTAACTACTATGCCCTCGGCTACGTCAGCCGACATAGTCGCCAGTACTGAAGCCCAATGGATGCATGCGAGTGCGATGATGCTAGACTCTTGGACTACCAACCCGTGATTTGGCCAATAAGGGTTCGTTTCATGAGAGAAAACCTAGAACTAGAACTCACGGAAATTGTGAGTTTTATAGATGGCATTTGTGGAGAGGAAATAGATTATGGAGAAGGAGGAGTTGACTCTTTTGTTTCTTTGTTATGACAACGATGATAACGATCCAGAGGAAATATTAGAGCTAATAGGGAGAGAGTGACTTATATAGTTATTAACGCTCATGATACCTCATTTCATGCCACACTGGTGTATCCATGCATACTATGTAAATACCTATCACTATTAGCTTCAGTGGGAGATAAAAGAGCGTGGAACAATCTAAGTAGAATGCCACGGAGTCCGACTCCCTTGGACTTTACATTGCCCTTTCTTATGGATATCGATCTAGCATACTGACACGCCTATGTATCGTACTGCAGCAGTTAAACTTAGATGAAGAGGCTACTGTGTGCCATGTAGACCACAGTAGTATCAAGTCAAATCTTCGAATGAGAGGGGAGAAAGTCAGAGCGTAGGAGATCACGGTCTCTGTGTTCTGCGGTGTTATATCCAAAGTTCAGCATTATATGATGGATACCAAGGTATCAACGTCCGCCGTATCCTGAAGGATCTCACGGAGGAGCTTATACAACAGCTCCAGGCAAGGTTTGAGAAGGATCAAAGAATGCTTTTCATTACTTTCGATATTATCATAACCGCATCGTATCATTCATCGACCGGGATAAACCTCAACATCAGCTTCCGCCCGCGCGGCAGCGAAATAAACGCGTAGTCCTGCTCAATACCTTCATCGTCTACAATAGATGTCGTGTAATTTGAATACACAGCCGCCATGACCAATTTGATTTCTGCTTTATCAGTATCTTTTCCAAGGCCCATAACTGGGAGACATACCTTGCAATGCAAAATTACTCCCCAGGCACATGCGTCCACCGCTCCCGAACGGCCAGAACAGCCGCCTCATGTCGTGGATCTTGTCGCCTGGCTCGAGCCATCGTCGTGGCAGCCATTCCAGCGGGCGCGGGTAGACCTCACTGATGCGGTGGAGGGAGTAGGCGGTTGAACTGACCCTCACGCCGCCCGGGATGTTGTCGTACCCGTGCAAGGAAGTTCCTTTTTCTGTGGTGGGGGTGACGCGGGGGAGCTGGGCTGGGGCTGGGGAGTGAAGACGGAGTGTCTCGCGGATTATAGCATCCAGCAGGGGCAGGGCGTCGACCGCGGAAGCAGGGGGAAGGGGCTTCTCTCCGTCTGTATCTGGGTATCTGAGGGACGGAGATAAGGTGCGTAGTTCCTTTCGGAGCTCGGCCTGAAGCTCCGGACGTTGCGACAGCTCCCACATCATGTATGTGGAGGTGATGCCTGACGTTTCGTGGCCTGCAACCAGGTGGTCCAGCAGTTCGGACGCAATTGCTAGGTTCAGCGGACGCGGATCGTATTCTTTCTGGGAGAGGAGGCTCTGGTGCAGCTGGTCGTAGACGACTGGGTTCGTGGCTGGCAGCTTCTTCTCATCTCTGAAGATGTCCTGTTTCTTAGACGCCTCTATCCGCTCGCATAGCTCCAAGCACCACCTCTCAATAAACCCCATATACCGGTCGTCCCGACTCAAATACTTGAATCGCTCATACTCCTCTAACCATATCTTCCAGTCGGAAATATTAAACAAATACCTCGTTCCTTGTCTCAACCCAAACAAGAAAGAGGAGGTAAAGTCCATCCCAACCGCCTGAAATAGTGGCAGCACATTCAAAACCTCTCCACCCTCCCCCGCCTTCTTGAGAATAGGCATTAACCGCTCCCACAGCACAACCTTCGAGATCGTGTGCAGATCACTGGATTCCTGGAGAAACGACTTGGAGTAGATCTTGCTCAACATGCGCTTCTGGTGCGCGTGCGGCGCATTGTGTACCATGCCGACCAAGTTTTCGGTGTTGAAGTTGACGAAGACATCGTTGTAGAAGGCGTGTTTCTCGAAAGCGCCCGTATATATTATTCTCAGACCATGGAGAGAATTGACGCTCAGCTCCTTGGGGCCGAGACGGACGATGGGGCCATGCTTTTGGTGCAGGGCGTAGATGGTGAGGACCTCCGTGGCTGTGCTGCGCTTGCGGTCGATCCAGTAGCTAGAGAGGGGGGATGTGAAGTGGGCATTGGGGATGGAAGATAGCGGAGAGAGGAAGTAGGGGCTTATAACATGGTAGTATATGAGGTAGGAGGTGAGGATGAGGAGGGCGAGCGGAATGAGGGGGGGTCATAGTGATGGGTGAGGGAGGGTAGAAAGGAAGAAGATAAAATGCCAATCAGATGGCGGTTATTTCAATTGATAGTCAGTCCCACGCATGCTCTGTTCTCATGCAAGGAATCTTGTCCCCGCCAAAGCAATGGGGGTGGATAGCAAGATGTCCGTACAGACTAGTATCGAGGGGGCCAATCATTGACTTCTGGGTTGATTGATTGATCCGACGAAAAGCTATCTACGGAGGAATATGTTGAAAGAGAGACTCGAGTCTTGACATGTTGATTAAACCGGTATTCCGAGTACATTGGCCCCGATTTACCGGGCGGAACGGGTGTCTGTACAGCCAGAGGGACCCGGGGGGGGGTGTCAAAAACCCCTTAATATTGGAAAGCAATTAGTTTGGAGGATTTTGTTGGCCAGAATCAATTATCTTATATAATATAAGTAAGGGCTTGGCGCCCTTACAGGTCCAAACACTCCTGGCGTGGCAATAACAACCATAGTGGAGCCACAATCAACACGGAGCCCTAGTTCACACTAACTTGCAGGATGCTGCAACCATGCTCTGCCGTCCTGCTACAGAGTTTCACTATCTCAGCTGCCAAGAACGAAGATTCTGTTGGAGAGCTGCTCCACTGTCGGCCAGAGGCGCCGGGTGGATTCCACGAGGCGGAGAATATTCCAACGCTTAATACTCTGCTTTTATACCGATGCGACCTACCGTTACCCCTGTCTTTTCGTACTAAGCCTTCGTTGTCTTTGTTGTCTACATGTCAATATGCCCTGGAACAAAGACCCTTCAACAGTTACCATGACTCAGACCGACGAAGCCCAGTCTAGAGGCCAGGTCGCCCCCAAATGGCGCGGCACCCAGGCCGACCAGGCCGATATGAGCGCTCTGGGGAGAGATCAGGTCTTGCGGGTATGTCCCCTAGGACTATGGTGGCTTATGCATCTGAGCTGACCCTGCAGCGTAACTTCCGATACATCTCCATCGTAGGATTTGGCTGCACGCTGATCGCCACGTGGGAGGTTGTTTTGACGTATGCCATCAATACTTACTCTTTGGTTCAATGACTAACTGTCCAGTCTGCTGGCCCAAGGCCTGACCGATGGAGGAACTGCCGGTTTGATCTGGGGGTTCCTCATCGTCGCTGCTGGGTTTCTTCTGGTGTTCCTGAGTCTGGCCGAGATGGCATCCATGTGAGTCTACCCATTGAGAATTTCCATTCATTCTGACTTCCTAGGGCTCCCACCTCCGGCGGACAGTACCATTGGGTATCGGAATTTGCCCCTCCTAGCTGCCAGAAATTCCTCAGCTACATCACCGGCAAGTTCTTCCCGCCCCACCTCCTCAACCAAGCTAATTATGTAGGCTGGCTATGCGCTATGGGCTGGCAATGCGCCATCGTGTCCATCGCCTATTTGGCTGGAACTATCATCCAAGGCCTGGTCGTGCTGAACAACCCGAACTATGACTTCCAGCGGTGGCACGGCACCCTGTTGGTGATCGCCATCACCATGTTTTCGATCATATTCAACACCTTTTTGGCCAAGCGGCTGCCCTTCGTAGAGGTGTTGATTCTAATCCTGCATGTGTGCGGCCTGTTCGCCATCATAATTCCGCTGTGGGTGCTGGGCCCTCGCCGCAGCGCGAAGCAGGTGTTTACCGAATTCAACAACGGCGGGGCCTGGGACAGCGCCGGGACTGCCACGCTCGTTGGATTCTCGACCACCATCACGGCGCTGATTGGATATGATTGCGCGGTGCACATGTGTACGTCCCTCTCTAAAATATATGAACTTTGCTAATAGTGAGCAGCGGAGGAGATCAAAGATGCATCCGATACCCTGCCAAAGGCGATGATCACCTCTGTCTGCGTCAACGCCGCCTCCGGTTTCCTGATGCTGGTGACCGTCTGCTTCACGCTAGGCGACATTGATGACATCCTTTCCACACCAACAGGGTACCCGTTCATGCAGGTGTTCTACAACGCGACGGAGAGTCTGCCGGGAACGAACACCATGACCGCCATTCTGGTGCTGACCCTGACGGCGAGCACGATCACAGAAGTAGCAACGGCATCGCGCCAGTTATGGTCTTTCGCGCGTGATCGCGGCCTTCCTTTCTCCGATTTCTTCGGATATGTACGTCTTCCTCTCTTTCTCCGGGTTTGGCAACACTAACAGCACCAGGTAAACCCTAGCTGGAACATCCCCTTAAACGCCGTGATGGTCTCGCTGGCAGTGACAGTCCTCTTGTCGCTCATCAACATCGGCTCCACAACGGCGCTTCTCGCCATCGTGACCTTGACTATTGGCGCAATGATGTCCTCGTACATCATCACGATTGCCTGCCTGCTCCTCAAGCGTATCAGAGGGGAACCTCTCCCACCGCACCGATGGACGCTCGGCCGGTTCGGTATGGCAATCAACATCGGGGCGCTGTGCTTCCTGTGCCCGGTGTTTGTATTTGCTTTCTTCCCGCTCACCTCGACTGTGGAACCAGACACCATGAACTGGTGCGCAGTGATGTACGGAGGGATTCTGATCATCGCGGTGGTGTACTATGTGTTGCGGGGACGGCACCATTACATCCCGCCCGTAGCGCTAGTAAAGCGAGAGATGTAATCTCTACCCACTTGTATAATATTACGTTAGAGGGAATGCTAATAGTTAGAGAATCAATCAAGGGGTTAATAAAGACTGGATATTAACAAGCGAAGCTAAAGAGAAGGAAGGGCTTGGCAGAGTTAGACCTTGCCCAGGCCCATCCATAGGCCCTGGCCTAAGAACTTCATTCTCATGAAATTTTCATAGTTTCACCATATTTTTGCTACGTAAATGTCCTATAATACTAGTATCTATATTAATTGAGTAGAAAATATACGTTGAATGGGTTCAGTTAAAATAAGACTTAACAAAAATTGTAATCCAAAAGACATAAAAGTAGTGATGCGTCCACACTGAGTGTAAATATAAATGACTACAAAACATCCTGAATCTACAAATCTACCCCCAATATACTGTCTACATGTCGTATTAATATACTTACTATGAATACTATATATTAATACAATATGTCATAGGATACACCTTTATTCTGATCGGTTACCTACATTATCAGTAGTTATTGGAGGAGATTGGAATTCCAATGGTTGAACCTCCTATTTAAGAAGCTTACATAACTTGATGGGCCCATTGGTGCCGCCATGGGCGGGCCGTGGCGTATGTGCCTCATAGATCTGAAACATGGTAGTATGCATTACCTATGGCCTCGTGCACCGGGTCTTTCCGACTTGGCATCTCTGGTTTAGGAATTCTCCGGATATATTAAATAATAAGAACAGGGATCAAGGTCGTGGGCATAAGCTCGATAAATTATTTAAATTATTAGAGATTAAGGTGGGGCAGCTCGATTGACATACTTTAAGCGGAAGGGTTCGGCCCCCATGCGGCCCCACATGGCGAAACTCTATTCCGCCGAGTAAATAGGTACAGAAGTAGTTCGTTTGGTTGGTCTGACCATCTCCCTGATTCAAGTTTGCATATTAGGTAGCAATCCGGTCGGGGCTGTATCGCTTTCTATTGACGGATTATGTAATTTATTAGATATTATGGAGGCGGAGGGGCAGCTCGGTGGAGATGCTTTAAGCGGAAGTGTTTCGGCCCACATACGGGCCCATATGCCCACGCACATCCCGAGATCGGCCCCATGGCTGGCTACCAAGAGAATCGTTAAAACTTAATCTATCACGTTGCGTTGGATGCCATCCTTGCTAGGTCCCTCCGCTTGAGTTGTCCGAGCTGACCATCCGTGGAATCCCCATCATCATGATCGCCGATTATCGTCCATTTCCATTTCCTTTTAGCTCAATCCCTCCCTGACACTTCTAACCCACAGACCACGATTTGGTCTCCATGCCGCAATGGCCATCAAAGTGCCCCCCGGCCAGTCGCCGCCTTTCGAGACGATAGACGACAAGCACCATGCCGGTATTATCATTATCACCGGCGCCATCTGTCTGATGATCTCGCTGGTCTGTCTGTTGATCCGGGTGTACGTGCGGGTATTCCTCAATCCACCATGGGGATCAGACGATATCATCCTGCTGGGAGCGACGGTATGCAATTGAGAGGAATTGACCTGTTCTCTACTTGAGGCTAACGGGATAGATCTTCGCCATCGCCGAGTCGATCATCATCTTTCACGCCGCGAGCATCGGCTTTGGGACGGACATATCGCTACTCACCGAGAAGGCCGTTGATCGCATACAGAATGTATGCATTACCCAACACCGCAGCCAATTGGATATAAGAGAATAACCGAAAACATAGTCCTTATTCGCCGCCGACATCCTCTACCTCTTAACCCTGTACCTCTCGAAATGCTGCATCATCGCCATCTACTTGCGCTTGACGCCCCGCAAGCGCCACAAGAGCATCCTCTGGGCGACGTTCGGGCTCAGCACAGTGGGCGTCATCATGTCGGTGCTGGTTATCGCAGTGAACTGCGAGGGGAACAAGCCGTGGGCTGTACCTGGCGAGCAGTGTCATAATCTGGTATGTCTACAAATGCAAAAGAGCCAACCGCCCTCTAAAACCGCGCACCAATTATACGGACATGGAGTGGGATATACTAATGCTGACAAGTTCCCCCGCTGGCAAGCAATCGCCGCGCTCGACATCTCGACCGAAATCTTGCTTTTCACCTTCTCTGTCGCACTGGTCTGGGGCCTGCAGATGCACATGTCACATAAAATCGTGATCATGGTATCCTTCGCGGCGAGACTACCGTACGAGTCCCACTTCCACTTCCCAAACGTAAACCACGTAAACACCATTGATGAAACTAACACATCTAACGGATAGGTTAATAATATTATCTGCCCTCCACCTCTCCACCCTTAAAGAATACACAACCACCAAAAACCCCACCCTCACCGCAATCAGCCACACGGTCTTCACCCAGCTTCACCTCAACTACGCCATTATAACATGCACGGTATTCTGCCTGCGCCCCTTTATGAACGCCCTCACAACATACTACGGCACAGCCGGCGACTCTAACCTCGGCAGCAGCAGCGGTGGCTACGGGTACGGGTATGGATCCGGAAGACCGGGAAATACAGACCCCTACGCGTCAGGGCGGTCGCGGGATTACGAGATGGGGAGTAAAGGGACGGCCCGGACGGCGGGCGAGTGGCTTGCTCAGGTTGAGGCCGGATGTGGGCGATGGGACGGAGAATGGGACGGTTGTTTGTGAGGCTGTGGGGCCGGCGCATTCGGGGGAGGGGAGGTCCGAAGGTGATGGGGGTAGTATACGCAGTGGGAGTGATAGAAGTACGAGGATGATTATTCGGAAGGAGGTGGAGTATTCTGTTTCTGTGGGACATTCATAGATCTTTTCTTTTGTTTGGATGAAATATACCATCTTTCTACCCCGCGGTCTGCGCTATAGTAATAAGCACTACAATTAATGTCCGAGCTTCAGTATGGGTGACAGAAGTTAAAGGCCGAGAGGACACGGATGAGTGCTGTTCGCTGAACGGTACGTAAAGTGTCGTAGATAGTCTTGTCTCGGAGTGGATTGTGTCAGACTGTTATCCTCAACATGGCCGTCTGGTGATTTTAACGGACATAATCTGAGTCAAATAGAATCGGAAAGCAGATAGTATACACAAAGTAATCACTTGAAATCCTCAGCAATATTGTGCATAATCAGTCCGTACTTCAGGGCTGCTGGTTAAAATCGTACGCATTACCAAAACCGCGGTTCAAATAACGTGAAATGGCCTCGGGCTTGGTCACCCAGTCTACCGGAACTTCCACATCAGTCTGACTTTCAATGACAGGCCTCAAGTCATCAGCCAACTCGAGTTTCATGGGGTTCCGGTACCAAGAAGCGAAATGAACTGTCAAAGTTAGGTTTGGCTGTTCAAAAGAAATCAACAGAAATGACTTACTCATTGCCAGCATCACTCGCGGGATTTCAGTCTGGTTACCAACTCCAGCATGCCAAAGCCGCAGGTCCCTGATAATAAGAGAGCCTTTTGGCACAACAGGTTGGCAGGGAGGTCTGTCCACACGACGTTTTTCAAGCTCGTCTAGCTTGACGCGACCGCTTGCTCGCTCACCGTGTAGTCCCTCTTGAACATGTAGTCCAGTGTCTGTGTGCGTTCCCAGCCACACTTCAGTGGAGCCGTTTTCTGGGGTCATTGTGATAAGAGGCACGTTGATCACGTATGCAAATGGATGGGACGGATGCGCAAAGTCTGCGTCTGAATGGACAGGCTGGGACATAGGAGGGTGCTCTGCTGTGGGTGGCATAGCGGTATTTCCGGAACAGAATGTCCATTTCGGACGGGGTCCCAATGCCGACGAGGTAATCTGGGTTGCAAATGGGTCTTTGTGGAAGTTAGAGAAGTTGCATATAGGACCGTGTTTTTGTCTCCTGTTAGACTTACTTAAGAAAATGCTGGTATCAAAGTGTTCTCTCACTGGCGGAGCATCTTGCTGGATATTCCCTGGGTTGTAGTTGAATGGACTATCCCCCTTTCTGGACTGAAGAGTGTATGCATCCTCGATCATCTTTTTGTTGAGCCGATCAAGGCTATCATGAGGTATCACATTCTCAACGACAACGAGGCCATCCTGATGAAGGCTGCGCATCGCAATCTCTAAATTTTGGGGAGAAAGTCGCGCATATTCAATCTCAGTGTTTGATGGGCAGATTGAGGTCGGATGGCTTGTGAGTTTGCCTATCTGGGTTGACAATGATCGTATTTGACAGTGACGGCTTAAAGCTGCCGGGGCTTTGAAAAATATATGACTCATTATAGTCTTCACAAAATCAAACGTTTCGCACAATAGAAAAGAGGACCGTTTGGTGGTGGTGGGTGTAATTAACTCAAAGTCATCTTTTGCTCTGGAGTAAAATCGAGATGAAGTAGGCAGTGTTTTATATTCTTAACGAGGAGAAATCCTTTGACCTTCTCGCTGGCTCCAATGACAAAAGAATATTGAAATGACTTGCACTCACTTCTCGCATTGTCCTCGACTTTCATGCACTTACATAGATCCAATAGGCTTCATTGTCTGATACTTCAGTTAAAGTGGGGATTTGGGGATGGGGCCTCCTCTCTCCATCTCGCGATTCGCAAAACCCATCTGTTTCTCGCTTTTCGCCTTTTCGCTTTTCGCCTTCCAAATTCCCACTAGTTGTGCGCCACCAGCAAAGATCCCCAATTGCATAGGTCGTTAGGATCCTCCAGTGATCATTTGTTTCTTAGTGTTCGCGCTATCGGTAGCTTGGTGAAAGGCGGTAGAGTCACTGCGTCATAGCGACGGCTGACTCTAGCACGCTAACAGGAGCTGGCAACAGTTTAGCGAAGGCAAAGTCGAATACGAAAAGAGACGCTCGCGAATCCTCGCCTTTGGAGAACCTGACTGGACGTTGCCATTCTCTCGCATCTTCATCAATTCGAATAAGGGCCTGTAAGGCCGTCGCAGCTGCAAAAGACGCAAATGCCGCGACCAATTCAACGGAATCGTAAGTCTTTTGCAGGTATCTCGACCGGACCATGTAGTTTTGATATTAATGTGTCACTAGGCTGGTAAATGGCCCCGCACTACGCAGAATATGTGTCTCCTTGTTTATCCCGTGGCGGTTGATAGCTCGATTCCAAGCCTGAAACCACTGCTAACTAAGATTTTCTCAGCCAAATATGCAGATCACGGAGAATTAGATGTTAGTATTGCATGTTTCATTAAACAATGTCATTTATTGCAGACGGCTGACGGAACTCAAAGGCGATGGGAAACGACCTAAATGTTCCCCCTGCCAACGAAGTTCCCGCAACTGTCACTGGATCCATGAAACCGGCACAGCTGCTTCACCAAGTCCTGTGCATCAAGTGGGTCCTTTGAGCTCAACTGTCCATGAAACCGAGTATCCTTCGACGCAAGATCCTGAACATGCCCTGCAAGATCTACAGGTTGCGAGGTTGTTCCGCCACTATATAGAAGAACTAGCTGCGTGGTATGATCTGAACGACAGCAAGCGCCATTTCAAAGATGTCGTTCCGATTCGAGCGCGATATAATCCGCTATTACTCAGTGCTATCCTCGCTTTTGCTGCTGCTAATCAACACCGCACTCTCGGAGACCACGTCTATCTGGACATCGCAGAGTTTTATCACTATGATAGTGTTCGAAGACTGATATCTCTGACTGACAACCTGGATCAGCTTCCCATTGGAGAGACCCTGGCGGCTATTTGTCTACTCCGTTCTTATGAAATCATAACGCGTTAGTACATTTATTATGGATCTTTCATCATCTGAAGCTGAAGCTAACCGGGGATGGCTATGATATGTCATTAGAAAATGTCAGCTCTCAAAGTCATCTGCAAGGATGCTATTCTCTTTTGGCCAGCCGGAAAATCTATCTCACAGCAGACCTACTCAGTGCTGGCTACTGGAACTATCTGCGCGAAGATATCACCGTAGCCCTCATCGAGCAGCGCAGTCTCATGATCACTCTTTCGGGTCAAAACGCTCCTCCAGAACCAACCGACGACCTGGACTTTGCTAACTCTATCACTTTTCTTCTGGGAAAAATTATCAACCGGTGTTTATCTATTGATTCTCCGGCCTTGGGCCTCCTGGAGTGGGAAGCCATGAAGACCGATCTCGACAACTGGAAATCCTCTCTTCCTCCATCGTTCGAGGTTATAGAAACCTCGGGGCTAAGAATGCAGAGTAGCTTCCCATCTATATGGACACTGCGAAGCTGGCATGGTAATAATCCTTCATATGAACCGTTCGCCTTTTTCTTCTAACGTAACATGACAAGTATCTACCCTCCATTACTACCACACCGCCATGGGCATTCTTTGGCTAGCCAAGCCGGCAGCTCAACCCTTAAATGCATTACAACGCATAGACGATGTCGAAAGCCTGCGTGGAAAACTGGAATATCATGCAACTGAAATCTGTGCTTTGGCCTTTTCAAGCGAGTCTGCTCCTGTGTGGGTCAATGCTTTCGGTCCGATAGCATTTTGTGAGTATTATTGGGTGTTCGTTTGGTATCAGGTCTGATATGTTGCTTTTGCAGGTGGTCCCTGGCTCCGAGATACCCGAAAGCAAATGGAAATAGCAGATGAGTTAAAAAAATGGGGGAAAGTTACAGGGTGGCCGGTTGCACTCATTGCAGCCGAACTGTCTCCGCCTTCAGCCACTGGCCGATAGTTGCGCATGGACCTGTCAAGAGATGCTGAATCACATTAGGAAACAGGGAGACATCATGCAGACATGGCGCGAGCAGCTGAGACAATTCACACGTGTCGATAGTGAGCTCATCCCGTTCAGTGTGGTGCTATCTACCGGACTCTGCTGGGCATTACCTGCTCAAATTCCTATTTGATCAAGAGCCACAGGCAATCCCCACTTTAGTCACTGTTGTCTCGTTCTTAGAGCAATGCGAGAGCCCTATACTGTATTAAAGTGACTCAGTGGACATGCTCCGAACCATGCTTGATCGCGCTCCAGATATAGATATTACAGACAATATGCTCATGGCCGTCGCACATCCCGATCGACTGCGGCTATTCCTTTCTCGATATCGCTATCTCCCTGTTCAAGACAATGTGCTAGCGAGCGTGTTTTCAGATAGGTATAGGAAAGATGGGCTTGAACTCCTGAAGGTGTTTTTCAATCACTATCCAACTTTGAAAATTGGCCCCGAAACATTTTGCGCCTGTTTAAAGGAGCGAAAATTCCACTGGGGCCCTTTTTGAGCAGGATCCAGACATTTATATTCCTTCCGATTTCCCGTCAACATTAATTGGAACTTTACGGACTTACGGTGAGCAAGCGACGTGCGTTTACTGGTTGAATTGCTCCTCCGATACGGCAAGAAGGTCGAATTCACAACTGATAATCGGAGGACATCGATGAGCTATTACAGCTTCAATCGGAGAATGACCTCAAGCGCCTTCTTCTGAGTCTTGAGAGGAAAGATTGACACATTACCCAAGAGATAGGGAGTCATGAGCTTGATTTGAGATAACTTAAGTTACAACCCAACTCCTTAATCTCAGGGGCAAACAAATAGAAAGGGTCTATCCACCGAGCGCAGTCCAATTCTGCGGGGATTCGAATCAAAACATCAATGCTCCTGTCATTTCGCACTTTTAGCTTGTCCAAGATCTGTTGACGAACTTCTGCTCGTATAAACTTCTTGAATCGGATTAGTAGGGCATCCAGTTCCGCGACCTAGGTGAGAATTAGGGTGAGAATCACCCTATATATAGCACATCCTTCTCTCCCCCGGTTGCTCAACGATAAAGCGGTTCTCGCTCAAATCTTACCAAGGACCCCCCGTTGTTCGCGCTATAAGTTATAGTCCCCTTCCATGCTAGAATAAGAACATACGACCGCAGGGTGAGTGCGCTATATAGGGAGCGAGAATCAAGGAGAGAACAAAGTGAGAATCACCCACGTCGCGCGATCACTTCACGAGCATCTTACTCGGATCGCTGTATTGTACGCAACCATTCCTTTGTAGCAAGGTTCTGAGTATCTATCATAAAATCCTCCCCTACCAAACCCCCCCCCCCAAATCAGATAATTATGATAAATGGGTGGGGGATAATTAGATATACTGTAATATGGTGAGGGCGAAGAAAAAGAAACTCCGATAGGGGGAATCGAACCCCCGGCTGTCGTGTGAGAGACGACGATGTTAGCCACTACACCATATCGGATGTTGGATGAAAATTAAACCAAAATTTGCCATAATGAACCATTTAGGTTTACCGCCGATCGCCGTCATGCCCATGCGTGGTTGTATATAGTCTGTTCCCCTCTCGCCATCCAGCGTCTTGCCGTTTCTTCCTTTCGCCCCTCCACCTTGGTCGTTGCAGGCGAAGCATTTTTGCCATTGAACCGCAACACCGAGCCCCGGAGCTCCGCCACCCCCGTTTTTCAGCCTGTACCTTCGTCGGCTTCTCGGCGCACCCCGTGATATTAATCCATCGCGTTCTCCCTGTACTTTTTCCATATGCACCGACAGCGGCACGCAAGCTCACCGCCTGATGTTTCGACCGACCGGGACTTCTTCGTCGCTAGGTGCAAATGCCTTCGGTCTACGTCCTTTGAAGACCGCCGCTCGCTGCAAATCTGCCTTGTAGAAGCGGGAATTTCTGGCCCCAGTATGCCCTGCTTCGACTGATCAGAACGTTTCGGTCATGGGTCGTCCAACTAAATTTTTTTCTCACACTCTGGCGACCGCAGAAGCCGACCTAGAAACACTCGTTTCTACTCCTTTCGGCAACGAGCGCGATTCTTCTCGAATGTCTAATTGAGATTTCGATTCGGCTTGCGGATCCTACGATACGCAAGGCGATGGTGTCGATACACGGGTATCCATCTCTTTCCCTCGATTCCTCAACAGTCTATCGGGCACTCGGTTTGAGGAACTTTCACCGTCCTGACCCTCGTTCTCACGCGCCTATGACCAGAAGTCTCGTTGGCTACATGATCGATTGGCATAAAAGATGAGATAGGCTTTCGCAACCAGAGCCCGGCAGGTCCGATCATAACTAGGTCTGAGCTACATTACTAGGATCGATTGGCTAATATGGGTCGATTGAGCCGTGTCAAAGCATTCGATATCTCATTGGGGGGCTAAGTTTCCGCATTGACCTTTTGGGGGTGCTGAGCAATTCGAAAGCAGCATAGTTGAACTCAACAGGTGGAGACTGATATGCAACATGATGGAGTCAGCTATCTGAATGGTCGGAAGCAGCAGGTTGGAACATGCAGAGACCGACGATGCACTCGTTCCAGGCAAGTCGGTCCAGGTTAGCCCTGGTATCATTGGCAGAGATGTCTTAATCAGTGGCGAAGTCTGCATCGAGAATTTGAACCTAGGCTGTTTCTGCCTCGTGAGAAATCTTAGCACGTCCAAGAAGGCATGTGCAACACACCACCTTTCTTAGGCAAGGAATTACGCAGCCTTGGTAGTTGTAGTTAAAAGGGTTTGAGTTTACCACCGTACATGAAATAGTCAGCTGTATTCTGGAAAACAATAAGTCAGGGTTCATAAATCCTATTTCTAGATAACGATTTCAATTTCTTTGAAAGAATATGATAATTATCGTTGTCTAGAGGAAGAACGTGTGATTTGGGGAGAGTAAATCATGGCTTGGCCCAGGACAATCGTGCCATCGAGCCGCCGCTAATACTAAAGAAGTCATGTCTGCTCTCCATACACTCAATGCTCCCAACTGGTCGGCCATACTTCTGCTGCTAAATAATTAGGCTATGGAAAGAAACACGGGACATGCAGTTTAGATCAAAATAATCGTCTGCAGACTGCTTGAACCTGTTGTTGAAAGACCAAGACTTGACACCCAAGACATACGTCTTTCACTGCGGATCAATGAATCATAAGCCGAGTGAACGAAGGCCCCGAGACATACCTAAAAGGCCATGCTGTTCTAAGATGCTTTTTCAATGTTAGTCGCACTGTCGGTCGGACACTGTAGTTGCACGTGAGGCTAGTGACAGGGGTTAGATCCTGGCGCGAGGCATCAAATGTTTGCCTCGTCAGCCATCTTGGAAAATCTCCACCTATATTCATTGTGATAGTTCTTCTACTTTTCTAATGGATTCTTCGACATCTTTTACAGGATCAAACTTCGGGCTTCAAATTGGACACAACCATGGAGCGACCAATGCGCATTTCCACTTGCCTCCAGGTGACGACTCCCAGATCCACAAAAACAACCCCTGTCTGACAATGCGAACGAAGCCGCAGAAGAGCGACCGCAACCCCTTGCTATGATTCCCTTCGGACGCGATCCAGATTTCGTGGACCCAGGATCTCTTATAGACCGTGTACATGGATTAAGTTCTGAGCCTTCGGCCAGACTGGCGCTGGTTGGCTTCGGCGGAGTTGGGTAAAAATGTTCGCTTCAAAGAGAAAGTACAATTGTCTAACAACGAGAAGCAAATCTCAGATTGCCATCGAATACACGTACTGGATTCGGGAACGGTCACCCAGAGTTTGGGTTTTCTGGGTCCACGCGAGCGATATTGTGCGATACGAAGAGGGCCTCCGTGATATCGCGGAGCGTGTCAAAATTCCACGTCGTCAAGACCCCACTGCCAATATATTTCAGCTCGTTGGTAATTGGCTCCAGGATCTACAAGAAGACCGATGGGTTCTCATTCTTGATAACATCGACGTTGATGAATATCTTCACAAGCCAGCCTTCAAAAATTCAGAAACAGCCTGCAATGACGAACGAGCTGAGCTACCAAATCAACAAGGCGCGTTTTCTGAGAAATCGCCGCTTGAATTTCTTCCAAGAACCCCAAATGGGTCCGTTATAATCACGACTCGCAGCAAGCGCATTGCAATGAACCTTGTCAATGAATGCAATATCATAACAGTCGAGCCTTCGGAGAGTCATGCATTTGCTTTGCTTCAGAGAAAACTTCAAGACAAAGTCGCCGCGGATGAACTGAGCCTGAAAAGACTTGCTCGGGAACTTGATTGGATAGCACTGGCTATCGTTCAAGCAGCAACTTTCATTGCAAGGCACTCCCCTCGATGTTCTGTATTACAGTATCTTGAAATGTTCCGAGAGAGTAATGCAGCAAGAACGAGACTCTTGAGGCGTCAAACAAGATTGTTACATCGTGATCGGAGAACTGATAATTCTATTATAGTAACCCTGCAACTGTCTTTCGAGTCAATCCAAAAAGAGAATCCACAAGCCATGGATCTTCTGTCCTTGATGAGCTTTTTCGATCGACAAGGGATCCCAGATTATCTACTGCAAGAATCATTCCACGATGATGATATCGATGAAATCAAGAGCGATATCGACGAACGCTATACGCCATTCGGACCTGCTTATCAGAGAGAGAAAAGCAATGAACAGGTCTTAGCAGATCCAAATGGCAGCATTGATGGTATAGCTCCATTCAATCTGTCTCAGTTAGAATTCGAGGACAGCGTTGCCACGCTCAATGACTACTCTTTCATTTCCATTGATCATGAGACACTTACCTTCGAGATGCATGGTCTTGTACAACTTTCGATCCAGGAGTGGCTTAGCACACAAGAAAGACTCGAGCACTGGAAAGAGATATTTGTTCGAAATCTATATCTGGAATTTCCAAAATTCACCAATTTCGAAAACATTTCTAGATCTCGAGCCTTATTCCCACACGTTCAATCAGCGTTATCACATGGCCCAGATTCAAATCATCGACTAAGGTGGGCCAGACTTATCCGTCATGCCTCTGATTATGTGCTCTTCTGCGATAAACCATATGAAGCGAAACGCATGACCGTCATCTCACGGAAGGAAACCGAGGATAGTCTCGGGTGGGAACATCCAGAGACAATTGTTGCCTCCGCTTTCGAAGTGAAGTCACTGATGAATTGCGAAGACTTCAAGACTGCCGAGGAGCGATGTCTCCAAACGATCGAAGCATGTACCGATTTTCATTTGGAAACAGGCTACAAAATCTATCTCACGTTTCGCTGGCTTCTCGCCGAGATATATCATCGGCAAGGCTCTCATCGGTGGGCTGAATCTGAAACTGAATACAAAGAGCTATGGAAGACGTGGGAGCGAGAACATCCGGACGAGGAAGAGCCTATTATCTCCATTAAGGCAGCCCTAGCCGAACTATATGGAGACCAAAATCGTCTTGACGAAGCAGAGATTCTACTTCAACAAGTGATAGAATCACGCAATATAGTTCAGACAGGTAGGCCTCGAGACGTGAATTATCACATGAAGAACTTGGCATCTTTGTATCAAAAACAAGGTCGACATGAAGAAGCGATGAATCTTTTCGTACATGTGCTTGAAAGCGAAGAAGGTCAATTTGGGCTAAAGGACCCGCGAACACTTTTGAGCATGAGAAGCTTTGCATGCGCAATGAAAACCCAATCACATTCCTGGGAAGCGATGTTTCTGATGCAAGAAGTCTTCGAAATGCAGAGAATGGTTCTTGGAGTAGACCATAGGGAAACAACATGGACAGCAGCTCTACTATTTGACTTATTAGTAGAGAATGACGAGCTAGAAGCCGCCGCATCTCTTGCGGAAAGCTTGATCAGTTGTCTTGACCCAGATGCTCATTTTGCCCTCGTCTATTCAGGTAGACTTGGACACATATATCTAGCACAAGGCCAAGGAGAGAAGGCTAAAGACATCATGACCAACTCACTCGAAAGAAAGAGACAACTTCATGGAGCGGAGCATGATGAAGTGATCAATGCCCAATTTGATCTAGCATTATGGTACGAGGAGCAAGGCCAACTCCGTGAGGCCGAAGCTCACCATCAGCACATGTACCAGGTTCGCCAGCGAACTCTTGGTAGCGAACACCCAGAGACACTTACAAGTCTTCAACGCCTTGTAGATCTCTATTTGATGCATGATGGTCTGGTCAGTTCTGAGTCACTATCGTCGATGCTAGCTCAACTCTCTAGATCAAGAGAAGCAATTCTTGGGAGAGAAGATCCTCAGACTCTTCTGAATCTATTTGCACTGTCGATGGAATATAATTCACAGGAAAACTCAGTTGATGCTGCTACTTTACAGCAAGAGATTCTTGAGATCTGCCTGCGGAAATCTGGTAATGGGTTTGATGCACTACCACTTCTGCTCGAAGCATTGGTTGCCAGCTGGGAAACGCTCGGCCGCGATGAGGATGCTGCATGCCTGAAAAGACACATCGATTTTATTCTGGACGACATGTCCCCTGAGGAAATTGCGTTGCTGCTCAATTCCTCGAAAACTTTGGCAGGCGTTTTGGAAAGGTCATACTCAGTTGCGCAAGCGTCAGGGGGAGTATAATCAGCCTGAAAACACGTTACAATGTATTCAAATGATCATTGAATTTCATATGTCGTTATATCTGAATATTATCCTCCAGCTAGACTATATCAATCAAGCTTGTTCCAAAAATCAATATTAGACAACACCATACATTTCCAAGTGTTTCATTCCCAAACAGCTGCTCCTACCCCACAGCGCACGCAACTAGACTGAGTATGAAAAATTAGCCCGCGCGTGAGCAGAAGAAGCCTGCATGCTAGACTACCTATAGGGCCTCGACCAAGCTCCTGGGCTGTCCTCTCAAACTACCCAACTCGGTAAGAACCGACGGAACCTAGCGAAAGCACCAGGACCCGGACCTAGGTACACCCCCGGGCCAAGCGGATGGTCGGCGCACATACGGACGTCGGCCATCGTAACCCCCTCGGGCAGCTCTGCTGGGTCGATCCTCATCACGCCTAGGGACCCGCACTCAGCTTCCGCCATGGCGACCTCGTCGGGGGTTGCGTCTGGGCGGAGAGCGGCGAGGGCAGTGGTTGCAGAGATGCTAAGGAGGAGAGAGAGGTAGGTAAGGGGTTTCATGTTAGAGTTAGATTAGGCGATGACCTTATAGAGTGGTGTAGTTAGCCCCCCCCCAAAAAAAAAAAAAAAAAAAAAAAAGAAGAAGAGCAAAAGAGGACTGATCAAGAAAGAAAGATAGGAGGAAGAGGATTTCGTACCTTTGAAACTCACGTAGGAATACTATAAGGGTATTTAATAAGTGTAAAGGGGAAGGTAGTAGGCGCTAATCCTCTGGGAAATGAAGATATTAATATGTTGGGAAGCAGCGGGCTTGATCCTGGCTGCTACTAGCGGGCAAGGATATAAGACTCTCGTGCTGAGCAGGGGCGTGGTAAGGTTCAGTGCTAGATCTTAGCGCTTAGCCTGGTGGGGAGCCTGCTTCTTTATATAGGTAAGACCGCCGGCGTTAGGCGAATAGGCGACGTGGTCGAAATTGGCCCCGGGCAGCCCGATTGGTTAGTACCCTTGTTTGCTGCCTAGTCACAGGGCAACCTTGATGGACAAAGGCACTCACTTTCTAGGTAAGGATGTATCTAACTACTAGGCCCTCGAGTTAAGTCATAGAGCAGAATTAGTGAGATCTCACCCTATCACCGCTCTTATCCACGAAGGCAGGCCTATAGGAGATTTTCATATCTGATTAGAATAGAGTGCGCACTCGCAAGGGTATAGCAGAACTAGGCTTTTCAATATAATATCAGGATTACAAAGGCACGGTCTAGAACTCTATTCTCACAGGACAATCATAGTGCTCCGGACCGGCCCGACCTTAGAGTGGGGGAATAACCATATTTCAAATAGTATTAATCGGTTAGGGATCTAGGGAGCTTAATTAAATTTGGGGACCTTGTGGGGTGTTGCTCTATTAACATCCCTAATAACTAGGTCGCAGAATCAAGTTTTTAACATAGCAAATCATGGTGCCACCACGGAGATAGTCTTAGATAGAGGCCAAGCGGAGCTATCGAGGCTCATAGCCTACTTCCTCTTCCAAAGTTGCCATAGTCATTAATCACTCTAGTGACATAGGGCTTCCTTCGCTCTCCTTTTGTGTTAGGGCCCTGCGAGGTCCTAAGGTAGCAGTATGAGTTCGGGAAGTAGAGTCTACCAGCAAATGTACGTGCAGGTGTATTAGAAGACTAATTGCTGGTCCTCCATGCGAGGACCAGCGAGCACAATAAATACATGGTGCGCTTAGCTAATGTGTTTAGCGACATGCACGACCATCCTGGTCCATGCATGCGATCAACTACCCTCGCAATGCGAGGGCCAAGGCTCGCTGTATGCCCTCGGGCATCCATCAGGCACCTGGCAGGTCGGGGTCCTGACATTTTGTGACTAATGATAGATTCCGGAGCTAAGACTTCTAAGTAGCAGGCACTCAGGGAAGCTCTTGCCTATTGTGAACAAGCGCAAAATAATAACGCTATTACTCCCGTGTCTCAGTTCAAAGAGGCTGAGTCGTTAAGGGTTCGAGAGAACTAACAGACGATAGGGGCGTTGATTGGTTAGCGGCGATCATGATAGAGCTTTAGCGGCCCGACACACCGAGGTCTGTCCGATTCGCTATAGGCGAGATAGTAACATACAGCAAGGTAGGTAGAGAACCGCTCTAGGAGACTAATCACAAATCCTTAGACTAAGAGATAACCTGCCTAAGCGCAAAAGCTAGGGGAGGCTACTAGCCTTGCCCTATATGTCAGGACCTCTACCTGACTGAGGATGTTGACTCGGCCTAAGGCATCGAATGGATGCCTCAGGGCTCACAGAAGATATAGAAATGATGCCCTAAGAGAGGGTCTCACCGCCCTCGACTGGGCCAGTCTGTATATAAGCATTTCTCGCTGGGCCGTGGAACGGACCAGCGTTCAGTTTCTTCATACAATACACCCTATTGTAATACACGCATAACTGGGCCGTCTAACTCGCTTACCTACCTAAACCTAGAGACTGCATGCGTGGTCTCACATTATCCCTATAACTAGATTCTATTCGTGGGAGCACTACACGCTAGATTTCATCGTTATTATACTCCCCGAAATCCACAATATTAGCCATATATTTCAACGTTAGGTTATGCTTAGTGCGTATCTTGCTTGTGACAAAGCGAGGTTAGAGTGATAAAGCGAGGCTAGAGAGATGAAAGCGGAGGAAAATAGAAGGTCACTTACAACTTTTTCGATCAGAATGGGAAAATGTACCTTTTGCTGCACGGGCTGAATATTCGGGTGAAGAATATTCAGGTGGGTGAATATCTGCCCGGAGTGCCCTTAGGAGAGCTGAATTAGAGTGGCGAGCCGCCCATGCCCGAACCGTGGGCGCTAGGTGACCACGACATTAGACCGGCTGTTGTATGTTTTCGTTTTTTTTTTTTTGGTCTCTTGTTTGTGTATTCCGTATGAAACACTCTTTTACAGTATTGCCGCCACGGTAGGTCTCTAACGTATTTCCAAAGCGAGCGCCGCACTCCAAAATACATAGTAATGCTACACTTATATCTCAACAACAACGTTTCTATTTTATCTAGTTCTTAGTCGATAGCTATTGATAAGGGCTATTAGCACTGCATATAAATTTCAAAGAAATCGAAAATTTATATTATCATTATTTCAAAAGTGGCCGAAAATTACAAGCTATAAACATATATATCGTAGTCCCTGAATTATAAAAATCCCCCAATCTTCCTGAAAAAGTTAGATACCACCTCAAAAGCATATTACTACAAGCAATAATCCCGATAGACCATGGTTGTTGAGATATAAACATGTAATTTATCGCATTTACTACGTGCTCTGGGGTGCGGCGCTTGCTTGGGAGATACGTTATTTGATATCAATAAACTCTATTCCGAGGCATATATCGATAGTTATAAATAGATATAACGTTATACTGTACTGCATAGTTACCAAGGATAGTTGATAACCTTAAATCGACCAATTTGCCGCGATTCACCGTCTGTGCCTCCTCGATGCGGAGTTATCACCCCCCATGTGATCTGACGCTAGTCATCTCAGCCACTCTCAGCCCCCCGCAATGTCTGTCCTTCATGTTTCAAGTCCGCCATGGACCCGGTATCTGCGATCGGGTTTGCTTCAGCAATCGTTCAGATTCTAGGTGCACTTACTTCGACCATCCATGGCCTCTATGAATTGCACGGGAAGTTCAGCGATGCTGACTTTACAATACACTCGCTGATCCAGGAGCTGAGCTGTATCCAGACAGCGCTCACGAGTCTGAAAGAATGGCATCGACTAAATTCGTCCAATGTGATGATATCAGAGGAATTCAATGAACAGCTGGTCACAGCCATGGGTGGCTGTCGAATCATCATGGAGGTTTTGTCTGAAGAAGTGATGACGTTGCTTCATGGTAGTCGCAATGACGGTACGGTAGGATTCAGGCTGCGCATTAGAGTCATTTGGAAAGAAGATATTATGAAAGGACACCAGGAAAAACTACATGCGCAAGTCATGGCGTTGCAGCTATTACTCCAGGTCTGCCAATGGTGAGAATATTCCCCCGTGTGTGGAAGCCACACAGAAGTTAATTACTTCGACAGTCATACATCACAAGAGCAGGTCCGTCTGTTGAGACAGGCAACGACTCGTCGCATTATGCGCAGGGTTCGCGACGATACCGAAACACTACTGTCTGCACGGAGTCAGGCTACCTCTAGCGCGGCAAGCATCTCGCAGAACAGCAGCTTCACAGTCAGTGACCGAGTTTTTGATTTCAACGAGGCTCTTGCAGATTCGCCGGTATATCGCAGGTCTCCTCAGCAACTCTTACCCTCCATTGGGGACTTCAGTAGCCAGACCGACACCCGTAGTGGCCGAAGTCCATTTACAGATGAGGGCTATGCCAGTACCCCTACGCGTAATAGCAGTATTACAAGTCCGTCATTGGATGCTCCTCCATCCCAGCAAGGTCATCTCGTCTTGCCGACTAGTCCATCGGCGCCGGTGCATCCGGCCCACAGGAGAGCAAGCTCTTACCAACCTACCCCGCGCCCAGGCTTGGAAAATATGCCTCGAAGCAAGTCGGATACTAAGACATCTAAGACGCCTGAAAGATCGGGTTCTAAGCTTGAAAGGATCTCATCCCTGCTCCGCATAAATACCTCTAGTCGTCTGAATCTTGCCTCATCTTCTTCCAAGGGTTCACCGAAAGTAGCTAACGGCACACCTGTGACAAGAAGGAAACCCAAACGGGAAACTAATCCTCATGTCAGCATTGATCTGACCGGCGCGGATGCCGCTTCCATTCCACAGATTGTGAAGGCTGCCCAAGCTGGTTCTCGAGGCGAGGTAGAACGTCTCATCGAATATGGCATCAACATCGAGGAACGCCATAAAGCATCAGGCCGAAATGCTTTGCTTGTTGCTGCGCATTGCGGAAAAGATGATGTCATTGAGCTCTTGATACGGCATAATGCTCGACTAGACGTGACAGATGGGTCTGGCTGGACCGCACTTCATCTTGCAGCTTCACGTGGACATTGCGGTGTCATAAACTCACTCATGGTGGAGTGTGACATTGCCGAAGTCGCGAACTACCAAGGCCGTACAGCAGTGCGAGTTGCTGTTGACCGTGGCCAACATGAAGCTCTGCAGATGCTGCTTATGCATAAAGCAAAGGTCAACACGCGTGCTGAGAATCAAATGACTACTTTGCACGCTGCGGCAAAGCAGGGTGATGCTGAAATTGTGCACATACTTGTCTCAAACGGCGCTGATATCGAGGCCAAAGACGCTACCATGATGTCAGCATTGCACTACGCATGCGAAGCAGGACACATTGAAGCCATTGCGGTACTCTTGGCTCATAAAGCTAATATAGAAGCCGCGGGTCGGGATCGCAAGACTCCATTGATATGTGCTGCCGAGGCAGGCCGGGCCCGGGCTGTCGAATTTCTGTTGAAATCTAAGCAAAGGGCTTCGTCCAGTGGTATGGACGACACCGGAATGACGGCCTTGCACTGGGCTGCCTACAATGGACATGAAGAGACGGTGAAAATTCTCAGCCAGAAGAAAGGATCTTTGGCCAAGGTTAATGCCATGGGACGAACGGCTTTGCACTTGGCCGTTATTCAAACCCAGTTTGCTGTCGTTGAGCCATTACTACGCAAGGGTGCAGACCTCAACAGCCAATGCAAAACAGGTCTTACTCCACTCCATTATGCTTGTATGGCGGACAGCACCGAAATAGCAAGACTGTTACTTTTAGAGGGTGCTGATATCGAAGCATCAGAATATCTACACCAGCAAAGACCTTTGCATATCGCAGCAGCACGGAGCTCAATACACCTTTTGGATCTCCTTTGTGACAAAGGAGCCTCGTTGGATGCCCGAGACAGCGCTGGGGACCGGCCTTTAAGTGTAGCATGTCGCTGTGGGCATGTGGCTGCGGTGCGAAAACTGTTAGATCGAGGATCTCCTCTCTATCAGAAACACCAAGCTACGTCCCGCTCTGACTCGCCTCTATGTTTGGCTGCTATGACAGGCCATCTACCTGTGGTCTCGCTGTTGCTAGAGCGCGGTGCATCAGCATCAAAAAAGGACGAGGGTGGCTGGCAACCTTTCCGTTACGCGGCATACCATGGCCATTTGGATGTTCTTCAGACGCTCTTGGCTCGCACTAGTATACCTGACATGGATGTTCCAGATATCATTCGCATGCCAGAGACAATCGGGTTCTCGCCAGATACCGTTATATCTGAAGACTGCAAAATCCGGGTGAAAGAACTTCTCAACCAGGCTTTGGCGGACTCTGGCCTGGTGCGTCCAAGCCATGTCCCAAGCATGCCCCAGACTGGGAGCCAGTGGAGTTCTTCTGCTCAGTATTCACAGCCAAGTCATGTCCAAGCCTTTGGAAGCTTCTTGCCTCAAGAGCTCCGCTTCCTACCTCAAGAGCTCCCTGCAACCCTAGAGCAGGGCCTGCCTAGCAGTCGTTCAACAACTCCTGAACGTGGCTATCGGACTCGTCCTCAACACAGCATCGACCCCTCGTGGCATATCCGAATGCGAACCAGTGAGCAAGTGCCTCCGCCGATAGATGAGCGATCGGCTTCTGCCCGCAATGAGTCGCGTACGGTATCTCCTATACGTCAACCAGAACAAAATGCTGGTAGAAGGAGTCCGAGTCGACCTCCAGCTAGAGAAGATCCCACATTATCGGCCACCTTCATTCCTCGGCCAATACCCGTTGGATACTCCTCTCAAACTCCTCAGCGATCCTCTGGAATATCGTCTCGCCGTGCGAGAGCTGGGGTGTCCGCTGTGGATATGCCAGTGCAGTCTCGGAACCATGATGAGAACCGCGTTCCTAGAACAGTCTTCCCTCAGCGTGAAATTGAAGTTCCAATTCCAAAGTCTGAGGGACCACCTGAAAGTTCCATAGATACTGTTGATGACCACTTGGACTCGGATTCGGATTCGACATCCTCTGTATACACGGCACCTGAAGGGGATATTGACGCTAATGTTGTCCCGAGGATGGACTACCGAAGCGGGCCGTATGATTTGGTATGAGTTGTCTGTTCAGCATATGGCATAAATCTCATCACAATGGCTCTAATATTGATATTATTGCTCGACAGTATTGTAAATCTGCAGCACGTGTGAGGGTTTGCTAGGAGGGACGAGATGGTCGTGCCTTCCTTCCGAATATCTCGTGGTTTCCAAATTCATCGATGATTGCTCGACTATTTATACCGTCACTCTGCGCTTCCTCCTCCTCTTCTTCTTTTCTCTTCTTCACCTTCTACATCTTCTCAAGTTTCCAGTCTGAGGATGTTCAACTATTCACATCTCCAAATAACCTCCTTTCACATCATCCTCACCCTCCCACAAACATCCACTCATCCTCACTCACACCAGCAATCATGGCTACAATGGTCCCTAGCCCTATGGGCAACAACCCTCACCTCCACAACTGGAAGTGCTGGTTTTGTGAGAACTGCTACGTCGGGTTCTCTGGAATACTTGAACACTGGGAAGAAGGCAGATGCGTGAAATACGGTCGCATCAGCGAGCTTGTTTTCGAAACCCCCGAGTACGCGTGGTGTGCGAACAAACTCACCGACCAATTCCCTTTCTTCTGCTATGAATGCCGCGCCAATTATCAGCAAATTTCCCAGGTCTACTACCATGTTGAACGGTCCGCTTCCTGCCAGCATCTGCTTCACGACGATCATTGCCTTGGTGCATTGCAAAAGTTCATTCTCGATTATTACCACGCCTATGGCATGGATTCGGCCGACATGATGTGATGAGGCTTGGCTAGGCTATCTACAACTAGGAGAAGATGGTGCGGATCAGCTCCTTGCTTTTCCTTTCCTTTCTCTTCGTCGGTTTATCTTTCGACATATATTCGGATGAGCAAAACGCGGGTGCAGAATCTGTGAGCTTTTTGTGCTTGCATTGGCATGATGAGGAGGCTGGACATGCACTTCATTGGTTTGATGAAGCAGGATGATGGCTCATCAATCAACCGTGGAGGGAGGATCGTGTATTTTAGAACAAGCCATAATATGATACCCATGAATTACGTCCTTTTATGATTGTTTCACTCCTTTCAGACATTTCCACGCCACAGTAATTTGTGCTCTCGTGCGAACATACAATACTACCTATTTCGACTCTCACTAGGACGATAATTCATATGTTCTTGGCTGTTAACCAACCCCTGTAGGTAGTCTCCTCTTATTAGAGACTTTTTGCCTTGGAAAATATTCCAAATTTACCAAAGCTTAGTACAATGATACTGAATCTATTGGCCACTACCCCATCTTAGCTTCTTTTGCTAGGCTACCATGTGATATTATATAATGTACTATTCTATTCTATGGCTTTCTCATAACTACGTAGCACCGCACTTTTAGATACTATGTTTAGAATCCACAAACAAAGATACAACAAGGAAGCCTGGAAGAAAGAAGACCTTCAGAGAAGACCTTACAAATCCCATAGCACAAAGCAAAGTCTAAGCAGTGAAGAAAGCCAACTAGCTTGTCAAGAAGAAGCCACATGGAAGAACAGGGATCCTGCCGGCCGAAGACGTCGCTATTCATAGCACACCCTGCACCACCCTGCATCGGTGGTTATCCGACGAAGATCCTCGCCGAAATTCTAGACGGCAAAAAGGCGCCACCCGTGCCCTTTTCTTTTACATTACCAGGAGGCGCAGGGTAGGGCCGGATTTTGCTTTTGACCAAGGCTCTCTGCGAGGTACATACGGGCTCAGCTCCGACAGGAAAGGATGATGTGGGGAGCTTCTGCAGGGGAACAACGTGGGTTTCTTATTTTATCTTGGGGGGTTCCTTTCGGCCATGTGGTTTGTAATTTGCGAGATAAGATAATCTGATTGGGTGCACACTATTCTTCAATCGCTCTTCTAGAAGGAAAGATGCAGTCAAGTTATTCTTAGATCTGACATGATCGAGTCAGAAAGATGTCGGCAACCCGATCCCAGATTTCATGGATGGATTAGCCCTAAGAGGGGAAAGAGCGAATCTAAGATTGACCCCGAACCATGGTTTGGTGGATCTCAAAGAAGTATGTTTCAACCTCAAACTTGAACGGCTCCTCTACTCAGCTGACTTCGTTTCAGCTGCATTCCGCATGCCACATGATACGGTAGTATCGGATGCTCAAATGGAACGAGAATTAATCCTCTTCCGGCCAATTTTGATCGCCTAGGGCGTGCCGAAAAATCTTGTATCGGGACATCCGGCTGCCTGGCTGAGACACCCTGACTACCAAGTACCCCGGGCGGAAAACTACGTAGCCGAAGAGCCCTGACTCAGACAGCTACCATGCTTGTTTGACAGTGAGGTTGGCCTTTACTTACAAAACAGGAGAAACAATGGAGATTATCTCTAATTCGGGACTGTACTATGTGGCCGGATGGAAGATTCTGGGTGCCTGAATGATTCATCGCATTTCCTGGGCCCGGGGACCAAGGCAGACAACTTTGAAAAGGATTCCTTATAAATATGCACTCAGGACGCGAGGATTCATGTTTGTTATTATCATACAATATTGGTTTGGTCTATCTGGTCTATATACATACAAACACTGCCTATATCAACAACCCCAACATCGAATTGCCTCAAGACTGTTCAGGACTTCGAACCTCTATCTCAATTCTTTTGCCTGATCTCACTCATCGCGAATGTCTCCTACAATGGGTCGAGGAGGATACAACACCCCGGCAAACCACCCAAGCCCAGAGCCTGTGTCTCCCAGTCAAAATTAGGCTTGGGATAGCTCGCCATGTCAGAACATGCATGACGGGCAGCAAAATCATCTGCATCTCAATTGCAGCCAGCAGCCAGTCAATATTATGACTCTAATCGAGCAAGACCGACTCGGACAGTGCTGCAAATCAACATGGTCACATCGGAAGCATAGTCCAATCGGACCATTCACTTGCCGACACAGAATCTGCGATACCGTCAGCTCATCATCCAGACTAGAGGACCATTGTCTCATTTGGACTTACTTCTCAAAGACAACTCCCAATACATCCTCGACATCTCCACTTTCGCCTTTACCTGTGATCTTGGCCAACATATCCGCCGCAAAGCGCAGGTGCTCCGCAGCAGTGACGATATCGATTTCCGACTCGTGGTAAATAGAGGGAATCTCACCCTTGTGTGAGTCGGAGGATTTGGCGGAAGAAGCTTGGGACATGAAGTCGTCCAGATGGTCGAGGCAGATTTGTAGATTAGAGCTTTGGCGATGGGTGACGCCTAGGGAATCCTCCCAATACGAAAGATCATATTGAGCACTTCCATCTCCATCCATGCCGAGAGGCGAGGCAATTTGTTCGAATGTCGAGATTAGGCCGCGTAGAAAGGCTTGTAGATTGCCGGGGTCTGTGGTGGCTGTAGAAGATCCACGCTGTGCCTCTTCACATGAAATGGCAAATACGCGATCTGCTGGTATTGCTGGGAAGATCTCGTGGATCGTATTAGATAACGTCTGTGGTACACCACCATTCAGATCAGGGTGCAGTTTGTCACACTTGTTAATCGCCACAAGAAGACACTTGCCCGCATCCACGCAGTCATTGACCGCATCGAGAACCTCTGGCTCAACGAAGAGACGAACCCCATCAGCGGTTTCTTCCAGCGAAACCACCACAATAACCACATCAGACTCCAAAGCTCTCTCTCTAGCTCTGCGAATACCCTCCTTCTCAACAGCACCAATAACAACCTCACCAGACCCATCCCCACTCTCGGCACGAATCCCCGCCATATCACCAAGCTTACAATACCACCCACCAAGATCAACCCCAACATCAACAATATCCCTAGTAGTCCCCTGCTCAGTACTAACAATAGCAGCCTCCTTCCCAACAACGCGGTTCAACAACGAACTCTTCCCGGCATTCGGCGCACCCAAAAGTGCAACCTTAATCCCGTTCCTGAGCAGCTCACCACGCGACGCATTCCGAATATGGAACCCGATCTGCACACTCAACGCACCCACCTGTGTCGCAACAGAAGAAACTAGCTCTTCGGTCGACTCGTCGAAATGCTGATCTTCAGAGAAATCAATCAGCGCCTCTAACTCGCCGCGCGCATACAGCAATTGCTGCCGCCATGCCTCATACCGCTTTAAGAGGGCATCGCTGGATCCGCGCACGGCTAGTCGGCGCTGTTGTTCTGTATCTGCGGAGAGGGTATCGCCTAGTGCTTCGATCTGGGGGAGACCCAGGCGGTCGTTCATGAATGCGCGACGGGTGAACTCGCCTGGTTCGGCGTAGCGGACTTCATGGTTTGGTGTGTTTGTGTTGGAGATTGCCGATAGGACTGCTTTGACAATTGCGGGGCCGCCGTGGATGTGGAATTCCAGGACATCTTCGCCTGTTACTGTTTTGGGGTTTGGGAAGTAGAGGACTAAGGCGCCGGCGTCGAGGATTGTGTTTTGGGATGGGGGTTTGGTTGGGTCGTAGAGGGTGCGGAGAGCCGCAAGGCGGGGTTTTGGGAGGGTGGTGTTTGGGCAGAGGGCTTTGTATATCTAAAGGGTTGTTAGTATGTGTGATGTGGAGGGGTTGCGGGATTGCATACTGGTACACTGGCTGGGCCGGAGACGCGTACTACAGCAATGGCTGCTCTACCGGGTGCGGTGGAGAGGGCATAGATTGTGGAGTCCGCATCTAGCATGAATCGAGTGGGCAAGGTCGATGAGAATGCTCGCGCTTGTCCGCCAGTTCGCCGCAGGACTGGCGTTTCTGGGGGAAATGCATGACGTTGGATATGGGCCTTATTCAATATCGCTGGCCATGGTCGACTCGTTGCTTGACCGAAGGGTGCGGCCCAACGCAATAGTCGATGAGATGCTCGCATGCAGAGACTGGACCAAAGGTGACTGGTGAATGACGAGATAGCTAGGTTGTTGGATTCCTGGTCAAAAATATCGACACCTCAGGCGTACGTCACCGGGTCGGGTGATTGATTCTCCGAAGTATAAGTTAATAGGTAACTTACTAACTGAGAAAACACGCAAGAGTAAATACAGTAGGAACGTGATGGGCAAACCATGCCGGGCAGTTTTATCGACATAGTCATCAATTACATAAGTCTTGTCAAACTCCGCTTTATTGCCGAAGAGATTATGATATGGATTGCATCTACCTGCGATACATCTAGACAAGAAGCGCAATGTAAGTACATCTAACGCAACTCTATGGTCAGGGATACATGGTAAGCAGAGGGGTCTTTCAAAATAAACAGGACGGAAATTATAGAAGTCAAAGTCGAAGGCATAAAAGAGAATGCAGTAATCAAGATGCAGCGTGAACAGAGAGCTCAAAATGCAATTGTATGGTATACCCTCAAATCATGGCAGCATTTCCATAGCAGGCAGCATGTTGGAAAGGTAAAAAAAGAGATTATGTACAAAGGGAGATGTGACGAGAACCGCACGAAGAACAAAAAATGTCAAGTGGGTATGTGAAGATGATGACGACGACGACAATGATGATGATGAAAAGAAAAACAAAGATTGCACATGAATGGATACTAGTAAGATAGGGCGGGAGCGGGGTAAAAAGAGAAGAGGAAAATAAAGAAAAGAAAAGAAGAAACAAGGAAATGGTATCATGACACCATGCTCGGCTCATCAAATCAAGATCAAGGAGAGGGCGGGATTCAAGGAGGGTATTGGTATTGGTATTGGTAAGGGTATTATACAATCGAGGGCGGATGTGTATGGTAAGAGTAGTTGGGGTGTAGTAGTGATGATATGAAGATGAGACAGGAACCAAAAAATTCCGAGGCAGACATCAGGGTGAATCTATCAAACAATCAAACATTAGATTAGTGTCGACTGTCGGCAGACTCAGTCCGACAAATCGATTGGTTTGTGGGGGGAGGAACCCTCCGAGGGGGGATCTTGTGATAATGTGTCGTCCTGCTCTGAGACGACAATTGAAGGCGGGGGTTGAGAGTCGGGTGGGCTTGCGGGTGGATCATCTGTGACGATGGATTCCGTCTGCGTTGGAGAAGCAGGCTCTTGCACTGTGGGAAGGCCGCCATCTGCACTATCTTTGCTTCCGCTCGTTGCAGGATTGCGGCGTCTCATGCGGCGATTGCGACGTTCTTCGTCGGCGCTCTCTCTTCTCCTTCTTTGACGCTCGCCGCCTGCATCGGAATTACTCCGTAGACCAAGAAGCATGCTGGCAGCACGATCAGCAACATCCTCCCCTTCAGAAACCTGAGCTTCTTGTTTGCCGTCTTCCTCTTCAGGGATTGGAGGGCTGAGGTGACCATTTTCATCAACACGGCCTTCGCCGTCAGCCGGCTTCTCTTCTTCTTCCGCATCATTTATATCAGACGGCGGTTTCTGGCCAGAGGCCACACGGACCTGATGGCGCTCCTTGAGACGAGCACGGCGGCGACGGTCTCGTTGATCCTTTGCTTGGGGTGCTGCGGCACGTAGCTTCTCAAGCAATGAGTCCATGGCGCCACTTGTAGCGGGTGAATTGGCTGTCTCCACAGGCGCACCACTGTTGGCAAGATTGACGTTGATGCGCTTGCGAGCGAGAGATGCTTCTGTGCGTTTCCTTGATTCTTCCAAGGATGTATTCTTCTCTCGGGATTTCTTCCACTCGACCAAGAACGCGCTCAACTTGGCAAAGAAGTCACGTCTAGCATTCTCATCCGCATTGTCTTCACCGTAGAAGACCATAATATCATCATACGTCTTGACCATCTCATCAAGGTAGAGTTGCAGCTGTTCAGCCTTGCGCCGAGCATCCTTCATAGACCGCTGAACAACCTGACTGACGCGATCCTCGGGATGGAATCTCTTCGGGTCACTCAGGTTACCAGCATCCAGACTGGCCTGCACGTTCTTGATATTGCTGATGTACTTGTTAGCATCAGTACGAAGTTGATCAACATTGATCTTCTGCAGACCAATGACGCCACTGATCTCGTCGAGGAACCCTTCCCACTCAGGGTACTGATTCCGAACGATGCGCTCAACCAGATCAGCAAAGGTAGTCTCATTCTTGTCGTCCTTGACCATGCCCAGTCGAGCAAGGGAACTCAGCTTGAAACCCTGGGCCTGTTTATTGGCGTCATTCATGAAGTTACCAATATCCAGGATCAGACCGAGGACGTTCATCAAAGACACGGAATCACGCAATGACTCGCTGACTCGTGCGACCTCCTGCAATTTGCTGGAGAGATGTTCGTACTCCGGTTCATAGGAGCGCGTCAGAGCGAGCGCTCTGTTTCTCGCTTTCCAGTAGTGGTTCAGCTCGAACGCAGTGTAGAGATAGATTTGGTCTTCGCGGGTGATCTCACTGGGATCCTGTTCGCGGTCAGAGCTGGCTGCGCCAGGGCCGGTCCAGTCCATGCTATATGGTGCCATGAGCTTAGCGACGTTCTCGGGTATATTGCACATCTCATCTCGCTGCAAGAAGTCCATGACGACCATGTTGTCGAGGATGTCCTTGTCACAGTGGATAATCATGCGGGTTACCTCTTCGGCGGGGTATTGGGAGAATTTAGCCAAAGCAATCTGGAAGTTCTTGGATAGATCGTTCGAGATGATCTGTTTCTTGTCTTTGCGCTGCTTTGCGGCGGTGCTAGCTCCGAAGATTTTGGTCTCCTTCGCCATGAACAACCGTTCGACTTCGTCCAATACACCCTTCTTGGCGAGCTCGGTGTACTTTTCTTCCTTCTGTTCGGCGGTGGGTGCGTGGGCGGCCCAAACAGTCACTTGGGGAGTATCAACCTTGTCCCAATGCAGAGCCTTGAGCTTCTTCTTAGGCCGGATAGAAGGCATGAGGGTGGTACCAGGCGAAACATCTCCAACCATGTATGCTGGTCGCCAGCCAGAGCCCAAGGGAGCGTTGGGCGGTGGAGGCGGGGGAGGCATGAGACCCTTGGCCCCAGGAATCGGTGGAGGGGGAGGGGCCATTCCACCACCACCTGGAGGAGGCGGCGGGGGAGGTAGTGCCCCAACCTTTCCACCGGGAGGTGGAGGTGGTGGTGGAAGTCCAGGAACACCCTTGGCACCACCCGGAGGAGGCGGAGGGGGCAGTCCAATCTTTCCACCAGGCGGCGGGGGAGGAGGCAGTCCAGCTGCTCCACCCGGAGGCGGAGGTGGTGGAGGGACCATCTGGCCACCTGTAGGGGGAGGAGGAACAGTCGTGCCCCCAGGGGGAGGAGGTGGTGGAGGGACCATTTTGCCCCCAGGAGGCGGGGGAGGGGGCAGAGCCGCCACAGGAGCCTTCTCAGATAGCTGCTCCCCTTCAGCGGCATCAGGTGCAGTCGGGGTAGCATCAGCATCTTCAGCATCGAACTTAGAAACCTTGGACGCAAGCTCTCCTAGCAAACCAGTAGCTTGGGCAGGGTTCAGACGGTGACGGTATAGATTATCAAGACGAGCCCTATCAATTGGCTGGCCATTGTTGTCCAAGATCTCCTCTCCACTTTCAAGAGCACCCATCTCAGGGACGTGGCTGCGCTTGCGATAGACAGAACCCAGAGAACCAGGGTCCAGGTTGCGCCGAGTAGTTTCAGCGAATTCATCGCTGTCCTCACCCTCGCCATCCATCTTCTCACGCAGTTCACGTAAGCGATCCGAAGGTCCATGCTGGCCCCAGACCTTGCCCTCCAGCTTGAATTGAGTCTTGGTCCGCTCGAGCTGACGCTCCAGACGTTCCATGAGTCGTTCCCGATCCATGATGCCGGGCATCTGGGAAGGATCAGCCTCCGCCTCGGGGTTGGCAGCCTTGCGAGCATTGGACGCGGCGATATCCTGAGCGTCTCGAAGCATGAGGTATAATTCTCTAGTTTCCAGCTCATTGCGCTGCAATTCCTGCGCACGCAACCGTTGTACTTCTGCAACCTCCGCCTTGAATGATTCGTTCTGCCGTTGTTGCAGCTCGATGATGCCAGCCTGCTCTTCAATCTGCTTCTGTAGCTTCTTGACCAAGCCTTCTGCACCAAGCTCAACCTGGGCTCTCATCTCATCGCGCTCGGCGATAGCAGCCTCGGCAATCTGCCGGGCCTCGAGAGACTCATCGTACACCCGTCTCGCCTCGGCATCGGTATGCAGTCGATCTAACAGGCTCTGCACGGTGAAGGTCAACCCTTGCCGTAGGTCAAGGTCAGGAAGCCTTCGGTCCATAGCAACGTAGCTCAGCATGGCGTCTACCAGCTGGAACATACGCAACCCTTCCTCGCCGGAGTTCTCCCGGATCAGAAGCATATGCTGCATAGCCGACAGGAAGTAGTCGTGAGACCGACTGCCATTAATCTTGGACGAAATAGCATCAACAATTTGCATCGGATCGCTCATATCCTTGACTTCGCCCTCGATGCTATCCTTAACGCTGCTATTCTCGCGCTGGAGGAGATCCTCATAGTCGATGGCTTCGTTCTCGTGGAACCGTTCGATCTGCTTGTCGATGACCTCGTATTGGAATCCCTCCATCTTCGTCAACAGACGCTTGATTCCACATGATGTGAACTGGGCGCGGATATGGCATCGTAGCTGCAGATCGGTTTCGGCCCCATCGACCAACATGTTGATCAGGATCATGGTTGAGACGGCGTATTCCATGAGTAGGTTCTCCATCCCGATACCACCGCTGCGGTACTCTTCGCTGGCACCGACCAGACTGCCCATCTTTCCACGGCCATCGATGGTGACCTCGACGATACGCATCCAGGCGTCAAAGCGGCCAGTTTCATTGTGGTCATTTTTGACCTTGTCCATGGATTGGAGGACCTTTTGGTGGCCTTGGCCATCGCCCCAGTGACAGAGGAAGGTAAGGACTTCACTGACGAGTTTCCTAGTATTCAGACGGGGGGATGATAGCGAGCTGACAAGGGCAACCAAGACATTTTGGTGTTCTAGGGCATCGTCTGCACCATATTTGTTGTTCATCAGACCTTTCAAACATTTGGCAATATCATATTCGCGGTCAAGATCCTTGTCTCCGGTTGGTGGCGCTGGCACAGGACCAGATGCTTTCCTGCGGTTGATCTTCAAAAGGACATTGGTCAGGGCAACTTGACCCTGAGCTTCAACAAAGGCTTTCACCCAGCTATATAGTTGTTAGTGGTGTGCGATCTCTAGAAAGAAACAGCACTTACCTGATGGGTTGTGTCCGCAAGCTGACGCTCAAACTGGCAAGCTGCTTGGAGGTAATAGTATCATCCATAACCTTCTTCACATACCACTCCGGACTACCCTCCTCATCAGCACGCTCAAGCAAACCAGACAGACCATCATGGCCATGGGTTTGTCGGGCATTCTGCCGTCTCTTCTGCTCGCCTTGTAGCTCGGTAAGACGATCCTGGTGTACCAGCGTCCATTTCTTTGAAGCGGGGTATGACAACATCTGCCGTTTCGCCTGCTCAGGAAGATTCTGCCAACCTCTCTTCTGCATCAACTCCAGAAACAGCTGATCCACAATCCGGTCATCTCTCGGTCGAGTGAGATAGTTATCCTGTGGCCGGGGTACAGCGGCCGGTATAGGTTGCGAAATCTGGTGGGTCGAGGGCGCATTTGACAAGCGGCCAGAGCTAGAACTTGGAGGGAATCCAATATTGCGATCACTTGAATGCGAGGGTGTGAGGGTGCGGGAAGAACCGTCCGACGCGAAGTAGTTCGAACCCCGCGCATTAGACGAAACGGAGGAATAAAGGCTTGTTTGATCGAGGGAGGTGCGGGAGTTGGAGGACGAATCGATCGAGGAGGAGTTATGGCTGGGACCCGTGTTCGCTGCTGAACTACCTGGCCGTCCCCATTGTTGATATCTGGCGCCTCGGTCGCCCGACTGGCTACTTGACATGGTCGTGTTTGAAGCATGCGGGGGAGGACGCGGGCCAGAGGGATGTGAGGGTGAACCATTCGGCGCAGATGTCGAGGTCCAGGTAGGATATTGATGGAAATCCGCCCCAGCTTTGCCCAAGTGGTTGGGCGAGGGTTCATGGCGCGAGGAATCCGGGCGGGACATGCTGTCGATTGGGATGGGTGTGCGAGTGTCGGAGGGAAGGCTTTCGAAGGGGATGGACGTAATAACACCGGCGGTGGGAGCGAGGCTACTTGGGTCTAAGTCATGGGTCATGTCGACCGATTGGATTGAAGACCGCTTCGAATAGCGGGATGAGCGTGAGCCAGCAGCACTCCCCGGGGGAGCCAGGTTGTCGTAGGAACCCCCGTAAGTATCATATCGATCCTCCGCAGGTTTCTCTTTGTACAACTTCCTTCCGAAAAACGATTTTCCAGCCGATGTTTGCCTCGATTTGTCGGCATGTGAGCTGGACGGCATATTGGCGGGCGTCACTGAGAGGGGCACAGCATAAGGGCTCCCTCGACACTCTCAGAGGTAAAGGGATTAATAAATCTCGCGATCCAAAGCGCTAGCTATGGGGATCTATAAGGGCGTGGTGACATTCAAATCGGAAACGGTCTGTTTGTGTCCCTGGGATGAGTTAGTATACTTGTTGCTACGGAGGTCCCGAGGGGTCAAGGGAGTGGTCAAGGGAGTCAGGACACATACACACATACCCCACGAAGAAGATAAACGGAAATTAAAGAAGATTTTCTGCAATCAAGTCCCTCTCTAAGCCCGAGCGTTCAATCATCTATTGATTAGGGGGCTCGTCCGGAGAAACATTAGGTCCGGTCACGTGTCGCTACAATGAGACCCGATCTTCAATATCAAAGGTATTTGCGCGATCTGCATGCGCCTGAGCCCGCCCCGGACTCCGATTCCCTACCCCGTGTTCCGCTTTACAACCCATACACAGCCATACACAACCCCGGCGCGTCACCCATCGTCCCGCCCTGAAGACCAAGCGAGTCCGCCCAATATGGGATCATCAGGCGTCTTCGCAAAGGTACGCCCTCAACCCCTATCCGAACCAGTGACCGACCGACCTATACCTCTATCAAAACCCCCAGAAACAACACATCAAACCCCCAGACCCAAACCACCCACTCACCCACCCAGCTAAACAACCAACCAACAACCCACCCAAACAAACAAACAAAACTAACACCCAACCCCAACCAGACAATCCTCATCCCAGCCCTAATAGCCCTAACAATCTACATCCTGGCCACGTGCTTAATCCTCCCAATCTTCCGCCGCTACCACCAACGCTACTCCCAGTACCTCCCGTTACACAATATATCAGCCCACACCCTCTCCCTCCGCGACCGCATAGCCGACGCCATAATGCGCTTTTTCCTACCTTCCACCTGGCGGCGCGGCGCGCACGTTGAGCATGATACTATCAGTATCGACGATGATGAGGGGGAGATTCTTGTTGGGATGGATATGGATGCCGCTAGGCGGGAGGCGTTGGAACGGAGGCGTGGGTCTGTTGCTGAGGCTGAGGGGAGGTTGAGCCGGGATCTGGAGGAGGGGTTTATGGATGATAGTGATGAGGAGGATCACCATGGTGGTGGGAGGCGTTGAGGGTGGAATGGAAGTGGCGAGAGGTATTTTTAGCATTGATATCCTGGGAACCCGTGCGCGTGCATTTGTCTCTTTGGTGTTTCTGGGGTAGATTTCTGGGGTACATTCATGGGCGTTTTGCGAGAGGTTTATTTTATATTGCATTGAGCTTTGCGTTTTACATATGGTTCTGCTCTGTTTATAGAGTTTTTTCATCATCGAGACTACCTGGGGTTTCGTAAAGAGGTGATAAGCTATTGAAGTATATCCTATCCAGCAATAACCTCGGAATGCTTAAAAATGGCGGACTCCACTAGAGGCTGGGCTGAGATCGACGTCTCCACTAGGATCATCACGCACGTTTCAAATGCAAATCTAAAACAGGTAAAAGAGAAAAATCACTTAAAATATTATTTCATTGGTATCGTGAATGATGCTACTTTTCAGCATCGCCCGTTAGGGCCTATGAACATTCATAAAGAAAAGTATAAACATGAACCCGGAAATTCTTAGGTGCATTTTTACTTGCGCTGACCGTAAGCCTTGGTGGCGTACTGACCCTTGTGGACGATCAGGTCCTCAGGGCGGTAGTCCTCACGGCCGGAGAAGTAGCTGTCCAGGATGGCCTTGGTGCCGTTGGCGTAGCGGACCTGCGCATCGATGGAGGTACCGGACATGTGGGGAACCATGCCGTTGCCACCACCCCAGGGGTGCTCGGCGTAGCGGAGAGGGTGGTCCTTGGGGGCGGGCTGGGGGAACCAGACATCACCACCGTATCCGCGGAGGTGGCCGGACTTGAGGGCCTCGGCGACATCCTCCTTGACGACAATGGCACCACGGGCGGTGTTGACGAGCCAAGCACCGGGCTTCATCTTGGAGATGAGGTCCTTGTTGAAGAGACCGCGAGTCTTCTCGTGCAGGGGGCAGTTGATGGTGACCACATCACACTGGGCGAGCATCTCCTCGAGGTTCTCGACGCGACGGCAGCCAATCTCCTTCTCGGCCTCGGCGGAGAGGGGCTGGTAGTCGTAGTAGAGGAGCTCCTTGCAGTCGAAGGGCTTGAGACGGCGGAGGACACGCTCACCGATACGGCCGACAGCGACGGTACCGACGACCTTGCCTTCGAGATCGTACTCGTTCTTGGCGACGGCGGCGACATTCCAGTCACCGTTCTTGATCTGCTCGTGTGCAGGGACGAAGTTGCGGACCAGGAGGAGGATGGTCATGACGACGTGCTCCGCGACGGAGACGACGTTGGATCCGGTGACCTCGGCAACAGTGATACCGCCGTTGGTGGTGTTGGCGGCGTTCAGGTCAACGTGGTCGGAACCGATACCGGCAGTGACAGCGAGCTTGAGGTTCTTGGCCTTGGCCAGACGCTCAGCAGTCAGGTAACCGGGGTGGAAGGGGGTGGTGATGATGACCTCAGCGTCGACAAGCTCCTTGTCGAAGGTGGAGTTCTCACCCTCCTTGTCGGAGGTGGTGACCAGGGTGTGGCCAGCATCCTCGAGCCACTTGCGGATGCCGAGCTCGTTCTCAGTGGTACCAAGCAGAGCAGGCTGCTGCTTGGAGTGCTCACCACCCTTATGTCATGTTAGCGAATTGTCGTCGAATTGCAAAATTGGAATCACTTACGTCGTAAAGAACCAAAAGAACCTTACCCTGTAGATTGGCGGTAGCAGTTAGCGTTCGTGCTCCGGAGATAGAACCCAAGGGTGACGCCCGAGGGAACGGGGTGGCCTTGAGGCCCGAGAGGAAGGGCCGTCGCAATTGACGGGAAAAGGAACGAATAAATACCATTGTGAATATGTGAAGATAAAATTAAAGAAGATGGAATCTAGAGAAGGTCAGCGTCTGGACTTATATGTGTACTTGATGTAGTCTATGAAGTCAACCAACCCGAAACGGCGTTGGAGAAACTGTTGATAGCGGGGAGAGTGGGGCACGCGGGGAGTATATATATAAATATATATATCAGACAGAGTAATCAGGGCTTTGATCTTACCGGAGATGACTGAAGATGATGAAGGGGATGGAAAAGTCAAATTGAAACAGCAAACAGAGCACAATATATAGACCACACCTGGGGAGCCACCATGCCTCCAACTGCGGGACTGGAGCGGCAACTGAGGTTTCCACTTCCGTGTCTCCGCATGAGGGACACTTCACTACACGAGGGGTTTCCTCCGGCTGGTCCTCCGAACCTTGATACGTTGGGGTCCACGTACATGTACATGCACTGTGTAGCTCACATCGGTTGCTGTTAGCTAATTGGTACCCTACTTGATACTAAGTCGTACACTATAGAAGTTAATCTACTGAAGCTTATGTGTGTCACATATACATATCACTTTGGAGGAATATGAGCTACGATAACTCCAATATCAACAATATCAAATACTATAGCTTCTAATAGAGATATATGAATTATTCTCTTAGTTGTCTAGACTTCTCTCTGTCCATCTCAGTGATTACCTCAGCTCGCACAAAAGTTCCCCGCAGCGGGGTGCTGACATAATGAGGGGTCATTTGAGAGCATATCGGCTGGGTTACATGTATATCCTTAGGGCCGGCCTGGGAATATCTCCAAGTCTGCTAGCTCAATTCCACTGGTCCCCTGGTCCCCAAGGTAGAGGGCCATTACCTGGCTCATCCTCTCTCACGGGAGACAGCCCGAGATACACCCGCGCTTCTGCCGAAACTCGGCCCTCATCTCCAACTATACACTGCCTCCTCTGAGGAGGTTTGGAGAAGTGTCCGCACGGGTCCACTGTGTCTACAACTTGATTCAGGCCGGAATGCATGACCAGATCAAGAATGGAGAGGGGGTAGTGGATTGATTTAATCCACCACCATCCGCGGGCTTCCTTGCCCGTCGTGTTTATCTTGCGCCGTCAATTACCTTGCATGATATGGGTTGACTTGCATGTTTGACAATTGCAACGGCGCCCAGTCAAGGTTCTGGGTTGAATTGAAGGGCTACGACTTTTACGTTATGTGATGAGCACCAGCAGCTAACACGGACAGCGACCGAGAAATCAGTCTCTTCAACGGTGCTAACATACCAGCTCGAAAGGTCCGCCCCTCAACCATTTCGCGCCATACACTACATCACCCTTCCAGATGGCGATCACAACAAACAAGCTGTCCAAATAATCAATCTATGCATCCAATTCGAACAGTGACCGCAGATCAAGTCGCCGTGATGGGATGGTACCCACACGAGGTTCGAGACTTTCGGCGCGTATCCTCGAATCGTCGCATGATCAGCTGCGGGGCAAACCCATGCATACGAGGCTTGTTTGAGCGAGGACACGCTTCGTGCTCTGATGGGCTTCTCGGTCGCATTGACCTCGAGTCTCCAAAAAAATGTGTGAAAACTAAAGATGTTTATTTTCTCTAGGTTGCAAACCCACTTCTCCGTGCATAGGAACCTTTGCGACAGACTTATTTGTTCGAATACACCACAAATTTTCACGGATTCGAATATATCTGAGATCACTCTACTTTGATCTCAGTCGATTGGCTTCGGGCTCGCTTGGATTTACGCAGTCGGTTGGTTGTTATCTACGCTACGAGGGCCATGATGGGAGATACAACGTTTCGGAAAACTGAAAATTGAAACTCGAATGGATATTCTGAAGCAAGTGAAGAGAACTTCCCGCCTGCATTTGACATGGACAATATTACAATGTTTGGACATGTGGAGGAGAGTACGGAGTGTACATGGAACGGGAGCAAATAGCAGGCGGTGATTGATAATACCGAAGCTCCGGTCCGACTCGGACTGTGCGCTCGGAGATAGCAATTCTTTAATACTCAGCACTCGCTCTTTTTACTTGTCTACTTGTCTAAGCTATTTTCACATTCTTTACTGTCACTTGTACACATTTATGCGATGAGATTGAGACCAACAATCCTGCAGTCCGTCACGCGCGACTGGACCGGACAGACATGTCGAAGCATACGCCTGCTATCCACCACCCCAAACCACAATAGCCGACACCGCGTGCGCCTGCATATCCCACCTCCATTACCCGTGACGAAATCATGCCCCGAGCGAAGCTGCGATTGCCCATCCACGCCCGCCATGCCAGAGGGTCTGCCAATCGACCATGAACATACGTTAAACGGGACAATGGCTGCCTATACGCAGCAGCTCCTCGTCTGCACAGGGAAGCGGGATTGGACGAGTCGCATTGATGAAGATGGTGAGAATGAAGGCTGGGGAAATCTCCTGCGAGGAATGAAGCGTCTACTAGGTCGTGGTGGGCCTTACCTTGATGTATGCGAACAAGACACCCTCAGCACACCTCAACAATGATACCATCTCTTGCTAACACATCCAAGCCATTCAACAACGTCCTAACAACGGCCACATCAATCGCACCCTCAACAACCTCCCCCACAACTGCCTCAGCCTTCCTCTTCCCAAGCTTCAAATACATCCCCTCAATACCCGCAGACACCGCATCACCCTCAGAACAAACGCCCGATCTTGTCACCTTCATCCGCGCCTATCTCCTCCCAAAACGCCTCCACCACATGCACTCCTCCCACCCAACCTCAAAACGAAAAGACATGACCCGCGCCCCAGAACTAGCATCGCACTTCCCCGACGCAATCGACATAAACCACTCTCCCACTATCCTAATCTGTGGCCATGGCGGCCGAGACATGCGCTGCGGCGTTATGGCACCAGCACTGGAAAGCGAGTTCCAGCGAGTCTTACAAGCGCGCGGATTTACTGCTGGCAGTGAAGGTGCACGGGCGACGGTTGATGCGCCGGACCATGCGAATATCGGACTGATTAGCCATGTTGGTGGTCATAAATATGCGGGCAATGTTATTGTTTACATCCCGCCTAAGATGATGTCCGGTGAGGATGCTTCGGTGCCGCATCCGTTGGCTGGGAAGGGGATTTGGTATGGGCGTGTTGAGCCGAAGCATGTGCAGGGGATTGTTGATGAGACTGTCTTTGGGGGGAGGGTTGTTACGGATCATTTCCGTGGCGGGATTGATCGGTCTGGGGATATTTTGAGGTTGTAGACTGCCCAGCCCTGGAGGTGTCGAGAGATTTGGACACTCTAGATCATGGGGGTAAATGTAAGATGAGGGATAGATTTGCATTTGTAAATATACTAGACTGATACATATTCAAGATCCAACACTATATCAAATATATAAAATGGCAATTGAATATTGACTACAGTATTGTTCAAGTCAAGATATCCTCAAAGACGCTAGTCCAAATCGGGGCTAAAGCTATCCAACCACCGGGGAGATTTGAAGATGCGCAAACCAACACTGAACCAAGGCCAATCGCCCCAATCCCCAAACCCCAAACCCCCAACCCAACCGACCATGATACAATAAAGCAAAACCAACCATGCAGTCCCTCCTCCGAACCCGCCTCCCAAGCGCAATCGCGCAAACCCGACTCCGCGCGCGTCCAACCAACCGACTCCAAACCTACAATGCATACACATACACCCTAACCCGACACGCAAGCACAACATCAACCCTTCAAAAACTTGACCTCCCCTCCCTCGACAAGAAATGGCAAGAAAAATGGCAAGCCGAGCGGGTTACCACCCAATTCGAAACACAATCTCCCACCAACACATCCGCGCAAAAACCCCAATCCTACATCCTATCCATGTTCCCCTACCCCTCGGGGACATTACACATGGGCCATCTGCGCGTATACACAATATCAGACGTGCTAGCGCGGTATTATAAAATGCGCGGACATGAAGTTATTCATCCGATGGGGTGGGATGCTTTTGGGTTGCCGGCGGAGAATGCGGCTATTGAGCGTGGGATCGATCCTGCCGAGTGGACGACGCATAATATTTCGAGGATGAAGGAGCAGTTGGGGTGTATTTCTGCTGGGTTTGATTGGGAGAGGGTATGTTATTGCCATCACTGTGACTACTGCTATAACTTGGATATGGTTATGGCCATGGATATCTAGCTGTTTGGGCCGAATTGGGTTAATCTGTTTGATCTAGGAATTGGCGACTTGTTCCCCTGAGTTCTATGAACATACTCAGCGAATCTTCCTTATGCTTTATGAGAAGGATTTGGCGTATCAGGCTGAGGCGCTGGTTAATTATGATCCGGTTGATAAGACGGTTTTGGCGAATGAGCAGGTGAGTTAAGGTTTCTGAGGTATATGGTTGTCTTTTCTGATTTATGTGCAGGTTGATTCCAATGGGTTCTCGTGGAGGTCTGGTGCTAAGGTTGAAAAGTTGAACTTGAAGCAGTGGTTCTTCCGCATCACTGAGTTCAAGGAAGCGCTGTTGAAAGATCTCGACTCTCTCTCTGGAGGATGGCCAGAGCGTGTGCTTTCCATGCAACGGAATTGGCTTGGGAAATCATATGGTGCGAAGGTCACTTTTCCCGTAACTGTCAACAGCAATGGGGGTGAGCAGGTTAATGTGGATGTTTTTACTACCCGGCCTGACACCCTGTATGGCGTGGAATACCTTGCACTCTCTCTGAGTCATCCTATTGTGCTAAAGGCTGCCGAGAAAGACGAGGCTCTTCGGAAGTTCTTGAGTGAAGCATCTTCACTTCCGCCGGACTCGAAGGCTGGGTACAAATTATCAGACGTGGAGGTATCTCATCCATTGCGGAAAATTGATGCAGAAAGCCCTCAGCTGTCAAGGAAGCTTCCCGTTTTCGTGGCGCCCTATGTCCTTAGCGATTATGGCGAAGGAGCAGTCATGGGAGTTCCCGGCCACGATGCCAGAGATATGTCATTCTTCAAGGAGAATGTGAACCCGGATTCCATCTCTGTCGTTATTGAGGCTGAGGCAACGGGCAGCGAGGCTAACAGTGTTGTCCCAGCCTCTGACTCAAAGGCTTTCACTCAAGAGGGCTTCTTGACTTCCCTCTGCGGGAAGTACTCAGGTCTGCACTCCAAGGAGGCCTCCAAGCTGATTGTCAATGACCTAAAGCAGGTTGGACAAGCTGACTTTGTCGAGAGTTGGCGTCTGCGAGATTGGCTGATTAGTCGTCAGCGGTACTGGGGTGCCCCTATCCCCATTATCCACTGCGGCGACTGTGGTCCTGTGCCCGTGCCTGTAAAGGATCTTCCAGTGAAGCTGCCGAAGATTGAGGGAGATTGGCTGAAAGGGAAGAAAGGCAATCCTCTTGAATCATCGGAAGAATGGCTCCACACGAACTGCCCCAGCTGCGGAGGAGCAGCTAAGCGGGATACAGATACCATGGATACCTTTGTGGACTCTTCATGGTACTTCCTGCGATTCCTCGACTCTGCCAACAAGGAGGCACCATTCTCTCCTGCCGTGGCACGGCCAGTGGATTTCTACATCGGCGGTGTCGAGCATGCTATCCTGCATCTCCTCTACGCCCGGTTCATCTACAAATTCCTCGCTCAATCGGAGCTGTTCCCAGCTGGAAACTCCAACGCACCCGCAGAACCATTCAAAACTCTTCTCAGTCAAGGGATGGTTCACGGCAAGACCTTCACCGAGCCCTCCACTGGCCGATTCCTCCGCCCAGAGGAAGTCGACCTCACCAGCCCAGACAAGCCTCTGATTAAGGGCACCCAAGTCACACCCAACATCTCCTTTGAGAAAATGTCCAAGAGCAAATACAATGGCGTAGACCCAACCGAATGCACAACAAAGTACGGCGCCGATGCCACGCGCGCACAGATCCTGTTCGCCGCCCCAGTCAGCGAAGTCCTAGAGTGGGACGAATCCAAGATCGTCGGCATCGAGCGCTGGTTCGGCCGGCTCTGGAAGCTCGTCCAAGATATCCAGCAATCCCTAGCAGAGTCGTCATTCTCCATCCCGGCAGAAACCCTGGTCTCGACTTCGACTGGTCACGCCGCCCCTCTGCCAGCATCCCTCCAGGACCTGAGCGACGCAGACGCAGACGCCATCCTGGCTACACACAACACCATCTCTTCCGTCACAACCTGTTTTGAGAGTAACCCCTACAGTCTGAACACGGTCATCTCAGACCTGACAAAGTTGACCAACACCCTGAACACGACTCCGGCATCTACCCCTCTCATCCTCTACCTAACCATCTCCTCTCTCCTCCGTCTCCTGGCTCCTATCGCTCCAGCCCTCTCATCTGAATCGTGGGAAGTTCTGCACGAAACACTGCTGAACAAGTCCAAAGAACAAGAACAAGTCCCATCAATCCTCAAATCACCCTGGCCAAGCACCCTCCTCACAACTGAAGAAGCAGAGACTCTCTCCGCTCGCGGTGGACAGAAGGTCGCCGTGCAGGTTAATGGCAAGACCCGATGCGCTGTTACCATCCCATCAATGAAGACGTCGACAGCCAAAGGGAAGAATACCCCTCCTACACAGGAAGAACAAGACTGGATTATTAGTCGGGTCTTGGAGACCGCCGAGGGCAAACTGTGGCTTAGTGAGAAGCATGACTGGGAGAAGAGAAGGCGAGTCATTGTTATCAAGGGTGGCAAGTTGGTGAATGTTGTTTTCTAATCTAATCTCTCCGCTATTGTATTCTAGAAGGAGCTGGCGTGTATTATTATATCTGAATAGACATGTACATTATTGCATTCCTTGCTTTGAAACTTAGGTTGTATGTTTCGTCCTCTTTTACAAGAATAGCACACTGGTTGATATAATTTTATCAACGCAGTTCTCTTACGCACTTCCGATTGTTCTGTGTAATTCGTATAAGCGTAGGAAACATATCGGATGCCATTCGGATATTCAGCAATTCGGGGTATCATATAAAACATTCAAAGCATCACGCACAACCCTCAATCTGCGTCAGCACCCTCGCCCACAGAAGATCGATCCCTCGTGGGCTGCGCCTCCCCCAACGGAAAACTAAGATGCTTCCAATCCTCAATCTCCTCAATAATACACTTCAACCGGTCCCGAATACTCTCAACAGCATAAGTCCCCAGAATCAACCGCAACGGAGGATAAGAGCAATGCCCAAGCTGCCAAACCAAATGCGCCGCCTTGACCGCACTCGCAGGCTGCTTATCCCCAAGCCACATCAACATCCGCCGAGCATGCGCCGCCGGCGACGTAGACGTATTATACGGCTCACTTGGCGGCTTGACAAGGAAATGCCCATACAAAGGCAACGGCGAAGATAGATTATGCTCGGACGGTTTGGCAGCCATAGCAGAAGGCGAAACCAAATCTCCAATATCATCACGACGCATATGCCCCGGCTCAACAAGCGTCCCCTTGATATTGAAGCTGTCAACCTCATACAGCATACTCTCCATCAAACCCTCAACAGCATACTTCGACGCACAATACGGTCCCAACCCAGGGACCCCCAGCGCACCACTGGTCGAACTGAAAATAAGATACCGTCCCGCCCTCCGCTGTCGGAAATGCGGCAAAGACAACTGAATCATATTCAGCGTCCCTGTGAAATTCGTTTCGAACTGATTCCGGATATCGAATTCATCCTGGTCCTCGCAGGCTCCGATGACGCCGTACCCGGAACAATTGGCGATCACATCGATACGCCCGAACCGCGCGATTGTCTGGTCAATTACCCACTTGACGGTCTCGCGGGCGCGCACGTCGCAGAGGAGACCCATGCAGTTCTCGTGTTCGGATTCTAGTTCTTTCATTGCTTCCGGGCTGTTTTCGTAGGTGCGGCCTACTGCTGCTACTAGGTCGTTGTGGGCGAGTGCGGTTTTAACCAGGGAGCGGCCCATGTGGCCTGTTGCGCCGAAGATCTGGGTTGGTGTTAGTGGTTGGGTTGGAAGGGAGCTTGGTGGGGTGCGCTTACCAGCCATACGAGGGGCTTGGGGGGATTCTGCGGGCTTGGGGGGTCCGTTGTTGAGGGTAGGTTTAGTGTCGGTTCGCGCGGTGCTGGTGAGGTGGCGCCTCTTGGGGATGTTTCCATTGTGTGTTGTGTTGGAGAGGAGTGGGAGAGGTGAAGGTCGAAAAATGTCTCTCCGCATTCTCCGAGGACCCACTTTTGACTATACTGCACATCACTTATAGTGTTGAGATATAAGAATTACAATTTCTTACATTAGCTGCCATTTACCATCATGATCGAGTTCTGGTTCTGTTCGGTCACGCTTAGAGCAATTTTTGTTACTGCATTATCTAGAAGAGGCAGTTTGCGAAGATCAATCCCTTCGATAAATTGTCGGGGTGAATTTACTGAGCTTCGCAAAAGCGGCAAAGTCATGGGTAGAGATCTCTACACTTGCATTGAACTAATACATTCATATTCCATTACCATACACACCCCTGCTAAAATCAATTATCGTCCAACCTCCCGTCGCAGCCGTCCTGCAGCTGTCGAGGGTCCAGGTTCCGGCCAACTACTCACAGCATCGTCAACCTCCTCCAGGAATGTTGTACTATTATGAATAGAAGTGCCACCTAGGACAACACGCACTCCAGGGGAGCTGGCATTGACCTGGGCGACCATTTTGGCCTCCTCGTACGTGGCACCACCGACCATGAAAATGATTATATCCTGTGGCTTGTCTCTTGTGTGGCCACTTCCTTCCAAGAAGGGATACTGCAATTCCTTCAGTCGCCCTTTGATGAGGTTTTGTAGGGTCACCTCCAATCGAGGTGAGTGCTGGGTGTAGACGTTCTCTACTCCCTTGAGACCTTTGAAGCGGTCTCTCGCGCCGGAGAAGAAGGATGTTGATTCGAAGAGGTCTGTGAAGCCGCCTGCAACTGGTGGCGCTTGGAGGGAGTGGTGATAGGCGAGAAGCTTGGGAATAATAGCCGCACGGTTGGAGGGGACATCGCCCGCTGTGACAAGGAGATCAAGTAGAATTGGGAGGGCATTGTTGGGTTGTTTCTCGTAGCGAAGCGCGTAGAGAGCCACGAGGCGCAGCTTACTGTCCGCTGGCACATTTGGTAATGGAATAATCCGTTGCAATGACTAGAAAACAGTGAGTATTACAGCGAAACACAACAGTCTTTGAACATACCTTGAGATCATTGGAGTGGTTATCATTGCATGCCAAGCTCTGTTCCAGTTCACTCACGTCGAGGAGGCTCTCCTCGCCAACGCGCCGACTGAGCTCACCCACCAGGGTAACATGCTTGCTCACATTACCCGCGAGCTTGCGGAACTCGGGATAATCCTCCACGAACCGTTTCATATCAGCGATAGACTCGATATTCGCAGTGCTCTGCGTTTTGGTCTGGTATTGCTCCACATATTCTTTGATATTCTGCCCCAGATCACCAAAGTTCTGGTACATATTCTTCTTAAAAAATGGGTCCTGATCCTGAGCCAAGACAATCTCCTTGAGCTCTGGTCGGATCTCTGGCACATCCTGCAGATCCACCCGGCCATTATTGATGCCAAGCAATTCATGCACCATAGCCTGATACGTCCACTGAGTCAGCAATGGGGTGATGGGATCATCGCGGCGGTCAAGAACGAGTAGGATAGGCGGTGTGTCCGTCCGGCGGAAATTAAACAGCTGCTCCTCCTGCGTAATGTGATATCGGACCTCTGTTGCCAGCTTTCTAGCCAACAGACTGTTCTTCTCGTAACGGATGAGGGGATTCTTTTTCAGCGAAAGCAGCAGGGCCAATACACCCTCAGTAGCTCTTTGTAGTGAATCAGGGTTCCACATATCGGGCGACTGGCTCCATATCCGTTGCAAGGGGAAGCCCAGACCTAAAGAACACAGATCCGGGTTGATGACTAGAAAGTCGGCGAACTGTTCCTGCACCGATTGGACGACTTCATGACTGTCCGCTTCTGCGAGCCGCTCCAGGGAGGATTTGCGGATGATGTTGCTTAAGTAGATGTAGTATTCGCCATATTTGGGATCTCGGAGTTCATCAATCAAAAATTGAATCGAGGTGGGTGATGGGCGCACGAAGCATAAACAGCGCAGGTGGCGCATCTTCTCGCGCGCGGCATTGTCCAGGCGATCGATGAGGTAGACCTCGTGATTAAGCAGGGCGGATTGGGTGATGGCAGTCGAAACGATGGGAACCTGTGATCAGTTAGCGATGGATAACAAGAGTCAGCTGAGTAAATCTCCCACTGTCTCACTATCAAGAAGCAAGATCTTCATCTTGGATGACGAAGCTCCTGAGGCCGATTCGCCCACGGTGACCATCTTGGAGATGTACCCCGAGGCGGCCGCAACGACATCCATGCTGGGCGGGATTTTAAGAAGAAGAAGCTCTAAAAACCACAAATCCCCAGGTAAAACCGAAGCTGATAAAGATCGAGGGGAGTTGAGTGTGGAGATGGCGGGATTCGGGAAGTTGTTGGGGACTTCCGCTTTCCACATGACAAGCTACTTTTTTCCCTGTTTTCAACTTTCCTACTTTCTTCTCTCCATGCTCTGATTCTTTCGCATTTCTTATTTTCATCTTCTCTGTTGGGTCAACATGTTGCCCTACATAGACCAGAGTTCGTTCCCTTCTTGAGAAGCTCCCCGACTCGACTAACGTCTCCCCGCAGTATTCGAGCTGCCAGCTCGGCTCACTGGCGCATCAATTGATGAGCGTACGAACCTCCGTCTCCATAATCTCCGACCTTGTTAGCAGTTTCTGACCACAGCTCCAGTCAAGCTGATCGGCTCGTTCCTCCTCTCCTACCCGCTCGCCGCCCTGCTCAAGCGCATTCCCGATGCCCAACCCTGGAAAAAGAATGCATTCATTATCAGCGTGTCCCTGTTCTATCTGGTTGGCCTGTTCGACCTCTGGGATGGTCTACGCACCTTGATGTACAGTGCTGCGGGCACCTACGTGATCGCATACTATGTGGACGGGTCTCTGATGCCGTGGGTTGGGTTCTCCTTCCTCATGGGCCATATGTCGCTTAACCACATCTACCGTCAGATGGTCGATGACGCACACTCAGTTGATATTACCGGAGCGCAGATGGTTCTTGTCATGAAGCTCACCTCGTTCTGCTGGAATATTCACGACGGCCGTCTTCCCCAGGCTCAGCTGTCGGATCCGCAGAAGTACTCTGCTATCTCCAAGTTCCCTGGCATCTTGGATTACCTGGGCTATGTGATGTTCTTCCCCTCGCTTTTCGCCGGCCCCTCTTTCGAATATGTGGCCTACCGCCGCTGGCTCGATACCACACTATTTGAAGTCCCGCCTGGAACTGATCCGTCCAAGGTGCCACCTACACGGAAGAAGCGCAAGATCCCTCGCAGTGGAACCCCTGCTGTCAAGAAGCTGGCGATTGGATTGGCATGGATTCTTGCCTTCATCCAGCTAGGCGCCTACTTTACCACCGACTTTGTGCTTTCAGATGCATTCCTGCAGTACTCTTTCCTGCGTCGTGTGTTTACCGTACACATGGTTGGCTTCACAGCGCGTCTGAAGTACTACGGTGTCTGGTCTCTGACCGAGGGTGCCTGTATTCTGTCCGGCATGGGATACAACGGCTTTGACCAGACTACGGGCAAAGTCTTCTGGAACCGACTGGAGAACGTTAATCCCTGGGGTCTGGAGATGGCGCAAAACTCGCACGCCTACCTAGGCAACTGGAACAAGAACACCAACCACTGGTTGCGTAACTACATATACCTGCGAGTTACCCCCAAGGGCAAGAAGCCCGGATTCCGCGCCAGCATGGCAACCTTTGCCACCAGTGCCCTCTGGCACGGTTTCTATCCAGGATATTACATGACATTTGTCCTGGGATCATTCATCCAAACCGTGGCGAAGAGTACGACACCCAAAGCCCATCTCCGAATCTCCATGTAACTAACCTTTATAGACTTCCGCCGCTACGTCCGCCCCTTCTTCCTTACCCCAGATGGCTCAGCTCCAATGCCAAACAAGCGCTATTACGACATCCTCAGCTGGCTCGCCACCCAACTAACCCTCTCCTTCGCCGTCCTCCCCTTCATCCTCCTAAGCTTCGATGACTCAGTAACTGTCTGGTCGAGAGTCTACTTCTATGGTATCGCCGGCACACTCTTCTCCCTAGTGGCATTTGCTTCCTTCTCCCCGTTGAAGGGCTACCTCGTTTCAACACTGAAGCGTCGCACGCGCCCCAATGTCGGACGAACCGTCAGCACTGACTCGGTGCGTCCTCCTGTACTGGGCTTCCCTAATGATCCTGAACGCGACTTCGATGAGGCGGTCCAGGAGATCAAGGCTGAGATTGAGGCTCGGGGGAGACGCGGTAGTGTTGTTACCATGCCTACCGGGGAGGAGCTGAAGGCTGCCGTTGAGGAGAAGATTGGGCGGAAGCTGTAGATTTCGAAGTCTCAGCTAGGGAGAGATTGTTGGTATCATGGATAGATGGAGAGCCGGATTAAAGTGTTTTTGGGGTAGTGGGCGTGACTTTGGTGGTGTCGTTTGGTGCAAATAAATGCGTTGGAGCGTTGGAGCGTCAAAATTTCTTTGTTGTGTCTTTATCTCTAGCTTTAATAGCGATGGTGATGGCTCGAATCGAGTCGATCTCGTCTTGGCAATACAGATGTTCATAAACCGTAATAGATGGGATAGTTCTTAAGAAAAAAAGAACGTAATGAACAATTTTGAAGTAGGGCTTATAAAAATATGAAAATAATTGATTGAATCAAAAGTATGAAACCTCGAAAATGATGATATAACACAGGTGGTCACTGAAGAGTAAAAATATGCACCGAGCCAATATCAAATCGAACAACGATTCAGTAAAGATCAAGAATGGCAATAAAGAGTAAAACATATGTCCAATACATGGACGTCATATAGTGGTTGCAAACAAAAGCCTGTAAGGCGCCATGCGTAGAATAGAATCCCAGAAATGTAAAATAAGCGGAACTGTAGAACCAAGATGGGGGGATATTATGTGCGTTGAATCGTGTCGTGGTCATGTCGAACTGTGTGCAGTGAATTGAAAGGCAAAAAAGGAGAGCTGTAAAAATAGAAGAAGGGGATAGTGATAGACCGAGGCGAGGGATCACAGTCAGAAGATAAAAGAAAAGGGATGTCTGTAGTATCAGTGAATCGAGGAACGATTAATAAGATCAAACAGGACAGGAAATGAAGAAAAGAAACCAGCCAAACGGGAGTGTTGGTAGAGGCTACAAGCCCAAGTCAAAAGTGAGTGAAGAAATCACAAAAAAAAAGAAAACGTCAGAATGAAGGTTTTGTAAAGCCGTAGGCAAAGCAAGTCCAAGTCGTGAGAGCATTAAATGAAATATGGCGAGTCGAGCACAACCACGCTGGAAGAGAAGGAGAGAGCATGGTTGGCTGATACTGTCGTATAGGGCTTAGAAGCCCGTCGTAGAGCCAATAACAGCGAGAGTGATCTGCAACATAATTAGAAACGATCAAGCACACCAAAACCAGATGGCAAACTCACAATAATAACAATAATCACCACACCCAGAGAGATCATCCACCGATTGAGATTCCTCCACCAGCGGGCATTATCATGGCGCCGCTGCTGCAAATTCATACACTGCGCCTCGAGCGCTGCCTCAATATCCGAGTCGGATTCATGCACCATCATCTCAGGCGACATCTTAGGTTTTGGCGGCAGCGGCAGAACAGCAGCAATACACCAAGCCAGAGGGAACAGGAAGCCCAGACAGAAAGAGTAGACCTGGATATTCCTCCGTCCAAAGACAGGTTCATTGCGCGAGTCCAGGGAGGGGGCTTTCCATGCACTGGTCGAGGGCTGCAGGACCCTTCGGTCTGGGTATAGATGCGGTGACCAGCTATGGCGCAACCTGTAGCGCTGGTTGACGAACTCGCCGTCCTCTGGTTCTGGAGATGGGACCCAGTGAGCGCGCGGATCGCGGGGGTCGCTTTCGATGCGGCGCTGGGGGATTGGAACTTGCGCGCGCTCTGGGGAGCGAGGTCTTTCCCTTTCTGGGGAACGTGGTCTGGGGATGTTGAGGGGTGTGGGCATGAGGTTAAAGTTGAAGGCGCTTGAGTTGGATGTTCCGGGGCGGACAGAGGATGGCCGGCTGGCGTCGATCATTGACAGGGTTGAGTTCAGGCCCATTGGTTCGCGGAGGTAGTAGACCTTTGCCCAGGTGGGGAGGATGTTGAGGATGGTGCTGGTACCCGTGCCTGGGCGATTCGCACTGCGGTTACTGTTGCTTCGCTTTGAGCCGGAGGACAGGCTTTGGGAGAAGATTGGCCGGACTGGGAGGTTTGTCAGGCTGTCTAGGCGCTCTTCGTCGCTGTCGTTTGAGGACTCCACGAGCCATACGGAAGAACGTGTATTCTCGCTCTTCAGCGCTGCTGGTGGGGGTGGTGATGGCTCGGCCATCTCGGGTTCTGAGGGGATTTCCGCTTGCGCGGAGAGGTTGGTCGGTTCCTCTGCAGACCAGATTGAAGAGACGGTTGACAGGTGAGGGTTCCAACGGCCGGAGGCTGGGCCTGGCGTGAAGTCGCGCTCTGGAGTGACTGAAGTTCCGGCGCGGGAGCTTGATGACGATGGCGCGCGGATACGCGGGTATTGAATTGGGACACCGTTGTCAATAGCTGCCTGCAGGTCAGATGCTGAGCGTAGGCTGCGCGAGGAAGAGGTCGCAGAACGCGAGCGGCTGCCAGATGGTGCACGCGACGTTGTGCGGAAGGACGCCACGGACTGCCAGGGCGGACTGGAATGAAATGATGGAGAGCGGTAGCTCATTTGCTCAGATGAGGCTGTGTTGATCCAGGGAGCGGCGCCGGCGTGTCTCACCACGGTACCCCGTGAGTTGTACGAAGACAGCGAGTTGGTTCTGGGGTCTGACTCTGAGGATGCAGTGGCAGGACGGTGGAAGTTCATACTCGAGTTATCCAGCATTACAAAATTGGGACTTGATGGAGCACCAATTTGCTCGAGGTTTGGGCTGGAGTAGCCAATCGACTCCCCGGAGCCTTGAGAAGACTTTGGCGAGGTGGGCGGCTCTGAAAGTACTGCCTTGATAGTTGGCGTGGCTGTCGGCAGCACAATCATCTCGTCATCAGAGTACTCCGGCTCCGAACTGTCGGACCCATAGTCGGGCGCTTTACCAGATGAAATGTCTGGCAATGACGACTTGCTAGAAGTTGGATCTTCATCCCACAGCTCTGGCGGCGATTGGCCAGTATTAACAGTCGACGAGACATCCCAACTCTCTCCAATGGAGTGATCTCGCGGGCTGTTGGTGCTTTGACTGAAGGACGGTGAGGAGTACGTAGACGTGGACGGTCCTAGGTGGTGATCTGAATAGCTAAAACCGGTGTCCGAGATGTAGTCTTGCTGTCCTTTGCCGGGCATGGGCAACAGGATCTGCTCCGGCTTGGTCGGGAAAGGCGTCGCGGTATACATATCGACATCTTCCTGGTCCGACACCATGCGCAACGACCGGTTTGGTGATCTTTCATTCGTGTGAGCTGAACTGCGCTCTTGCAATGCCCTCCGCACGCGCGAGGTCCGGGGATAAGACATGGTCGAAGTCACGAACTTACGGCATTGATCGGAAGGATGTCAGAAGGCAAAGAAGGACTTGCTAAACAGGCAATAAACAAAATCAAAAGAATGACGGGGTTGTTGTTGTTTTCCTAGATTGGAAATGAATGGTTCGATGTAAGGAATGTATACCCAGGTGTCGAGATCTAGGGTCTATGGGCCGAAATTCATCAAAAAAGAGCGTGGGACGTGCGAAAGTCGTCAGGGTCGGGATTAGTTCGTTTCAGACATCGAAAGCCATTAAAAAGAGCGACAGGGCGAAAACAATCATTAAAGCGTTTCAACAAAAAGCACACGACAGGAAGTAACGAAAACACAGACGTGAGACACTGGAAGGAAGGGGGTGAGGAATTTTGTTGCCCAGCGGTGAACAATGAACCGGGCGCCTATCACCACCCAATCTAGACCCCAAGGGGTGATGCAGCCTGCATTGGCTCCAGTTCTCGACTCCTCCGGGGTGGCTTAGGAACACCCGTTGGTAGTTGGAGGCTTGACTCGATAGGTCGAGACACGCTGGTGAAAACCTGCACAGGCTACGCACTACAGTATGATTCTATAGTACATTGGACTTGCAGCCCTAGTATGTGCTATGACTTACCATCCGAGGGTGTACCGGCCAGGATCAGCAGGTACACCTGTACCTGTATGCATTGTGATTTTCGGTGCTCATAAACCAGTCTTTGAGTGGAGACTTGTGTGTTGTCTCGACTAGGATGAGTTTGGCTAGCGGCTGTGTGTCTGACATGCCCTCGCTGCCAACGCCCTTGACAGGCAATAATATGATGGTCCCTCAATTATTTTTCTCCCACCTGCTGCTTCCCTTGTCTCTCGTGAATCGGAGAATTATCGTCCACGAGCCCCTCACATTGACTCAGTTTAAAATGAAGATGGACTCAAGGGGTGACAGATGAGAGAGATCACATTTGACGCTCGGTCCAGCAGTTCGGTAGCCTGGAGCCGTTGGGATGGGATATATATAGTCATCTCCTACTTATCGTTTGTGCCTGTAACTTATACCTGTCGTGTACTTGTAGTTGTAGTTATAGATGTAGTCGACAATATTAAGATAAACATTCAATGGTCCATGGCTCATTCTGACAATACCATACTGTATTCTACATTTCTCAGCCAATCCCTGTGCAGTACCTGGCCTTCTGCGTATTGTAATAACAACAAAGCAACGTCTGGGCCATCTTGTTCTTTCCGAGGGTCTCAATACTTCCCCAACATAGATCTCATCATGGCTCCTGTCGGCTTGTTAGCTCGCATCAAGAGTCTGTACACAAAACAACAGGGTATGTAGTACTATTACTCTCATAAGTACCAACTAACACTGTCCAGATGACCCAGCGCTGTCAGGCAGGACGGTCGCTTTTTTCTCTGTATGTAGAGACATCTAAGAATCACCCCAAACAGAAAGGAAAAAAAGAGAAAATGAAACGACTGCAATTTTGATATCTAACAAACTCAGGTCCTACTCACATTACTCTACGTGGTCCCATTCTATCTCTCTCCAACGACCAGACCATCGCCAAGCCTTAGTCGCGATGCGCCCTCCGTCATTCGGGCCCGCATTCGCGCCGTTACAGGTTCATGCATCTTCAGCTCAGTAGTCGTCCTCTGGCTGGCCGTTGAAGAGGGGAACACGTCGGTCGCTGCGGGGTTGAGACTACTCGGCTGGTGGCCCGTCGGCGTGTTGGAGATCTTCCGCGGTCTGCTCCTAACCGCAATTCTCTTCGTGGGCCCGCTCTTCGAGCGAGGAATCGTCGAAGGTGAATGGAGATTTTGGTTCCGGCACAGCAAGCTCTCCGAGAGCCTGGGTGGCTGGATCGGGTGGAGAAATTATGTCGCGGTAAATGATATCCCCTCTTGAGACACTAGCTATCATTCTAAATATCTTTGCAGGGCCCTATTACCGAAGAGGTCATGTTCCGCTCGGCAATCGTCCCCTTGCATCTTCTAGCACATGTATCGCCAGGCCGCATTGTCTTCATCGCGCCATTGTATTTCGGCATCGCGCATATCCACCACTTCTATGAGTTCCGCCTGACGCACCCAGACACACCAGCTCTGGCGGCATTGGCGCGCTCGCTCTTCCAATTTGGGTATACTACCATCTTTGGCTGGTACGCCACTTTTGTCTATCTGCGAACCGGCTCCTTGTTGGCCGTCATTGTCATCCACAGCTTCTGCAACTGGTGTGGTCTGCCTCGGTTCTGGGGTCGCGTTGAGGCCGGAGAACCTATGGGGCCGCCCATCACTCGTGGCAAAGAAGACTCTGAGGGCAGCTCGGCTGAGGTTGGAGATGGGACTCTCGGTATTGGGTGGACGGTCGCTTATTATGTGCTTCTGGTGGCGGGTGCCTTGGCCTTTGCTCAGAGTCTATGGCCTTTGACCGAGTCATATCATGCACTTGTCTCTTTCTCGGGGAAATCCACCTAGGGCGAATCAGACATGGTTGAGCCCTCTTCTATCGGGGCTGGATTGACAGAGATAGGTGTATTTTTTTATTATTTTGACGGAGGCTATGTTCGGTTTAGTGGCGTTTCATTTATATCTTTTAATGCGTCAAACTGAGCCATGGTAAAAAAAAACGTTATCTTGGCACTCGAAATAAATGGTTTCTTTGCATCTAAAAAGCGCTCAACCAATCCCTAAGCATCTCCTAGGCTTTTCTTTGTGTCCTTTCTTGGTCGTGTATATTTCCGGTTCAGGTGGATAATTACTTTATGTAGATACAATAATAGAATCTTTGATACCAATAGCGTAAGTACATATAACATACTACTACTAGTAGAAGATTTAAATGTTGGTACTAATATATCTAGCTGCCCTGCGTGACAATGTATATAGCGTGGTATGTCTCCCTAACAACCAATTTATTGCATATAACAGTGGATTTTCTAGACCTATAAAGTAACAAACCGAACAAAAGAATTTAATCTTCGGCAATTAGTTCTACTCAAATTTTACTTTAGTGGATTTTAGCTTCTATTTAAATTTTACAGAAGGCGTAGATCGTGAGATCAAAGGCACCTTGTAACTGCAAAATACATGTAGATTGTATGATCTTCATCAACAGAGTCTAGTCGAGCTGTTATTGGGGTATTCTTTTCGTCACCTAGGGTATTGCCTGCGGCTAGTTTCTCGCAAGAAATGGGTAACGCGTGTGCTGGACAGTCTGAATAGGCCTCTTGGGCCTCACCGGCTTTGGCCACTCTTTGCCGTGTTGAAATGGCACAACTTTAAAACATACTACTCGCTGAAGCAAGACATCGTCCTAATCTCATCCACTGGGACAGAGCAGACTCGTGTCCGAAGAAATCGAGTGTCAATTGGACGAGAAGATCCCCCTTCGTCGTCGGAAGCCAACCGTAAGAAATGAAGGGACGATATTCCTACGGCATCGATGAACGGCAGGATGCGATGAAAGTTGAGCCCGACCTGATCAACGCCGTGACTGTCATCAGATAGACAAAAGTGGCCCCCTCGGACGAGAAACGCCTTGCAAATTTCGGCTTTGGGGTATGGTTCAGCCATGCCCTTTCGCAGAGCCGCGGAGTTCAGCTCTACTAGGCCTCCATAGCTGACTATGAAGTCTAGATTCCGTAGAATCTTTTCCCACACGCCCGGCCACTGTGTAAAGCTTTGGTCCGGGTCGTCACTCTTCAATCGGATCAAATCGAAATGGCCGACGACCGGCGGTCTCAGCTTGCGCAGCATGTCAAGTTGAGCGTCAAAGTAATCAGCAAAAAGGCGTTCATCCGTTCCACCGGCCACATCCCGGGCTTGGACATACATCTCGCGGTCATAGTCGATGGGGATTTCATGCATGTGGTGTACAGACCCGACGAAGAACTCGAACGGGAATCGGCTGAGTGACCGTTCAATAAGCATGAAAGATTCCGGTCGGATCCAGTCGATTTCCAGCCCGATCAGGATCTCAATTTGCTGAGCATACTGGTCGCGTAGCCGCAGCGCCTCGGCGAAATAGCGAGCTTCATTCTCGATCAAGCCAGCTTCTGTGTCCCCGGCAACGATCTCCTCTGGATAGAAGTCTTGTCGACAGCGGACCATATGCTCAGATAGGCAGAATACTCTCATTTTCTTTGCAATCGCCGCCTGGATGACTTCTTCCAGCGAATTCTTGGCATGGCCTGGGCAGAATTGGCCTGAATGGCTATGATGGGAAAAGGGCATCCTCATTCAAAGAATAGAGACAATCAGCCGATAGCGGCACCAGAACGTGAACAAACTGTCACAATTGACAATAGAGATAATGACGAATAATTACTCTGGGATAGTAGCTGAGATGCGATAGACTGAGCGAGGGTCTGTAGGAGGAATCTGATCATATCGCCAGTAACAGGTTGGTCTGCCACAGTTAACATGTTTGTATGGTTTGTATCGCTTCTGATTGGCTTCAATCTGACCACTAGTAATATAAATTGCTTGGCAATAGCCTTTCGAACGTTCTCTCTTTCATATCCTTTCATTACGCCCCTCTCTAACGTAATTCACTTCTAAGCTACGTACAGCTTCGAGCTAGACACACCCCCGAGCTACGTATACCCCTAAGCTATATACCCTAGAACATTATAGTAAATAGGATAGTTTATAACTATAGGTTTATTTAATTTGATTATTCGTAATAGCTTTCTATATATATAGTAACTTAAGGCTAGAAATAAGCGTTCGACCTAAAAAAAAGGGGGAGTAAGTAGAAATTAATTGAAAAGACACTGGGGTTTCAATTTACGAAGACGAACATTACAATTTCCGAAGGGTGACATTACCTCTAAAACACTTGGCACCTTCGGATTAATTTATACTGTGGCCCGAAGCTTCGAGCAGACCCGCCCGTTGCTGGCTATATCACATATGCTGTCGGTGGGTTTTCAACGCTTTCAGTGACAATAGCTTACATCACCCCCTCCTCTCTCCATAGGAGTAGAAAAGTCATCTCGTTTATTTACCAATCATTTACAAGTTCAATTCCTATGTCTCATAATTATAACTGCTGGTACAATGATGGAATATTTGATGCCAATAGCGCAATTATAGCATAGCGCATATGAATGTCAGTATTAATATATCCAGGTGCCCTGCATAACAATATATATCTAGCGCAGTATGTCACCCTAACAACCAAGTATTGAATACAACAGTGGATTTTTCTAGATTTCTAGAGTATCAATTGAAAGTGGAACTCAATATTTGGCGACTCTGCTCCAAAATTTATGATGGATATCTACTACAATGTTGATTTTTGAGTGTAACTCGTGAGACGTAAGACACCTCATAATGTAAAACTAGACAATTAAATCTTCATGAAGTCAGTTTGGCCGAGTGGTTAAGGCGATTGAGTACGTTTATTTCCAGCAACACATCTCAAGAATTCTTACTAACAATTACCACAGCTAGAAATCAATTCCGTTCGCGGGCAGAGGTTCGAATCCTCTAGCTGACGATTCTTTTTTTCCCACTTCACTTTCTTTATTCATCAAAATTAGTTAACTACTACATCTACATTTCTTAAACGTTAATATGTACTATTTTTCAATACCGATTATTGAATATCTTATCAAATTGCAAATCCTGCGTACTAACATCTGGATCTTGGCTACATTCAGTCAGACACTCTATGAGCAATCCTCGTTTTCAAAACCACCTGTTATGACCAGAGGCTACTCTGTTCTAGAGTGACAACCTGTAGCACTTGGAATTTAACGTAGATCTGGTGAGATATAGCCGCAACCAGCCCTAGATAGAAATATTAATATCGAACAGCAGTTTCTAGGGCCCGACGCTCACCACACCACAAAAAAACAACCGAAAAAGACAAGCAAATAAATTAGCTATCTCCAAATCAACCGCCCATCAACTTTATCAGAAAGCACCCCACTGTTCCCCTCCCAAGCAACAGCATTAATAAGTCGAACAATCTCATCCCGATTCTTATTACAATCCCATGCAAAAGCAGAACTCAACCCACCATTAAAGTATCCAATACGGTTCTCACAGACAGCATGACACAAAGGCTGCTCATCTTTCATACGAAGTCCAGCAATTTTGATATCTTCCGTCTGTGAAGCGAGATTACGAAGCGTTTCTAGAATCTCGGAACGTCGCTCTTCGGTCATCTCCTTACGGTTACGCAGGGCTCTATGTTGGTCACGTAGGGAATCTAAAAAGTCTCTGCGGACCGTAAGATAGGCTAGTTCGGCGTCTGTTGCGTCTCTGCGGATTAGACTGGGGGGATGGGTTGGGGTTGTCATTTGGGATGAGTAGTATACTACTTGTGATTTGAGGAGTGGTGAGTTGAATGGAGGGTATAGGAGCTTATCTTGCATAAATGATTTATAGAGGTGAGCTGGTTTATGCTGATGGGTTCTTGAGAAAGTGGTGGGATTGAAGGTAGTTTTATACTTGTCTGTTAGCGCCGAGTCAGTGGTGATCAATTAAAATAAAGACCGAATGTACTTGAACAAGAACAATAGAGGCTATCAAAGATATTATTGAGATCCTTTGTTTCTATTTTCTTTTGGTGAAGATTTGGAGTATAACAAAGGTGAATACGTATCAACAAAGAGTTTCAAGAACAGGGCCATCTGCTTGCGAGCTTGACTTGGGTGTAGCCACCCTAGCCCTGGTTGATAAATGCAATTGTAGGATGAGTGAAGAGAAGTATTTGAATGTTTTATAAATAATCGTTTGATCTCGATATATAATAACTCCTGCTAGGTAGACGCGAAGATGCAGTTCATACTGAGGTTTAAATCATGCCAAAACAAGAATAGATGTTACTTATAAATGAAGACAAGAGATTAAAAATTCCAATAACAAAATATAAGTTGATCTGGTGAAAGCCATTACTCGACTCCAGGCCTGAGTGACATACCAGAACCGAGACACAGAAGAGAAAATAGACTACCAGCCAAACTGCTGATAAAACAACAAGGGAGACCGTCTGGATAAGAATCTGGTTTGCAAGAGCTACATTTAGTTCGTACATGTGTGCTGATTTATCATATATCTGCAGTACGGCAGTGCACAATGAGCAAATCAAACTCATGTGATCTTCATTCCACTTGCGTCTCATGCTTGGTAGTTATGTTTGCCTTATTTCATGACCAGCTACACACATAATACCTGGCCTAGATTGCAGTTGCAAGACAAGTCAAGCCGCGATAAACTCATCTGTTGAAGAAGGTGTAGAAAATCGGCACAATATTCAGATACCTGACCCAATGTAAATGCAAATGTCGAAGCCAGAGACGTAAGACAGGGATTTTATTGCATGTAGCGCAATAATATCTATCAAGTGTTAGTTTTCTTCCTCCTTTGCATAGCAGCGCAAAGACACTACTGTAGCTGGGCTGTAGATCGTGTCGTCAGTCTACAGATACATATGTACAGTATAGACCGCTGTTAAGTTTCTTAAGTTACACGAAAAGCATGGGGCCAATTAGATCAACTACATAGACTAGATGTTCAGGACAATTATGATTTGTCCTGCACGCCCGTCGATTATTGGCGACGCACAAAGCCAAGATTTATTTTTCTTTTTTTTGTCCCCCTGAGGATGCCCGTGAAATACGTATACACGCCACATCGATACTGTAGTTTCCCGGAGTCAGAGATCTATCTGTTTCTAACTATATGTAAACATGTATATCTTTGATTTATGGGTAATTTTCAGACGCATGTCTTGAAAAAGGAACCCACATCCTACAGAGCCAAGAGATACTGCGTCTCGTATTAGTTGCATTCCTGAAGATAAAAAGAGGCTTGATTCTCGATTTGCATTTTATACTTGCTTTTCCTGTTCTATCCCTTTCCTTGCTGCCTGTTTCCTACTTCGAAAGAAGGAACGCACCCTTATTGCATGAGATACATCTAATCGATTGGTAGTGGTGGTGGACTAAGTTGTAGGAATATAAGAAGACAGAGCTGCCCCGATATATAGATTTCTACTGATTCCACACCGAAATTTCAAAACGATGTCCAGCGAGAATTCGCTGCCACTTGCTAACTTGAAAACCATCCACTTAGAGGATCTTCGCAGAGGATCAATCGGGGAAAAAGAAAAGATCTTTGCCGCTGCCCAAGATGATGGCATATTCTATCTGGATTTTACCGAGGATCACGGTGAGCACCGGATATCAGATCTAATCCAGAACATCTACAGCCTTAGCCAGTCCTTGTTCGACCTCGACCTGGATGAGAAGATGCAGTATGATGTTGACCAGATCAGCAAACTCAAGCTGAATGGGTGTGTATCAGATTGCAGATTGACTGTTTCCTGTCCTGGCCTGCTAACTTTCTACAGCTACAAGCCCATCAGCCGCAACATTGGGGGTATCAAAGGCCAACGGGATGGATTCGAGAGCTACGCGGTGTGTAATACCTTCAATCTCCCCCAATCCCATGAAAACATATCAGAACTGATACGATATAGATCCCCCGCAATGGAATCCTCGGTTTTAACCCTTTCATCCACCCCCGACTCCTGGACAACCACATCCACCTTCTCCAAAACTTCCTCCTAACCTGCATCGGCATATCCCAAAACATCTTCGAAGCCCTATCAAGCCCGCTCAGCCTCCCCACCTCACATTCCTTGGATAAATTCCACCGCCCAGACGCCCCAGCCCCAGATATCCTCCGACTCCTAAAATACGCCGCATCATCCAAAGGCGATCAGGAATTCCGCGTCCCCCAGACTCCACATACAGACCTTGGCTCACTGACAATGCTATTTGCCGATTCCCCTGGACTCCAGATAAAGCCCGATGGATGTGATGACTGGCTGTATATCGAGCCTAAGGAGAACCATGCCGTTATCAATCTTGGTGATGCGATGAGTTTGTGGTCTGGGGGTCGTTATCGTAGTGTCTTGCATCGTGTGGCCTCGCTTCCTGGTGTGGGAATGGGCGAGCGGTATAGTTTTGCTTTCCTTATGCGACCGGAGAATCTTGCGCCTATGGTTTCGTTGGCTGATGGATTGCCGGGTTTGGATGGGGGTGTTCTGACTAGCGAGGAGTGGATTAGGGCTAAGTTTGGGGTCTTGAGGGGGAGACTGAGAAGAATCGGACTCATATATTAACGGGGAGGGAGATTGCTATTTGATTATTTATCCTTTTCTTGGGACGTGGTTTGTATTACTTCAGAGTACATAGGATATATTTCGGCTTGTCATAGCGCAGTATTTATTAGATCCAGAGGCAGATATGTAGACTGAGTAGTTATCCAAGAAATCCACTCTGAATTTTGATAGACATTGGAACTTGTTTTATTCATGAGAGCATGCATGTCTTAAACAATGCAAGGATAGAGGGAGAGCTTTATACAAGATGGGAGGGGCGGGTGTATGCTACACCTGGGCATGATCATCATCGAACGAGCTGAAAGGAGAACGCAAAACACAAACACAAAAAAGAGAAATTAGACGAGTCTAAATAGTCTCTATGCTCATTCTCACATAATATGACCAGACCAGTCAAAAGACAGAAATTAGTCATTCGCATGAAAAATACAGAGCTCCTTTGCATGCCAGATGCGGCGGCGACGCACAACATCTGCGCCGAAGGTATCCTTGATGCCATCATAATCATCGCCGTGAGCAGGATCACCTGCGTGAGCATCATCGTCGCCAAATGATGGACGCAGGAGGCGGGCTTCTTCGACGCTAGCACCGAACTCGTACTCTCCGCGACAGAGAACAGTCACACCGACGGAGGCGGTGGTGGACTCGCCGCTTTGCAAGATGGGGAGGGCTTGCTGAAGCATGCCGGTCCAGACTAGGCGGCGCGTGAGGTCTAGAGCAACATTGTTTGGTTGATGGCGGAGACTGGGCTGGAGACGGAGGAGGGGGTGGATGGCGCGAGAGGAGCGATTGCGGACGGTGACGGTGAGGGTAAGGAGATCGTCTGTCTTCACGTGGAAGCGAGAGCGGCCAGTTTGTTCTACTCCTGGGGTGGTCTCGGATGAAAATGGGGAGATCAAGGAGAAGGTCATTTCAATGTCCTCGAGACGCATGGCTTCGACCATGCGGTTGTTCAGTCGGACGTTTCGGAGGTCAATGCTTCCCTCGCGTCCTGTAGCGGGTTCCTTCCAGCCTCCGAGAACTCTCTTCAGGAGCTCCTCGCGGAACCAGAAAGCTTCGCGTGAGGCTGCCTCAGCTTCGAAGGAGAGCTTGTTGGCGCTCACAACGAACTGTCTCCGGGTTCCGGTGTTGACGACGGGAATAGAAGCATGAGGGTTATCGAGGTAGACGCGAGGCAGGACCAGGACGAATCGACAGACTTGACCGGGTTGCAGTTCTCCACCCACGGAGTACTTCCCGCTGGGATCATCTTCAGTGGCCTCCGACGAGACACCTATGGAGTGCTCGCTAACGCGCAGCCACACCGATAGGGGACTTGGCCATGCGTTACGCAGGTCAAGCAGCACAACACAATGATCCGGTCCATAGGCCCCGTTGCCAAGACGGGTCAGGACCTGAGAGAATGGATCATGATCAGTGGTGGAGAGCAACGTATCCGGCTTCTTCGAGTCAACAGGTGGTTCAATGTGGTTTTTCCAGGCAAAGTCACCACTGAATGGTAGGACGTCACACCGGGCGACCTCCACGCTTGCATTAACCGTGACTGTCACTGGAACAAACAGTTGCCGGGTATAGAATGTATCAGGCAATTCACCAGGAGCTGCGCCAACGCAGGAGTAGTCAATTTGCACGGTTGTATCCTGCAAACCAGGCTTGCCTAGAACATCGACGGTAAAGGTTGCCTTCTGGCCAGCTCCAATCGAACAATCGTTGGGGTCTGGACCTTCACGGCGCCATCGCAGGGCAGGCTTGTTTGCTAATTTCAACTCGAGCTCGTAAATCTCAACGGGCAATAGATCCTTGTTGCTGAGAGCGGACTGTAGCTGCCTCGTGGTTGAATCTTGGAAGGTGAACAGAACAAAGTCCACAGGGCACGAAGATGTGTTCTGGAGTGTGATAGTGAATGACTTGACTTCACCTTCCAGCACCATTAAGGCCGACTGTGATAATGACATAGATTCAATGACAAGGGAGGGCTGCTTGCCGATCACTTTGACCTCACATGTTGTCGCCTCGGGACCCTTTTTGATGTCCACCTTGCCATCTTTTGATGTTGTCGAGCTCCAGGAAAGCGGGCGTTCTGTCAATGGCTTCTTTGCCCCTAACCCTGTTCGCTTAAACTTAACCTCAGGTTCCGGCCTCCAGAATGTCTTGAAGATGGGGAATTTCCGCATACGACAGTGTCGCACCTTCACGATACAGCCGGTGATATTAAGGCTACCTGGCTCGTGAGCGACGCCCATCACAGTGACATCCTGAAGAGACAGAGGGGCAAGGAGGATGTTTTCTGCGACAGCATCGAACGACACACCGCTACTCTCTAAGCGCAAGTGCTCAATCTCAATCTCGAATTCATACGGATTTTGTAGTGTCACCCGGAACGAGGCAGGCTCATCGGTGACAGTGAGCAATTCCAATGCCTTACTACTGACCTTGGCAAAGGGGTTGTACAGGAATGGGTCCTTTTTCGACTTCTCAGTGCCTGCAGTAACAGCATCTAGTTCCGTCTTGTTCCGACGCACGGGGCGTTTGGGATCTGGAAGTGCCAACAATTGAACATCACGGACCAAGAAGTCATCCCAGTATTCCGCAACCATATCAGCGGCACCTAGTCTGGTGCCAGCGCCCACAGTACGCTTGATATTGTTGAGAAGACGGATTTGTTCGTCTTGGGCTAGATACGGCTGGGCTTTGTATGCATCCCCTAGCATCATATCTCCTCGGATGGTCTGCAAAAGCTCGACTGTGAAGCGAAGAACGCCATTGAAATCTGGAAGAGCTTCGCAGCAGTTGATACAAGCCTTAAGAACATCGATCTTCAAGTTCAGATCACCGTACCGATCTAAAACGACATGTCGGAATGCCCTTTCAGCAATACTGGAGACTGAATCATATTCAGAGCCTTCTTGCAGTCCGCTAACAGCGGATGATTGACTGGATCTCTTCTCCCATTCATAAAACGACGAGGGTTGAACACCGTATATTTCTCCAATTGTGGCAAGAAGAAGGCGCACACTTGTTTCCATATTCCCAGAGCCTGTATCGAGGGCATTGACATCAAAAGCGGCATCGCTGAGAGAGGCCAGTCCAGCAGCGGGATGAATTCCTACCTCTGCAGCACCGATCTTGCGTGCTTGAACCAAGCTTGGTACCATGACGGAAAGAAGTTCGCGCAATATGAAGGCCTTCTTTCTTGGTAGATCAAGGATATTAAGCACGGACACGACACCGACTATGATGGGCACCGCGTCAGTCGCGGGCAAATCCGCACCGGCGGAAAGTGGCAACGCCCGGTATAAGAAGTTCGCAATTTCAGACTTTCGGAGAAGAACAGTTCCTCTAGGAAGTTCTGAGTGGAACAGTGGAATCAAAGGTTCGTTCATCACAATGTGTTTCAAGGCATTGTCATCTAAAGCACCGTCGCGAACGCGAGCTGACACCAACAACCGCGATAATCGAATGACCGTCTCAGAGAACACCAGTTGTGGCAGAGGCTCATCTGTGATATTGGCAGCGCGGTTGTAGAGATTTAAGATGTTGTGCGCGAGATCTGGCAGGAGGTTGGCTAGATTCTGCAGAGAGATGACCCGGTTTCCAGCACTACTGGGCGTTGCTGAGTCCCGGGAAGATTTAGAAGACTTGTCGGCAACCGGATACAGAACCGATGGAATCTAGTAAACATGTAAGCTTTCCGCGACAAGGTTTACTTGGTTTTGGGTATGCGCATACCTGGAAGTCCATGCCAGCCCATCCAAACATTAGCAGACAAAGCAGAATCGATTCAAGCGCTTTGGCATGCCAGATATAGTCACTGCCGGCTCGGGCATTGTTCACGGCTTCTGTCAGTTCCTTCAGAGCATCTGGCCACCTTCCTGCCTGCAGGAAAAGAGTTCCAATAACTACTCCGGCCCGGCCTTTGATTCGGTTCTTAGTCCTGTCAGTGGCACTCAACCCACTGACAGACATACGGTCACGGCTATGCTCCTTTGGGGACGCTACTGATGGAGTCCTGCTGCCTGAGTTTGTGCGGCTGGATAGGTGGATTGATCGCGTGATCTCGTCAAATGTTGTAGGAGTCTCGTGATCGCTAGGAGCTGGGGAGCTGGCATTGGAGCTCAGTGGGGTATCCGGTGCCCCATTGGGATTAGATGGAAGCTGCGCAGGCATAGTCATCCTCCAGGTATTTAGTAGTCGGTCCACTGGGCGTGGTCGTAGCTCCGGGTTCCGGTGCGGGCCCCAAGAAGATGCCTTAGGCGAGTCAATTGTCGGTATACTCTGGATAGTCTTTGCAAATTCGTCCATTTCAGAGAGCAAGACCGAGGTGATATCGCACAGGACAGTCTTCATCGTGGTGGCTTTGGAGGCCTGAGGCGGCGGAACCCAGAGAACATTATCGGGTCCGTTTGTGACCTTGTCCATGCCTTCATGATCGAATACCAAGAGTTGGTTCACCAATGCCCGAGGGTTTCTCTCCTTCATTCCATCGAGCTCCTCCAACAGCTGATCGAGTCCCTCTGGAGTTGGGTGCTTTTGGGTGTTCCCTCCTGTACTGGGTGGTAGTTCTGTTCCATCTGCTATCGCGATAATCACCAATGGTTCTCTGTAAATCTCAAAAGGGAACAATTCGAGGTGCGACGTAGGGGGAACCGAGAACGAAAGGTCGTAGAGGATCACGCCGGTCGGAAATGCCAGCGGTGAGAACATGTCTAGTCAAGAGCAAATTAGTACGCATTGCAGCTAAATGGTACCACCACTGGCGTCTCGCGGTTGGGTTGCATACTTCTGTTTGGCCGCGCATCGGGGCTGATATCCCCTAATCGAACTACATTCTCGGCTTGTAGTCGGGCAGCGAAACTCAAAAAGCGCGAGCGCTTGATCCTTCCGATAGGAAGTAGGAGTGCTCTAAGGCGCACAGGCGCAATTGGAGACAGAGGGTCGACACCCATGCTGTCGAGAGCTGTTGTGCAGGCGTTTCGATGTCAAGCCCGCATCCACTCAAGTTGACCTTCCAGACGTCATGCGTTGGGTGATTCAGCAATAAAGGCCGAGATGGACAAGCGCCGGATCCAAAGGATCCCAAATAATATCTGGAGACAAAGCCAGCAACTTGTTTCGTTTCCTCCTGATGAGCTCCGAATAACAAATGGCTGAGGTAATGTTGCATACGTGGGGGTTTTGGCTTACCGTAAGTATACATAGGGTACTTTCATCCCCACTTAAATAGTGTGGGTAGCGAGGTACCAGTACCTTGGAGTTATGTACAGCTCACGTAAAGGCGGCTACCGAGGGCAGTTCCCGATAAGAGATAAGTAAACTCCGCAGTCTCCGAGTTGTTTGTCGTCTTCGACTTCTCTCTCTCCGCCACCTTATGCTCTGTTTCTTTCTTTTTTGATCCTAGATCCTATCCAGCGTTATACCGTTGTTTTTTGTTGGCTGATTGCTGGCACCTCGTGCCATCGACCCAAACGTGTCGAAGTCCGACTGCAGCCTAGACCACCCTCGATCCTAAGTTCGGCTCTCTGCTGCCACACCATGAACTAAACTTTTATTATATTAATCAAGTAGCTTGTTATCACGAGCCAACGAGATAGACTACAGAATGGCTATGAACGTCGATTTCAACGCCTTGAAGGCGCGGACCATGGGGTCTGGAGCCGACGAGGAAGCAGTGACAGTTGATACTAGAGGATTGATCTCAAAGGTTCTGGCCCGCTATTCTGGTAAATGGTAAGTGCAGCTCGCTTCTATATTGTGAATCAAGTCTGACATATGTGTACTCCAACAGGACTGTACTTCGAGAAATGATTCAAAATGCCGCCGATGCCTCTGCAACGAAGGTGACAATCAAGTTCGAGACTCTTCCTTCGACTACAGTACCATCCCCATCAACAAACGACCCAACTGCACAGCTCAAACACACCATAAACAATCACACTCTTCGGCGTCTCTTGATTTCAAACAATGGTTCTCCATTCAGTGAAAAGGATTGGGCACGACTGAAGCGTATTGCAGACGGAAATCCTGATGAGACGAAAATCGGAGCATTTGGTGTTGGATTTTACAGTGTTTTTGACGACTGCGAAGAACCATTTGTTTCTTCTGGCAGCCAGGCCATGGCTTTCTATTGGAAAGGCAATGCGTTGTTCACACGTCGACTGGACCTCGGAGAAGCTGCAAGCCAGGACACCACCTTCGTTCTGGACTACCGCAACGACTCTTCTCCGATCCCATCATTATTGCAGCTGTGTCAATTCTTATCAAGCAGTCTCACATTCGTCTCTTTGCAAGAGATAGAACTATGGCTGGATGATTGGAATCTTTTACGGCTATCGAAGAAGACTGCTCCCAGTGTTGATGTTGCAATCCCCAGAGACATTGACACCAAGACCGAAGAAGGTTTAATGAAAATTGTCAAAGTCACCCGAGAAATTGCGCAGGTTGACGCTTCCTGGATGCGAATTGTGGAATGGAACCCAAACGCAAGCATATTCCGTCTGGACAATATCCGTGATACAACAAGCTCGCTGCGAAGCTTCTTTTCAAAGTTTACTGGTCAACCAGAAAAGCAGACTAATCAGCAGCCTGAGCATGAGCGCCAGGAAGAGTCTAGCAACATGAACACAATGCTGACCGCATCGGTCTTTTTGCATATCAACACGGCATCGATCCAGCCTTCTATCAGTTCTTCGCTGAGCAAGGAGCTAGAACGAGCTACACGAAAGCCTCCCCCTAAGAGAGCCACCATTGCCATTTTGACTCCTTCGTATGATGCCAACATAGCTACTGGGGCATCTTCATCACAGTCAGAAATCCTTTCATCAATCCTGCCTACAAAAGCGGGAAGGGTGTTCATTGGTTTCCCTACACAGCAGACTACTGGCTTAAATGCTCACGTATCTGCACCATCTGTGATTCCTACTGTTGAAAGAGAGAGTATTGACCTGAATACTCGGTATATCAGCAAGTGGAATCTCGAGATGCTTCGTGCGGTTGGTGTAGTTTGTCGAATTGCTTGGTCCGCGGAAATGGCTACCATCAAGTCCAAATTATCATCAAAGATTGGACCATCGCGCTCAAAAATTCGAAAGGAAGACATTGTCGATGTACTACCAGAGGCTATCCACACTGCGAATCAATTTGTGTTCCGTGAATCCACCCCGTCCTCGGCTTTGGGTCAGACGATTGAAGATGCATTCTGGATGTGTAACAAGAACGCTTCTATCGAAGTCCTTTCTACCTGCGGTGTCATCCCCAGCCATCAGACTCGCATTGCGCCCAAAGAACTGAGCTTCATGGATTCGATTCCTGCTTTGCCTGACGATTTTGTGAACAACGCCAAAGACTTTGTCAAAAGGCTCACCGATTTCGGTCTCGTTACAGAAATTACGGTATCAGACATCAAACGTGAGCTCGAGTCCAGCACCTTGCGCTCTAACCAGGTTGTTGAATTCATTGCCTGGCTTGGTCGCAAAACGGTGGCTGGCCAGCTTGATAGACTGTCGGTCCAGAGTCTATTGCGCGTAGCAGTGGCCAATGACGAAGATAAAGAAGGACATCCCACTCGATTGATTATTTTCGCGGATATTACTTGTTTCTTGAATCCCCAGCGTATTCCAGCAGACCTCCCTGTGCCACCCAGTGTAATTCCGTTCCGGTTTACCAAATCTCTGGGCAAACCGGAACTGGAGGCGCTCGGCTGGGTTGAGCTGCAAATTGTTCCTTGGCTTCGTTGGCTCGTCAACAATGCCGGAGACCGCAATGTCCTTTCCATCGACCAAGACATTACACAGACGGCATCATTCTCTGGACAGATCTTGCCTGTTCTATCAAAGCAGTGGGAGCCCCTCAGCCAGGCTTCTAAACAGACGGTTGTCTCAATACTTCAACCTCATACTGTGATCCCAACTAGACTTGGAATGAAACAGCCTTCTCAGACCTACTTTGCATCTGTGCGCCTTTTTGATGACCTTCCCGTGGTTCATGGATTGAACGGCGTCAAAGAGAAAATCCTGGTATCACTTGGTGTTCGCAAAACGGTTGAGCTTGGTGTGATCTTTGATCGTCTTATCAACACTCCCACGTCCAGCGATGCCAAAGGACCCACACCGAGAAAATGGAATCACGTTGATCTCATTCGATACCTTACCTCTGTGCGGGAGGACATTCCTGCAAACGATATCCAGAGGCTCAAAGGTACGAGTATCTGTACTGCTGAAAGCGACAGCGGTTCCCAGGGAACACGGTACAAGATATCTGAACTTTATGAACCAAAGGACTCCCTTCGGGCTCTTGGGCTTCCGGTGCTCGAGTGGCCAGGCATCTATACCAACAGTAGCAACGAGGGCAAGTTCCTTGCAATGATGGGCCTGAAGAGCTACCCATCAGCTGTTGAACTCATCCGGCTCATGACCGCCGGAAGTACAGAGAAAGACAGCCGAGCAACCAAGGCTCTGTCGTACTTCCTCAGTGAGTATTACACAAATGGGTACGCTGCATTCGATATCAGCGCGGTCACCGTGGCATTCCTTCCCATCGAAGACTCTGATCAATTGAGTGTGCCTAAGAAATGCTTCACCGATGAAGGTGCAGCTCTGTTTGGCTTCAAAATTCTTCGAAAGAACCTCCACGCCCATGCCTCAAAACTTGGAGTCAAACCTCATCCTCCTATGACGGACTGTCTTCAGGTCCTTTCAAAGCAGCCCCCTACTACCCAAAAGGATGCTCGCATTGTCTTCAAGTATTTAGCAGGCCGAGTGGCAGACTTGACCTCGCAGGATATCCAGCGTATTAGCCAGGTCCCAATCATTCCAATTGCCATCCACAGTCAAGCCGAAAAGGCGCCCAGAACCCGTCTTGTGGCGCCTAGGCTTTGCTATCTTGGAGACGGAGAAGACTACAAGGGAATCTTTGACTTTGTTGATTTCGGCCAAGAAGCGAACCTCTTCCTCATGGCCGTCGGCTCAAAACGGGAGCCCACTAAGATCGAGATTGCGCGAATGCTGGTCAAAGAGCCAGCTCGCATCTCTGCTGCGTTCCAAAGTTCTGAGAAATACTTGATGCTCCTCAGGACCCTCGCGGAGCACCTCCCAACTCTGAAAAAGGATAAGGATCTTTTTATTGAGATGAAACGAGCTCCATTCCTCATGGCGAGCCGAGATATTCCTCCCCGTGGCACAGATAATGGCGACAAGGAAAAGTCCAAGGAGCCTCTTGATGAAGACGACGATCTGGATATCAGAGAGTGGAGCTTGGCATCTGCAAAGGACATTGTTGTGGTAGATGCTTTCCAGAGTTTCAATCTGTTCAAAGAGCACATCCTTGCCGCGCCACAAGAAGAAGCACTGGAGAACTTCTACACTGCCCTTGGTGCCATTCCATTGAGTGGTCTTGTTGAAGAACAAGCGCGGTTTGGCAGCGTGGCAGCTGACCAAAAACTTGCCGTCAAGCTGCACAAATTGATCCTAGAGCGTGCACGACTCTTCTTGCATGATCAACCAGCCGATTCTATCCTGCATGGAACTCGATGGCTGGAACACTCCTTCAAAGTTCAGGTCGTGACCGCGATATCTCTCACGAGATCCCTCAAGGGCCGAAGAGTTGCACACACACAAAAGCGAAATGCCATCGTCGCAGAATTGGGGAGGAACTGGGGTATGTGTATCACCCCGGGTCGATATGATCTGTATGAGATCAGTCAGTCATTGGTGCATCTGATTCTGAAGCGGCCCAAGCTGCATTCGACCCTTACACTAGAGATGCTGTTGAAGACAGATCTTCTGGAACTCCGGGCCCGAGGTTACAACGTGGAACGTATTCTGAGACAAAAGGCCCAGGAAGCCCGGGTGGCAGAGGACAAGCGTCAAAAGCAGGTTGAAGAAGAACGGCGTGCCTTGGAGGAAAGAGAAGCAGCATGGGCTGCGACCCAAGCCCAACGTGCGGAGGACGACAGACATGAGCAACAGGCACAAAATGCGATGCCGGGTGTCTTCCCTGAATCACCAAACAATAACAAGATGTTACCAGCGGAAGCACATGCTCCTCCACCAGAATCTATGCCTGAGCGTCCCAATCGCGGCTTGTTTGCCAACTTATCGAAGCGATTTGGCTTGGACGGTAATAAATCCGGCTTCTCTGGCTCTGGAGAACAATCCAAATCTTTGCTACCCGAATCTGCAACACCTCCACCGCCGCCCTATTCTCCCAACGACCCCCAGAAATCGCGCCCAGAACAACCTGTATCTGTCAACTCGCCGCATCGCTTGAACTCCGAGCTTCTCTCCGCCGTCCAAGCATGCCGGCCCCACGGATCTTCCGATGTGTATAGCCGACCGGAGACGAACCAAATCTCCGAAAGCAAGTCATACTGTGACGAACGTCCAAGCCACGACCTGGAGTTCGTCGCTACACTTCCCAGCGGCGTCAACGTACTGTTCACAAGGACAGTCACGGAACGATCCACATTCCTCGCAAGCAACCGTGCAGGCTTCAATCTCTTCGCCTCGATTCTCCTCGACTGTGGTTCAATCTTCTCGATGCGAGCTGACAGTCTCAGCATCTTCTACGACCCAGGTGGCAAGACAATCGCCTTTAACCGGGCAGGCAGTATCTTCTGCAACTATTTCTATTTCCAGCAGTTGCAGGAGGAAGCCCTGCTCCAGAATCCCGCCCCCGACCGTTCTGACGCTATTGTGTATTGGTGGGTGATCCTTTGCCATGAGCTGGCGCATAATTTGGTCGGGGACCACAGCTCGGCGCATAGTTACTACACTGAAGGCTTTGTGGCGCAGTATTTCCCTAAGGTTGCTGTTAAGCTTGCTTCGTTGCAGGTGCCGGCTCAGGCGTCTCTATCTAGACAAACTTGATCTTTTACAATGTTCAATACCCTCATATGATGTTGGATTTGCTCGATTTGCTCGTTTATGTCCCTTGTGTCCCTCCCCTATCAATAGTGTAGCTCCAATGGAAATTAGGATGTTTTAGAATGTTAGAATGTCTCAGTTCAAACCTACACAGTAGCAGACGGCATCTTCAGGGATTTAACGGTTTTTCCCGGTTCCCTTGTTCGCCTATTAGGGCCACTCGGGCTTACTCGGTTTTCAATGAAGTCCATCATACATCAAATACTTTGCCTGACAATAATTTTAAGTTACTGGTTAATTAAATTACCTGCATATCGGAGAAATAACCACCAAGTATAGTAAGTATACAGGAAGTATATGCAAGTCAACACGTCTTGCCACTCGGTGGAGCACATCCGTTGGTACCCGCTTTTGCCCTTTTCGCAACCTTAATTTTTTGTGACCTTTGCTTCATTTTTCACGCCTCATGCATTCTTAGCTTCTCCTCCCTGGCCTTGGACGTGGTGATCTGCTACGTTCTTTTCTCTCCTTGTGTCTCTTTCCAATCATTTGTTCGTCATTCCCTCCGGGTGTGCTTGGCACATATCGCCACTCTCTGACCCCAGTCTGCTGGGTTAGCGGCGATCTCCTGGGGTCCATTCTCGGAAATAGATGGGCCTGAGCTGCAGACGTCTTTGAAAGCCTCATTATCTAACTGATCCCGGGGGCCATCGCGGGGTCTGACAATTTCACCCGACTACCCCACTCCATACATAATCTTTGAACAGTATCACACAATGGCGCCAATGCTAGGTCATTGGGATGCTCCCAGCACCGGGAGCCCCGTGTTCAATCATAATGCTGACTTGCCCAAAAACATCTTATATGTCGATGCATATGACTCATTCTCTTACAATGTGGTGGCCATGCTCGAGGAAACGCTGGGTGTCAAAGTCACAGTGATGACCATCGACTCGGAATGGCCCAACTCCAATATGAACGATTTTCTCCAACACTATGAAGCCATTGTTCTTGGTCCAGGACCGGGAAACCCAAATGTGTCCACCGACGTTGGTATCATGAACGATATCTGGAACCTCAAGGACTCCGAGCTCTTACCGGTTTTTGGTATCTGTCTCGGTTTCCAAAGCCTCTGTCTTCACCATGACGTTCCGATTGAGCAATTGCCATATCCGATTCATGGGCAGATTCACAAGATCCGCACTACCTCGAAGGATATCTTTGAACTTATCCCGGCTGTTGATGTGACTCTTTATCACTCGCTATATGCCAACGCGGCTGCATCGACTCCGGCTGATTTGGAATATTTGGCTTGGCTGTCTCTGGAAGACCTTCCCGATGCACAGATTCCCATGGGGGTCCGGCACTTGCATAAGCCCTTCTGGGGCGTCCAATTCCATCCCGAGTCCTGCAAATCCGAAATCGACGCCTGCAAGACACTTCTACGGAACTGGTGGAAGAAGGCTCTTGCATTCAACAAGATCAATGGACGTGGCGGATGCGAGCCCCTCCCTGAGACGGTCATCAGCCCCCACACAGCTGCCAGCCCGTTCCCTGAATCTGCATATGAAATGCTGCAGTGGTGCAAATCCACTTCTTCCGTTTCGGCTTCTCGGTCTTTCAAGCGACATGGCTTGACCGCAGAGACGATTAGCGAACTCTTCAACAAGCCAGGTTCCCCCACAGTTCTGTTCCAATCTAACGGGCGATATACGATCGCCTCTGTGCCCAGTCCGGACTCTTGGCGGTTCGAATATCATGTCGAGACACACAAGCTCCGGATGCTTCAACTGCATGGTGACTGCAAAGTGGATGAGAGTACTCTTGCCGTGGCTCAACTTTGGGACGCTTTACGTTACTTGATGGATATGAAGAAAGTCCATTCTGGAAACCCTGATGTTCCTTTCTGGGGTGGATTCCTTGGCTATTTTTCCTACGAACTTGGACTTACATGTCTTCCTCATTCGGAACGCCCGCAGGCATCGACGTCAGCGAAGTCTAGCACTGAAAAGCCTTCGTATAATAATTCTCCGTTTGCGGACCCGCCTGATGTCAGTCTTTTGTGGTGCGAAAGAAGTATCGTTTTGGACAACGTCACTGGCAACATCGTCATTCAGTCCACTCGTGAAGACGACAATACCCCTGCAGGATGGCTTGATGAAAACCTGCAACTGCTTCAGGACTTCTCAATGGTTAGCAATGACCCAATATTTGATCCATTGTTGAACTCGATTTTTCGCGAAGCCAAGATTCAATTTCCAGAGGAAGACAAGTACAAACGTCAGATCGAGTCTTGCAAGAAAGAACTCGAGGCTGGTGAATCTTATGAACTATGTCTGAGTTGTGAAACATCAATCACCTTGCCAGTTCCGGAAGAAGAGTCCGATCGCGTCGCGTTCCCTTGGAAACTCTTCAAGCGATTGATGAAATACAACCCCTCTGCATTCAGCGCCTTTGCAGACCTAGGAGATACCAAGATCGCCAGCAGCAGCCCAGAATGTTTCCTCAACTGGGATCGCGAGTCGACGCTAGAGATGAAGCCAATGAAAGGCACTGTTCGCAAATCGCCGGACATGACCTTCGAGAAAGCCTGCGAGATCCTAGGCTCGACCAAGGAGATGGCCGAGAACCTGATGATCGCGGATTTGATCCGCCATGATCTGTATGGTATCTGCGGATCCGGCGGCGTCCATGTTGAGAAACTGCTGGAGGTTGCAGACTACGGGCGAGTCTACTCAATGATCACGCACGTCAAGGGAAAGATTCGCCCCAATCAACCCGGTTTCGCCGTCCGGGATATCCCCCAGCTGAAGACCTCCAACATGGCCGTCCACGGCCTGACTACCTTGCAGCGGTGTCTACCCCCAGGCTCAATGACTGGTGCTCCAAAAGAGCGCTCTTGCATGCACCTGCGAACAATTGAGGATCGCAAGCGCGGTATCTACTCCGGCGCCATGGGTTTCCTGGACCTCGGTGGAGGCGGGAGCTTCTCAGTTGTGATCCGCTCGGCATTTACCTGTGCGTCTGGTCAAGACACTGAGAACAACCAGCAGACTTGGCGCATTGGTGCCGGCGGAGCTATCACCATGCTCAGCACGGCGGACGGAGAATGGGAAGAAATGCTCACCAAATTACGCGTGGTTTGCAATATCTTCACACCCCTCGATTCAAGTGAGAAGTCTGCTTATAGTTCTTAGTTTGTCTATGTGGTTCCAGTCTTTGGACTTGTCAATAGTCCAGATTGCATTATGATCCACGCTCTTGCTTTCAACATGCGGATCTACTTATATGGGATAGAGATGGATAGAGATTCGATTCAACATTCAGCGATGGAGTTTGGGTATATATTTGTATTTAACATTGCATATAAATTTCAACAAAGAAATATAGAGGCAGACATCAACTCTGTCTCTTATCGCTATGGAGCTCGGTGCAAACAAACCAAACAATCTTTTTATCCGTAGCTTCAACTTCCGAGCTTCCTTGCGCTTTTCTCAAGTCTCCAAAAGTCTGTGACTTTTCATAAGTCTTATTACACCCAGTCTATCTATTGAAGCGCCCATTATGGCGACCCAAGGCGCCCCAATGGAGGAGATAATGTGGCGGTCTCCCCCGCACGTCCAGATGATGGGAGGATTCCTCCATTCGAACAACAGTCAGTAGTAGCCCTCATAAACATGAACAGAAGTTAACGATCCTCTTAATCAGTTCTCTTCTACTTTGCCGAATCCCCTTTCTTTGACGCGACCTCCAACAATGCCTCCCTCGCCATCCAGGCCAACTACAACGAGGCCTTCCGCCATTTCGTCGAAACGCGCGAAGCTTTCGAAGGCCGATTGAAGACCATGCAGGGTCTGGAGTTTGTCGTCTCCTATGACCCCCTTCAAGCAGCGGCACAGACAGATACCAGTTTTGCCCACGAACCATCCAACATCTGGGTAATCCGGAAACAGAACCGGCGAAAGAGGAGTGGATTTGAAGATGAAGTGTCCGTCATATCGACGTTCTTTGTTGTGGGCGACGCAATCTACATGGCTCCTTCAGTTGCCAGTGTTGTCGGAAACCGAATTGTATGTTCTGTTCTCTTTTTGAATCCACCACCAACCACGAGATCAGAATGGCATGCTAACATCTTTGTGTTTTTCCTCCCACTTGCAGCTATCAGCCGTTACATCACTATCACGATTTATGAAAACCGCCTCAACATTGCCGACCTTCACCCCCTCCTACGGCCACACATACATGCCACCAGGAGTCCGCAGCAAAGAACCAAACCAACAATCCTCCCAACAAAGCAAAGAATCAACACCAATGCCCGACGCACTCAGCGACACACAATCAATATCAAAAACAAACCTAGGCGTTTCAGCCATCAGCTCAAACTACCAAGACACCCGCAGCCTAGCGGAATCATTCAGCCTGCTAGCACGCTACGGCGACGAATTCATGGACGAGAACCCCCTCGCCGGTGAACCAGGCTCGTTCATCTTATCACGAACGGGCGGCGAGGGCGGCGGTGCTGGTAAGCAGGCCGCGCCTAAAGCCGGCGCAGGTCCTTCGTCGTTGAGTGTTCCTGCTTCTGGTCCGCCTGGGCGGGCGACTACACCACAGGTTCGTGTTGAGACGCCGAAGGGGTCTGATAAGGGTGCTTCGCCGCCTAGTTCTGGTGGAGATCGGGGGAAGAGGAAGAAGAGTCGGAATGTGGTTTGATTTGTTTTCTCGATACCCCCCTTTTCTTTTGTGATTCTGGGCGTTTTGTGCATTGCATTGTTTATTCAGGCCGGGGAAGCACAGTATTCAGAAAGAGCATTTGTGGATTGCGGAGTATTTTATTGTAATTGAAGTGGAAGCCAACTCTTGCTCGTAGGTCATTCCATTGTAAAGCAATACTTAACCACCGAGCCAGCACGAGAAAGGCATTGGAGGCAATTTGTCTTCTCGATCAGAAAGGTATTTTTTTCTAACTGCAGCATCCAATCTTTTACCTTGGATATATATAGTATAGTAAACAGGCATCGGAATGCCGGCGAAATCTGATCACACTTAATCAACTAGTTTAGAGATAGTCCTGTCACATTTTCAAGAGCGCATGTACTTTATCCAATAAGAACTTGCCTCAGTGCCATATGCAAGGACTAGAGAGCCCAGCTGTTTCGATGCAGCAAAGTCTACAATAAGAACTGTTTATGACAATCCCAACGTCAAATATCAAAGATCAGCTATGATCCACGCCGAGACTCTTGAATGCGCGGATCAATTTTACACGAGCGATATTGAACCAGCTCAAGCTAACCTTCCGACACTTCTTCCGGAGGGTATCCCCAGCTCCAGTGTTTCGGGGCTGTTCCCGGTGATCAAAGGTCTCGGGTTGTTTCGACTGTTTTCTCTTCCCCCCGTGGGACAATTTGAGTCTCGCTATCATTCTCTGGCTCCGGAGCCAGAAGAGATGCTGCATTCAGCAGGGTCGCGGCTCTGTCTGTAGAGGTTTCTTCTTGCTTGACACCCTTTCGGGGCTCATAATATTCGCTGTTCACGTCTCCAGTATTGAGATCTCTGAGTTCGCCCTTCAAACCTCCGATGTTGTTGAGCTATTTGGATTCGCGCTTCAACTTGGTAGGCTTAGTCTCGCATCTTTTTCGCTTGGTGTTCTTTCGACCGAGGGCGGTCTTGCTTGGAGAAGGTCTAGCTCGCTCAGACTTCATGTCAGAAACTGTGTGGCCGACGCTGGGAGGGATATATGTATTAGTTTTTGGAGTGGCCAATATTTGACCTCCAGTTTGGGTACTTTAGTATTTACAGATTCTTCAGAGTTCAATGAAGCACTGGACAGAATGGATTCACAGGGAATGTGGTATGTGGAAGTGAAGGAACAGAGATACACGGAGGCAAAGGTTTTATGAAGAATATATGTGACAAGGTGCTATTACGAGTAGTGCTGAGTATAAAGGGCGTCCTAGCAAATATAACATGACTATAGCATAGCTATATCGTGCTTTCGCTGGTTAGCCATCAGCAATCTTCCATATAAATTGTGTCCTCTCAAAACTAATTAGAACTTAACTATTCTGTATCTATAGTCTTGCCCGGGCCTCAAGCCGTAAAGTGTTCAATGTGACGGAGTACGGGTTGTTAGTGTAGTTGAGGCTGAACCTTGTCTTATCGATAAGGTTCCTCTACTTTCGGCTGCTCTTCCAAGGTTTCTTGCTTCTCTTCTACTCATTTCTCCTCTTTCAAAGACATTACCAGTTTAATATTCTTCTCTACCCTCAATCCTCACTTGAGTTCCATAATGGCGGACTCGGAAACCAAGCCAGCCGTGGTCTGCGTGTTGTGAGTCAATACCCCACCATCTCATCAGATACCCGCAACCTGGCCCTACCATTCTACCTTACCCCAATATGAAACTTCCATGAGAACCTGATACAAACACATGATATACACCAAGAATCATGAAGCTAACAAACTCCCCAACGGGGAAACCAGCTGTGGCTCAGGATCCGGCAAGAACCCAGTCCACATGGAAGCAGCACGAATCCTAGCCGAAGAGCTGCACAAGCACAAAGTGCAACTTGTCTACGGCGGCGGCACAACCGGCCTAATGGGCGAAGTAGCCCGCACCCTGGTCAAGCTCTCCGGCCCTCAAGCCGTGCACGGCATCATCCCCCGCGCGCTGGTGAAGGTAGCAACGGACAGCGGCATGCGCGAGCACCAGAACGGCAACACAGAGTCTGGCGGCAAGACAGCCGAGCGAGTCATCTCTGGTTCTACTGAAGAGAATGGAATCCCCGAATCCGAGTACGGCATGACCACTGTCGTTCCTGATATGCATACGCGCAAGCGTTTGATGGCGACTAAGGTGCTGGAAGGTGGGCCCGGGTCTGGATTTGTTTCGCTGGCTGGTGGATTTGGGACTATTGAGGAGGTTATGGAGATGACTACCTGGAATCAGCTGGGAATTCATAAAGTTGGTGTTGTGTTGTTGAATATTAATGGGTATTGGGATGGGTTGTTGGCTTGGGTGCGTAATGCTGTGCAGGAGGGGTATATCTCTTCTGATAACGGGGGAATTTTGGTTGAGGCTAGGGACCCTGCGGAAGTCTTCCCTAGGTTGTTGGCTTATCGAGTCAGTCAGGGTCGGATGCGGTTGAACTGGGGACAGGAATGAGCAATTGTTATGGATGAGACGACTGGACGTGAATATACATAGACACTTGTCTTGTCTTTTCGGTTTTATTTCGGGGTTTGGACTGTGTTTGGCTGTTCAGGAGCTGGATATAGACATACACAAGTAGATTTACTTCGTTAGAAACAGCCTTACAAATCGATGATTGACATAACAGAGACCATTAACAGACAAAGCATAAGCAGATTTCATGTCTATGCATCATTAAACCAAATGAGATGATTATGAATCAACCTCCATGGACTCGCCCTCCCCACCAGCTTGCTCAGACTGCTCCAGCACCTCAAGCAGCGGGGCCGTATCCTGACCCTCGTACAGCTTGAAGCTCTCCTTCTTGCCATTAGTCACTCCCACAACACCAACGGAAGTGTTATCCACCGTAAGCTCCTTATCCTGAGACAGAGTCTCCTTAAGAGCACGCAAACCGTGCTGAACAAGCTCATCACGACTGCAATCCGCAAACTTGTCCAAGTTCCTCTCCAGATACGTACGCGCCATCTGCGAGCGCGCACCAATAGCACAAGCAACCATCTCGTGGGTCAGACCCGAGGGCTGGAACTCGAACAGATGCGGTCCAGCCTCGTCAACACCGGCCACCAGGAGACCTACACCGTATGGCCGTTTCCCGTAGTGCTGGGTGTTGGTCTGCGCGCGGTCACCAATCTGGGCGACGATTCGGTCCAGGGGAATGGGCCGGCCGTAGGTCATCTTCGAGCCGAGGGATTGCTGCTTCATGAAGTTTGAGAGGACGCGGGCGTCTGATGCGAGGCCGGCGATGGCGATCGCCATGTGCGAGTCGATCTCGATGATCTTCTTCTGGTACGAGGAGAGCTCTTCTGCGTTGCGCTGGTTGGGAATTCAGATGTTAATTTTCAGATTCGCTGGTCGTTTCTCGGTGGTGTTCTGCGAACCTTGAGTCCAACCAGCACGGCATGTGTCTTGTTCACCAATCCCACCACGACGGATCCTTGCTTCACGGCTTCCTGTGCATATTCTACCTGGAAGATACGGCCTTGTGGGGAGCTGTTATCGCCCGAGTTAGCATCTGATGGATCGGAGGAAGGTCGGGGTAGTCTTACAAGGTGACGGCATCGTTGTCGTAATTGTTTCTGAACATGGCGGCGGTGATGGCTGAATGGATATAGAGATAGATGGAGGAGAGGGGTTCGAGAATCAAGGTAAACAGCAACACAAGAGCCCGAGGGATAAACCGGAGATGGAGAGAGAATGGGGAGCTGGAGCAGGCAGTAAAGTGACGCGGTGTGAAGCATGAGCTGTTGTGGCCTGAGGCCACCACATCCAGTGACCTTCAGGCTGCCAACGTCACTCATTCTCGAGCTCATCTCCAACTGGCGCCCTGTGACCGTCTCTCTCTGCTCTCCTGCACCCGGCCAATGGGGCTGTGATTATCAGTCTACTCTTGATATCTTCCTTTGGTTTTATCCAGACCGTTCAACACCTCCTTTCACCTTAAGTCTCATCAATCGGACTTCGGTGTCTCCGCAATCATGGCGGCTGGACTCAAGACCATCATCGCGCTTTCATTTGTACGTTGAGCTTGACAGCTTGTCGAGCGAATATTGACTTATTAACCCCTAACCAGGTTCTTGCCATTGGTTTCCTCCTCGTTATCCTCTCTTCCGCGCTATGGCATAAGTACTGGCCGCTGCTGGTCGTCGGCATCTATGTCGTTGCGCCCCTCCCCAACTGGATTTGCCAACGATGCGCAAACCCCGACGATTTCATGGATAGCTCGAGCAACTCTGCGATGGACTTTGGGCGATTCATGACTGGATTTTTGGTTCTGACTGGCATTGGTACGTATCTGTCAACTCAAGAGGGGCATGTTGTTTTTGATCAGTCTGATCCTGATATGGTCTATGACATGCATCTATATCTGCTGTGTTATTCTCCGTTTGACCAGTTCGCTAACTGTCTCCAGCACTTCCCATCGTCCTCGCCCACAGCGGTGCGATCGAGATCCCCGCAATGATCATGTCCATTCTCGGAGGCCTTTTGATTTACGGAACCATTATTAGCTTCTCAATGTTCTTCCAGGAACAGGAAGAGTTCTGATCGCAAACTGGGGTGCGCCGCCCTTGGACTACATGGACTGTATGGGCTATATTGTAGACCAAGTGACCTCGCGGGCTCTGACTTCTTGATATCCGTCTTTCTTCATTATTTCTTTTGATTTCAGCGTATGATTGATATGCTTTGTATGAGTGATCTGTATTTGGTCCGGGTGTCTAGCTTGAATGGCTGCGATGGCTCCCGTGACTCGATACTTGGCCGTGCTACTTTATGTGTACTATAACACAATGGATATAGAAACTTTCTGGCAAATTCGTAACATTTGAATCAATTCGCTCCTCAGACAAAGGATTCTTCTCCTTTGTCCGGCATGGTTTAACTATATCTGTACGCCACGTGACCCCGCGCGCGGATTTCAGCGCGTCTGAGAGATCGGAGATAACAGCACTGAGCAACGTAACGGAACCACATTATTCTTTCGACTATGATGAGCACATGAAAGCCCCTCCTGGATCCAGAATACAACATGAATGTCTGGTCAGGATCCATCATAACCAATTCGGACTGCAAGTTGGAAGGTAAGCCACACGCGACTCGCAACATGCTCGCTCGCTGACCACATAACCAGGGATTCGTTTAATTGATCCAAACTCTTACTGGCATTCCGAACTATCAAAAGAATCTCAACTAAGCCTTCGAAGCTTTGTCAACCCAGCACTCATTCCACTCCATGCACGTGCAGGCCCGAACCTCGAACTACACACGAGCCATGCGGGGACGTCACAATGGCTCAAAGACAAGCTTACGGGCTCCATTTGGTTAAATGAGGAAGATCCAGCCCTTGAACAGTCCCTGCAATGCCCAGTCGGCCTGCTAGTTAGTGTTGACGGCAACACAAAAACTGGCGGCGCAGCCACAACAAACCTCCTGGTCTACGGCGTATTAGCCAGCGCAGCATACACACGCCCACCTACACCACCACACTCCTCCCCCTCAGAGCTACCGGACCCAACAGCCACATCACCGAGGGCTCCATATGAACTGCGCATCTATGCCGCACCACTATCAACCTCCCGCCTCGCCCAGGCCCAAGCCTACCCATCCCCACCACCAAGCGCAGACGGCGAACACACCATACAAAATACCCGGCATGCCGAATTCCTCCCGGATATCAGCTCCCCAAGCCCGAAACGCAAACGGGTAGCTACCCTTTTCGAAGTCGCCGCACAGCACCACCGCCGCGTCCGCCAGCGAGGCGGCGAAGCCGTCTCACAACTAATGGCACCTTCGCGCCCTCTCTCCTCATCCCAGAACCTGCAGTCCTTGCGCATAAAGCGCGAGCCTGACGATGACCATCCCTCTCTCCCATCCCTTGATAGGATTGCCCATGCGCGCCGTTCTCGGTCCGTGTCCATCGGCGCGAATCTACACCGTCCAGGTAGTGTGCGCGGCGCACGCGCAACAGCAGATCCGCAAAAGCGCGCACCAACCCCGAATCCGTTCTTGGACTCTGGCTCTGGATCTGGATCTGGACCTGGTTCTAGACCTGGATCTCGACGTGAAACACTACAATCACAACAACAACAACAACAACAACAACAACAACAACAACAACCATCCGCTCTGTCAACAGAAGAAAAACCTACCCCAACACCGGGCTCACCATCCAAAGATCCCGAAACCGTAATAGCAGAAAACAAAAACCTAATCACACGCACGATATTGACCTGTATGCGTCTCTATGGCTTCCACCGTGCAAATAATACACGCACAGCATCAATGAGCAAACCACCCGGCGGAGCCGCAGATGTAGAAGTCGATGGGTCGGGTACGACACCAGCGCCTGAATCTTTGCGTGCTGAGACGCCTGCGCCGGGTGTTTCTGCTGATGATGATGAGTTCAAGGCTATGTATCATGCCACGTATAAGGCTGCTGCTTTTGCATTGAGGAGGTATTTGAAGATGGCGTTGGCTGGGTCTGGGCCGGGGCCCGTTATTTTGCAGAAGGAGAAGGCTATGACTTGTATTGATGAGTTATTGAGGCTTTTTTGTGAGGAGCATTGAGGTCTCCTCTCTTCTTGGGGTTTATGATTTGATGAACGCATATACTGGTTTGGTGTTAGGGCTATGTTGGTTATGTCTGACTTGATTTGTTGTTGGTTCGAGGGTATTGTTTTGAACGCATAGCTTGAAAGCATCCTAAATTTATTTGACAGTGTCTACTTTTACTGTCTTCTACCTTTGCAATTCTGGCATATATCAGTACGCCTTGAGGAACAAATCCGAATAAGCCATCTACTAGACACATCGCGAACCGACCCCAAGTACCAAGTAATGTGCAAGAGAAATGCAGAAATAAATTCATGCTATGCGCCAATCCCAGCAGCCAACGATGCGGATGCATACAAAATGTACCCGGCAAGTCAAAAAGTCATCACATCAGCAAAAGAAAATGAGTAGAATACAAAAAGGCAGGCTAGGGTTTATACCAAGCCAGCCAGATCACAGAGCAAGGTTGTAGGTGTAATCATCTTCGATGTTCTGCGAAACCCAAAGAACAATAGAACTAGAAACAAGAGCAGTCAGTATGCGCCACAAGACATAGATACACATGGCACAGAGGGTTAAGGGTACACAACATACCTGAGCATAACCAAACCATTCGCAACGACATTCGCAATACCAAAGTAAAGCGTCTGAATCGGATAATCCTTAATCAAATACTTGAGAACCATAACCGTCTACCAGCACAGAAAACCAGTCAGCTTCCCCTCTCATCCGAATATCCCAGTCTGAATATCCCAATCTCGATTTCAAACATATACATACCACACTACCAGCAAGACCACCAGCCAGCAACGCAAAGCCCAAGAAGAGAACAAAGCGCGCCTTCCAAGCGACCCCACTACCACTATAACTGAAGCTATCAGCCTGCAGCCGTGACTTCTCAATCGAGTTGATAACCAGCATGCCCAGTGCGGAGCAAATGCCGGGGATCCAGTCGACGAATTTGATGTGCACGTCTGATCCGTTGCGGGGGCTACGCGAGAATGAGGCGACGTCGATTAGGAAGAAAAATCCCGCTGCGAACTGGGGGAGGGGTGGGCTGTTAGCTTTGGATTTGGATTTGGATTTGCTTTTGATTAGGGTAAATGGATGCGGGGTTGGCTTGAACTGGAGGGACTAAAGGGATGGGTGCCTTGAAGCTCCAATCTCTATTTCAAGGTTGTTTTTCTTGGGGCTGGAATGGGAGCTTGAAGTCGTATCTGGAGTGTGGAGGTGGAGGTGGTGGTGGATCGCGCATTGAGGACTCACCAGTGCGCCGGAGACGTAGACGCCGCCATTGCGGACGGCGGAGTTGTTAAGCCATTCGGGCTTGGAGAAGCGGAAGAGGCGGTTGTTAGAGACGTCCATGGTTGGTGTTGGAGGGAGGTTTGAGGGGTGAGCTGGTGAGAGCTGCAGTCTGATGACGATGGACGTCGGAGAAATGTTAGACCGAGATATATTGATGTTTGACTACGGAGTTATGGTATAGGCAGACAAGACAAAGACATCTTGGACCTCGGGAATATTGTGGTTTCGGTTTATTGTTTCATGCTCTAGTCTAGATCTATGATTTTAGTTACTTTGACGATTCATGGACTCGTCATCACAATCCTTACGACAAAATATGCCCAGTTAGGCAGCGAAGTATACAGCGATATTCCCATGGATGATTTTAGGTATCAACTTTTAACATTAAACATCGAAATTCGTAATTGCATAATGCAAATAGTAGGGGCAGTGTCCCAGGGTATGTAAACGTCAATATGTGCACGCCAAGCACCAGGATTGCGTATATCGTCAACACAACCCAAGGCAGCCAACACCACCAAGGCCGAACCATTTCGGGCATCAGCACAGGTGATCAGGAACACACAGGCATTGATTGTGAGATTTATTTCGCGTCGTCATCACAGTGCACAGCGCAGTCACGGCCGGTTGAGTTGCCGATCGCACTTCCAGCGCCAATCGCACCAGCAGATAGAGTGTCTGTCCGAGGGACGTGCCTCGTTTAGCAGCTATGTTGCTGCCTCTATTTCGGGTATCCATTTCTCAACTCATCCAGTCCAATCGAAAACTTTTCATGCCGAGGCGTCGACGGGGTGAGCCCGCAGCTTGTCAAGGATGGCGTCCACGTCGTCCATGTTACTGGCGTCCTTCTTGTCCGTGGGGTATCCCTCGGGTAGACTCTTAAGCAGCTCATTCATGGCGGGCTGGTAGTTGCGGGTTGCGGAGGAGAGGGCGTAGATGGCCTTCTTGCGCGTGGCGGGGTTGGAGTCAGTTGTGGCGATTGTGACGAGATCGGGGATGGCATTCAGCAGAACGAGCTGTTGCACATGTTAGCGCAATCCTATCGCATATAGAATGAGTGGTATATACCTTATCCTGGGCCTTCTCGTTGTTCTGCACGGCAGTTCCGATACACCAAGCGGCCATGCGTCTCAGATCGGCCTCGTCGTGCTTGAGCAACTGCACCAGCGGGGTCCACAGACCCAGTGGCTCGAGGTTGTTTGCGTTGTCAATGCCCTCAATCAACTGCTCGAAGTTGTCCATGGCGATCAACTTGTTCTCCATATCTGCTTCGTCGGAGTGCACCACTTCCATGGCGGCGCGCATGAGATCGGCCTCGGATGGGCCGCCGAATAGCGTCCTGACCATATCCGGGGTGAGGCCCTTTGCGGCTTCTGGGGCACTGGGGGTACCGCTCTCGGCACCCTCGGAGACCTTGGAGTTGGCGACACTCCATTTGAGGAGCTTGTTCATCTGGGGGTCCATGGCCATGGTTTTGGCGGGGTAGAAGGGTTGGTGGAGGGTTGGTGATCTTGGGGATGGATATCTCGTGGGATATATGCGAACAGGTATATCTATAGACGATCGCAAAGCAATTGAATTATATGACAGAAACACCGACTGATCTCGTCTGATAGAAGTATTTCACGAAAAAGGACCGCTGACATAATCTGACGTGGGTGATTCGTGCGGCGACTAGCGGCTTCCGTCACGTGCGCCGCCACTCACCGATGTTCCACACATTGGCCAGTAACATGGGGGAAGGTTGAGGCAAATGGCGGTAAATACGATAACTGGTGATCCACCTGGGCATTCCAGTCTTATACAGCAAGAAACCTGAACTTGGCCCCCAAATGTGCCGTGTCCAGAACACCCGTGTACCTCAGGAGCTCAAGTCTGGTTCGGAGGGGTGTTGGGGCTTCCTATACTTAGAAAGTGGAAGCCTGCGCCACATGCGTAGACACATTCCGGAAGAAAAGGGAGTGAGGGAGGCAAGGGAGGAATCCATCAGCCTGCCCAGGTGAACAATGTCTGTTGCCTGTGTTGCCTGAGTACTGTAGTGTGCTTACTTGTATAGTGCCCAGGTGGCTATCCAGAGGTACGTGTTCCCCGTGCCCACCTAGGCAGGGTTTGGAGGTATTCACCTCAACGTGTAACATACAATGTACGCAGTCACAATGTAGTTCATTCTAGACAAAAGAATAAAGAACAGTTCTGCCTAAGATATCAAAGATATAAAGATAGACGTTGAAGTCGGAGGGGAAGGAACGCCTCAGGCAGCGCACAATCCCAGCCATCACAAACCCCTCTCCACTTCTCTCGCTCTCTTCCTTCTTCCCTCCTCCCCTAATCACCCCCCATCTCTATACTCCCCTTTAACATCCATCTTTCTTTTCTTCATTCTCTTTTCAATCCGTCACAATGGAAGGTATGTTGTGTTCATCCGTTGAAGACCAGCTCAACTGGTCCAGCTTATTCCTAGCTGTCAACCCACCCCCCCCTGTTGGCTAGAACTTGAATTGCGAATGGAGACTAATACCCTGTCATTACAGAGGAAGTTGCTGCTCTCGTCATCGACAATGGGTATGTGATATGATTCTACTCCGGAGCCCATGCTATCTAGGCCTCGTGTGTGTTGGGGGTCAGCTCGGTCGCGGTCCGGTCCACGTTGCCACATCGCCCCCTAATCGGCCACGACGGCAGAAAGACTCCCAGCTCAATGACCTCCCAACGCCCGCCACACTTCTTCAGCTGGGCTCCAAAGATCATGAGGAATATGATACTGACGAATTGCGCTTTAGTTCGGGTATGTGTAAGGCCGGTTTCGCCGGTGACGACGCACCCCGAGCTGTCTTCCGTAAGTCCAACCCCACAGAACTGGTTTCCCCCTCCAAGGACCGTCATCCCGCCAACCGCCAACCCTTGCGTCGGATGACCCCTCCTTTGGCTTGGGGATGAACTTTGACGGAATCGAAATGACTGACAAATTTGATTAGCCTCTATTGTCGGTCGTCCCCGTCACCATGGGTAAATCATCCCCCCTTTTGAATTTTTTTTTTTTGGCGCGATGTTCATACAATGCGCCAAGCAAGTTTGACCTGAAAAAGATGATATACTGACATAGGCGCAGTATCATGATTGGTATGGGTCAGAAGGACTCCTACGTGGGTGATGAGGCACAGTCCAAGCGTGGTATCCTCACGCTCCGTTACCCCATTGAGCACGGTGTTGTCACCAACTGGGACGACATGGAGAAGATCTGGCACCACACCTTCTACAACGAGCTCCGTGTTGCCCCCGAAGAGCACCCCATCCTCTTGACCGAAGCTCCCATCAACCCCAAGTCCAACCGTGAGAAGATGACCCAGATCGTGTTCGAGACCTTCAACGCCCCCGCCTTCTACGTCTCCATCCAGGCCGTTCTGTCCCTGTACGCCTCCGGTCGTACCACTGGTATCGTTCTCGACTCCGGTGATGGTGTTACCCACGTTGTCCCCATCTACGAGGGTTTCTCTCTCCCCCACGCTATCTCGCGTGTCGACATGGCTGGCCGTGACTTGACCGACTACCTGATGAAGATCCTCGCTGAGCGTGGTTACACTTTCTCCACCACCGCCGAGCGTGAAATTGTCCGTGATATCAAGGAGAAGCTCTGCTACGTCGCCCTCGACTTCGAGCAGGAGATCCAGACCGCTTCCCAGAGCTCCAGCCTTGAGAAGTCTTACGAGCTTCCCGATGGACAGGTCATCACTATTGGCAACGAACGCTTCCGTGCTCCTGAGGCTCTCTTCCAGCCTAACGTCCTTGGTCTTGAGTCTGGTGGTATCCACGTCACTACCTTCAACTCCATCATGAAGTGTGATGTTGATGTCCGTAAGGACCTGTACGGCAACATTGTCATGGTAAGAAACCCCAAGAGCGATGTACAAGAACCCGACTAACACATTCTAGTCTGGTGGTACCACCATGTACCCCGGTATCTCCGACCGTATGCAGAAGGAGATCACTGCTCTTGCTCCTTCTTCCATGAAGGTCAAGATCATTGCTCCCCCCGAGCGCAAGTACTCCGTCTGGATCGGTGGTTCCATTCTGGCCTCCCTGTCCACCTTCCAGCAGATGTGGATCTCCAAGCAGGAGTACGACGAGTCCGGTCCTTCGATCGTTCACCGCAAGTGCTTCTAAGCTCCTTAGCCTTACTCGTCTTCGCTCGTACTTTCCTGGTGTATCAAAAAGCAGGATGGTGGCACTGGTGGATTGCAAGCGTTGTTGGACTCGCATTATCAAGCGAATAGCCTGAAAATGGAACCCTGATTTTAGTGGAATAGAGTCGGTCTTTTCTTTTTTTTATCTTACCTTACTCTCTATCCATCCATCCTCTTTTCTCTTTTTTACGTTGTTCCTTTTTCAGTCGCAGTCGTGAGTCTGGGTCCTGGTGCTCCTCGGGTCCTTGGCGGCATGTATGTGTAGGTGAGGATGTACAGGAGTTGGCTCAGGTCGCGTTCTCTGTCTCAGTTTGGATTGTTCTAGCCGGTGAATTTCCGTGTCTTTGTCGTTCATATCTCGACCAAATTGCTCTTCAACTATGAATATGTAGTCTCTTGACTTTTAACATTCGTATCTTCACTGTTTTCATCGATGCATGATTACTGCTACTGAGCTCTGGAACTTCTGAGGTGTTAGAACTGATCGATATAGTCCTGTTTCTGATATGAGGTGATAAAATGAATTGCTATTGAATCACCATGCTTCACTCTAACATGTAATTTGAGTCTACAATATCCAGAGGTTCAGCAAAGCAATCATATCAAACGGTGTATATCATTTCCTAATACAGGAATCGGCATCAGTCATATCAGGACTCATCCAACAGCCCTATTTATTTTGTATCCCTCACAGAAAGAAGAGACATACGAAAAAGAAACATCGAACCAAATAAAGTCAAACAGTAAAGAAGAAAAAGAATCTAAGATATAGACGTAAAACCAAGTAACCCATTTTCATCATCCATCCCATATCAACATCAAATCAAATCAAATATATCGAAGATGTAATCATATCCAACTAGTCCAAGGCCAACTAAGCAGACCAAGACTCAAGTCCAGACAGGACAGTTCCCTCCTCGCCCTCAGCACGAGCACGCAGCTCACCAACCCGGTAAACAGTCTCACCAGCCTTCTCAAAGGTAGCCCGGATAGCAGCCTCCTCAGACGGGTCAACGGCAATAATCATACCAACACCACAGTTGAAGGCACGAGCCATCTCCTCAGAAGAAACGTTACCAGCACGCTGAAGCCACTGGAAAACAGAAGGCTGAGCCCAAGCACTGACATCAACAGCCGCAGTAAGCGTAGAAGGCAACATGCGCGGGATGTTCTCCGTCAAACCGCCACCGGTGATATGGGCAAGACCCTTAATGGCGGTGCCGTGAGCGGACAGTGCGGCCAGGATGGACTTGACGTAAATCCGGGTAGGGGTGAGCAAGGCCCGGCCGAGCGAAACTCCATCCTCGAGACCGGGCATGGAGAAGGGGGCAGCATCGGTGAACTGGAGACCGGCACGGTCGACGATCTTCCGCACGAGAGAGTATCCGTTCGAGTGTGGGCCTGACGAGGCGAGCGCGAGCAGGACATCGCCTGAGCGCATGGAGTCCGTGTGTGGGAGGATTTTGCGGGCGTTGTCGCCGACGGTGTTGATGGCGCCGACGGCGGCACCGACTGCGTCGTAGGAGTCGTCGACGAAGAGGCCGGGCATTTCGGCGGTTTCGCCGCCGATTAGGGCGCAGCCGGCTTGGACGCAGCCTTCAGCAACACCGGTGACGAAGGCAGTTGCTGTTGGGACGTCGAGGTGGCCGCAGGAGTAGCAGTCCAGGAAGAAGAGGGGCTCGGCGCCTTGGACGACGAGGTCGTTGACGTTCATGGCGACGAGGTCGATGCCGACTGTGTCGTGGATGCCGACTGAGTGGGCGATCTTGAGCTTGGTGCCGACGCCGTCAATGGCGCCGATCAGCGTCGGCGAGAGAGGGTGGTAGGCGGAGTTTGCGGCGGGGAGGGAGAAGAGGCCGCCGAAACCGCCGATGACGGCGTCGGTGCCTGGGCGCTTAGTGCGGGAGACGGAGGCCTTGATGCGGTTGACGAGCTCGTTGCCGGCGTCGATGGAGACACCTGCTGCGGCGTAGGTGAGGGAGTTGTTAGCTGTTTGGCGGAAGGCCCGGTGGGCAATGTCCTTGCGGTAGAACATGTCTTCGAAGCTGATGGTTTTGATGCCCTCGTAGGACTTGGCAACGGCCTCTTCGAGGGTGGAGGCTGTGGCGGTTGAGGCGATCACACGGCCACCGTTGGTTTGGAGCTCGCCGTTGGAGATGGTGGTGCCGGCGTGGAAGATGAGGGTTCCCTCAGGCTCGGGGGCCAGAGTGATCTTCTTGCCCTTGGCGTAGGCGTTGGGGTAGCCGCCGGCCACGCCGATGACTGTGGTGGAGAAGTTGGGCTCGACCTTGATCGAGACACCGTCGAGCCAGTGCTCAGCACAGGCGACCATGATCTGGGCCAGATCGGTGTCCTTGCTCAGCAGGGGGAGCAGGGTCTGGGTCTCGGGGTCACCACCACGGACGTTGTACTCGAGGACCTTGGGTCCGTTCTTGGTCATCATAAGACCGGTGAACAGGATACCGACGAAGGGGAAGCCTGGACATGTAGTTAGCAAACTTGTTCAATACGGGTATGTATAGTTGAACGTACCATCCTTGCGCATTCCGTCAACGGAAGGCTGGACAATGGTCCGGTCAATCTCCTCCATAACCTCCTTGGGGGCAATGCGAGTAGGAGCATAGCAGCCCATACCACCAGTGTTGGGACCCTGGTCACCATCGAAGATGCGCTTGTGGTCCTGGGCTGGGGGAGTGAGCGGATGGTGTAGCCGTCACTGAAAGTGAGGATGCTCAGCTCATCACCCTCCAAGTACTCTTCAATGACAACCTCGTCGCCAGCCTTGCCGAACTGGTGGTCCAGCATCATCTCCTTCAGAGCCTGGTGGGCCTCCTCCTTGGTGGTGGGGATGATCACACCCTTACCACCGGCCAGACCATCGGCCTTAATGACCACATTGTGGGACACGGAGTCGAGGTAACGGCGTGCGGACTCGTAGTCGGAGAAGTTACCAAACTGAGCGGTAGGGATCTGGTGGCGCTGCATGAAGTCTTTGGAGAAGGTCTTGGAGCCCTCCATGCGAGCGGCGGCCTTGGAGGGACCGAAGCAGCGGATACCGACTGTAAGAGGATATGTTAGCGTATCCAGACACGACCAATTGTACTTTTTACTCGAAAACAATGTGTCACAACTTACCAGCCTGGAAGTAGCCCTGGATACCATCCACCAGAGGGGCCTCGGGGCCGGGAACCACGAGGTTCACACCGTTCTTCTGGGCGAAGGCCACGAGGCCAGGGTAGTCATCACCCTTGACATTGGCGTTGGTGATCTTGCTGTTGGCACCCAGACCAGTGCCGCCGTTTCCAGGAGCGACGTAGATGATGTCGACCAGCGGGGACTCGCTCAGCTTCCAGGCGAAAGCGTGCTCACGGCCGCCATTGCCGACGATGAGAACGCGCAATTGTTCGGAAGCCATTGTTGAGAAGCAGCGTCTCGAGTGACTGGATATGTGTTAGCGGCGATTGGTATTGGCAATTGGCAATTGGCAACTGTGGGAAACCTCCGCGGGGTATGCAGTGCCCCTCCAAGAAAATTGAGTCACAGGGAGGGGCACTGTGGAAATGACATGAATAGCCATTGGGAACTGGGAATAGAACTAGAAAGAGACTGAAATCACATACCTCACTGAGACCTGAGAAGCACACTGGGGGTGTCGAATGTGAAGTCAAAGTTGTAACTTTTTTTTCCTCCGGCGGCGTGTTTCTCCGACCCCAGAATTGCGGCGATTTCGGCGAACAGTCGTTCTTTGTATTGTACAGAATATGATAAATTTGTAAATTTATATATTTATGCACAGTATCTCTATGTCTATATGACTATATCAGTCTGTTATTTGCATGCAATACTGTCTTAATAAGATTGGAATATAGGAAAGATAGCAGATTCTAGTATAGATTAGTAGTTAATATTGTATAATCTAATCCTAACACACAAGTCACAGTCTATTTACAGTATAGGCACTTCTAGCACTTATACTAATACATCTAATCCATTGAACTCTCGAATATTCCTTGGACAAATTCTTCTCCAATCTTGCAATATTGACACCTCGGGAATAAGGCATAAAAGCGGTGTCCACTGACAGAAAAAAGGCCAGTGGCTCGAAGTCTGGGGTGTCTGCGATTGTTCTCCTTGTTGCATTTGGGGATCTATATATCCTCTCGTCTTCTTTCTGACCATCTGAATGTTTCGCGTCTCGTTGCGGTCTGCCTCAGACCCTTTGCGTGGACATGTTTGCATCCCATATCTAGCTCGCAGGTCCGCGCCGGCCAACTTGCGCCAGTTTAATCGGACGTCTACACCGTTGTCCCAATCTACCCCTCAAGAACACGGGTCAGTCGACGCGTCAACTGAGGCTGTGTCGCCTCCAAGCGATCAATCACCTCTAGTATGTCTCCCGTTTCAATCCTCGCAAATACATCATGACTGACTGTACAACAGAATTCCTCCACAAGTTCGAAGCCCGACCTAAAACTACAACAAACAAAGCGAGTAAAGGAGAAAAGAAAAGTCAATCGAGAGCTGGCCACCCTCCCCTTCAGCACAACGAGACCCTGGTCAAAACTCAATCCTCGTCAAAGAAAACGATTTAAAGAGCTCAACCCAGATTTTGTACCACCACAGCGAGATGCTGCTATCGCGAAGGCAAAAAGAGAGAAAGCAGCCATTGCCTTGGGGAAAGCTGAGGACAAAGGAAAGCATGTTTTGGACTGGATACCACAACCGCAGGCGGATCAAGTCGAATCCCAACCAGACGAATCCCAACCAGACCAGACGACGCAACCCGCCGAATCAAACGATGCCCCAGTGACTGGTTCAGCACAGGCGTCACCTAGTAAGCCGGCGAGAAACAGCACGCTTAACTTGACCTCCAACAGCAACGTGGTGAAGGAAATCCTGCGAGCAGGTCGCCAGGGGCGAGAAATCAACACCGCGGGTCAGGATGAGAAGAACTTGGCTGAGAACCAGGGCAAGGAACGGGAAACATTGACGCATATTGCCAAACACGTTCTCAGCAAGGACCGCGGGTCTCTTACATCAACAGCGTTGCAATTGACTGGTGAGCTTTTGCTTTCATGCTGTTACCTAGTTGCTAGCTAACATTTTTGAACAGCATTGGATTACCCTATGGCCCCTGTCCCAGGAGTTTCCTTTGGCCTTGACCGTGTACTTTTTAAGTAAGTTGAACAGCCAACCATCTACATGCTGATACTGACACGAGATAGCCCTGGTGTCTACCATCTTCGCGATCCTCGGTCTCGTGTCTACAATTTTGACCCCTACTTGGGCGATATCATGCCTGTAACAGAATTCGACTTCAATACTCTTAAGCCATACGTTACCTCTTCTAAGGATACTATTCTCTGCGAAATGGCCCAGAAGAACCAGAGGAAGTACTACGGGTCTTCATCGAGCATGACCTCGGCTCTTTCTCATTTCCATTATCTTCTGTCCGCGTGGCGATCTATCGATACTCGCAACGTGTCTCAGGGATTCCCAGAGAAATTACGCAGCTTCACTCGCCTTCTCCGTGCACCGACTGCCATGTTTGTTCATTACAAGGAGAAAGAGGATGTTTACGCAATTGACGCCGACAAAGAATTTGACTCGGCCAACATCCTCATGAACCTCGGAAAGTCAATGGAGAAGCTACTCACGCTACCAAAGGAGCAATTTGAGCGCTACCGCCGGTCCAGTGCCAACAAGATCACCCCCGAGGAAGAAGAAGCTATTCCTGAATCTTACCACTACACCACCATGGGCAAATTCCTCATGCGATCCCAGCTAGATGCCTATGATCCTCGACTGCCAGGGACTGGCATGTACGACCTCAAAACCCGTGCTGTCATTTCTATCCGCATGGACGCCTCAAACCACGAGAAAGGAATCGGTTATGAGCTCAAGGGTCGTTTCGGCACGTGGGAGTCCTACGAACGCGAATACTTCGATATGATGCGTGCTGCCTTCCTCAAGTACTCCCTACAGGTGCGCGTTGGCCGTATGGATGGAATCTTCGTGGCTTACCACAACATCGAGCGTATCTTCGGATTCCAATACGTCAGCCTGCCAGAAATGGACCAGTGCCTCCATGGACAGACCGACACCACGCTTGGTGATTCCGAATTCAAGATCAGTCTGGCATTGTGGGAGAAGATCATGGACAAAGCCACCGCCAAGTTCCCCAAACAGTCCCTGCGCTTCCACTTCGAAACCCGCGAGGCCGTAAACCCCTTCATGTACATTTTCGCCCAGCCCGTCACGAACGAGCAAATCCACGCCATTCAGACAAGGAACTCAGCCGAGATCGATGCCCTTCAAAAGAAACTCCTGGGCCTCGAGACCCAGGAGTCCAGAGTCCAGGAAGCCGGCGAGAACCAGACAACTCCCAGCGCTGAAGCCGAGTTCGCAGAGACAACCGGATCCGCCGCCGGCGACGAATATGACCCGAACCTCTTGGCCATGACCCTCCTAACCAAGAACTACGTTAATGGCGAATTAGTCGAACGCCCCACCGGCCTTTCAAAGAAGGACACCTGGACCGTCGATTACGAGATCAACGAGCTGAACCCGAAACAGGGCAATGCCATTCTGCAAATGTGCAAAACCCGCCGCCGCAACGTCTTCGAGAAGGGCGATGAGGAGGATGTCAATACTCAGAATGACGAGTTCCTTCAGCGTTTGCGGAACATCAGTGAACAGGGACGCGTGTTCCGTGCGAGGGAGAATGAGAGAGATCGCAGAAACGGCATTGTTGTCTACTCTGATCCCATCTCTCGGGATTGAGAGTTGAGTTGGGTTGGAGGTTGCAGCCTTCTTGTAAAGTATAGATTATCTCCTGCCTGCAGTTTTTTTGTGTTCATTATACATACTGTTAAACATACATTCGGGCGTTTTTGGAAGCATTTCAGTTGAGTTAGTACTTTGTGCTTTCCGTTTATGACTCTGCCTGTAAGTTGTTGCATGTTCGCGGGTACAATAACTTAACGTATTTATCTTCCAACAGTAGCAATATCAACCATACCAAACTCAATCCACAGCAATCATAAACCTCAACAAATCCTTCTCTTGAATCTCAGCAAACCTCGCCTCAAGCTCCTTCACATCCCATTTACAAGAAAGGAAACGACCATTCAAAGCCTCCCTCTGCTCCCCTCCAGGCCTAGTAAGCCAAACACAAAAAGCACCAACCAAATCGGGACTATCAGTCAACACTATAGATATACAAAGTCAGCAACATATTCAAATAACGCAAAGAACACAAGGAAAGAAACTCACAGTGCATAAACTCCTCAGGCATACACTTAGAAAATTCACTCTTCAAACCACCAGGATGAACACTAGCACAAAACACCCCCCGGCCAGCATACTGCTCATAAACCATCTCAACAAGTCTCGCCTGAGCAGCTTTACTCACACAATAATGAGCATGGGCCCCAAACCCAGCAACAGTCGGCGCAGCCATTGAACAAATCGCAATGAAACTACCACCGCCATTCCCAGTATCATCCCTCACCAGCATCGGCAACAAATAATGCGCGGCATGGAACGTCCCAAGGGTATTAACCTCAAAGGCCAATTTAAACCAATCAGGCTCTTCATCCTTTACATCCATAACCATCGGACCAGAGAATCCAGAGTTAACGAGAACGACATCAAGCCTGGAGTTGAACTCGCGTGTAACTGTGCGTGCTAGGTCCTGGACGGCTGAACTAGATGTGATATCACATTCTACGATGACGATCTTGATATTTGGGTTTATGTGTCGGAGTTCAGTGGCTGTTTCTTCTAGGGCTGGTTTTGTTCGTGCTGCGAGGATTATTCCTGAGGCGCCTGCTGTAGTGTAGGCTTTTGCTAGGCCTGTTCCTGCTGCGCCGTGGCCGCCTAGGATGCAGACTGTGTAGTTGTTTGGGAGGGGGTTTGTTGAGGGGTTCAGTTCTGGGTATGGAGTTTTGTGGAGGGTTTGAGTGAATTGGCGGCAGTTTTGGGCGTTGAGTTGGCTTTTTGTAGGCATTTTTGTGGGTTGTGGGTTGTAGACTAAAGTGATGATAGAATGGAGACGAGGATTATGTCTTAAGTGGATGGTGGTATAACTTATAGCTTGAGGTGCTGTTTACATTGGGTTGTATCTATAGATGTAGACGGACTTACTCGGACTTAGCTGGGCGGATTTAGGCTGGACTTAACCCCAGTGGTCATCTCAATCTATCATTGTGTATTCGTTCTTCCTTTTACATTTGCATATCTACAAATTATGACGAGAAGGATCTACAGTAAGAGAAAAGTCCAAGCACAAAAACGCCATGAAATGATTGACAAGTCCCTCCCAAGCGGACATACGTAAACATTAACTAGTCATGATGCAGACATAAGCGCCAAGAATGAGTTGAGGAAGTGAAAAGCAAGTAGCAAGCAGCAAACAGCAAAATGAGGATATTGATAAATCCGTAAGAAGTAAAAGCAAGTCCCAAAATCCAACTGGAACGGGGATGGAAATGAGAGGGCGAGGATATCGATGATATTTGAATTGGAAGTGAAAAGCTTGCAAAATGGATAAATGGAAACGCCTGAATCAAGACAGGGTATGAACGCCAGGGTATCGGAGCCGCCTGGCCATGTGAGAACGGATCCACAAGGAGAAGAAAAGAGGAGAAGTATAGGTATGAACATGAAACCCGGGGTCGTATATATCAATCCCAGGCGGTAAAGCCAGGCTTCGTGTTGAGGGAGGAGTTATGTACAAGGGAGAGGTGATATGATGGTGTAGAGACGATAGTGTCCGGCTATTGCAGCTCTTGCAAGTCAAGCTTGGGAGGAGTCCACTCCAGCTGTGGTGGTTTATCGTTCGAGACGCACACAGGCGCGGGTGATGGACGCGCTGCGTCTGCTCGGCGACGCTCTCTCAATGCGGTCCCGCTGAGGAAGCCCCTCAGTGTGGATGAGGCCATGCCGTAGGCACTGCGGGCGCTGCCTGTACCTGTGGATACGGTACTGGATGAGCTGCGTGTGCTGCGGATGCTGCTTGGTTTCTGGACTGTTGATGGTACGGCTGGGACGGGGAGAGCGAGGCGGGAGGATGGGGTGGAGCCATAGTCGAATGGGACGGCACGAGCAGTGTGAGGGCGGACTTTGGAGGGTGACTTTGGAGTAGTAGCGTTGGATTCGATATTTTGCATGGATTGGATGGAGGATGTTGTTGTGAGCTGGGAGAGAGCTGGGGATTCATCGGGTGGAGACGGGCGGATTTCATCTGCTGAAATGGCGACGTCGAATTTGAGATTGTCCAGCATTGTGCCAAGGCTCGCTGCTGTTGCGGGTCGTCCGTCGCTGGCGGAGTCATCTAGTTCGGCGTCTTCGAGTCCGTGGGCAAAGTTGTAGTTGCGTAGGAGATATCGACGAAGGCGGGCGACTTCCATGTCCCATCTTTGGTTCAGCGATTCCAGAACAAGCTCTACGTTGTGGTTGGCGAATGGCGAAGCTTCCAGTGCGGATGCAACACTTGGCGGTGGTGCCTTGCTCAGCCGATGTCCGTGCGATTGTCCAACGCTCATCGCTGCATACAGAGATCGACGGATCGAGTTCGCCGTGGAGGTTTGAGCGCTGGCGCTAACGTCCCATCGAACATTGTCAACCTCGCGGCGCACCTTTTCGAGGGACTGAAGTCGGTCTCGGTCCATACAGGAGAGGGTAAGAAGGGAACGGTTGCACTGTAGACCATTGACCAACACCGTGAAGGATTGGAGATTGATGTCATTGTTCTCACAGTGTACTTCGCGCAGAAAATCATTCTCCTCCAAGACAGACGCCAGAGTATTCGCGCCTTGTAGACCAAGTTTCTGATGTTCGATCCTCAAAACCTTCAGCGACTTGTTCTTCTTAAGACCGGTCAACGCAAGGTTAAGTCCGATACCGAAGCGTGCAACATCAAGATGCGCGTTGTCTCCACTGATATCCAAAGCCTCGAGCGTCTCATTCTCCTCAAACATCAACTGCAGCGAGCGACAAGTCTCGGGACTAGCATCGTACGGAAGCGAAGCCTTCGAAATATCCAAGAATTGAAGCGTGCAGTTCTTCCGAAGCGACTCGACCAGCTCTCGGAAATGATCTTCTTTCTTGAAATCAATCATCCGCATGGACACATGCGATGGAGTCTTATTCTTTGCAATCGCATTGAAAATGAACGAGCATCCATCGTCGAGGCGGTTCTCATTGACATGCAAATGCAGGCTGCGTGCACCTTCTACCGACATCGAGTGCATGAACATAGCCACATCCTCACCCGTCAAACCACACTGATCAAGTCGAAGCACACGAAGATTCCGGGACCGATCACTAGCCAGATAAGTAGCAATAGCGTCAACAGTCTCGCGGTTGACAGCCGTCCGACTAAGAGCCAGCTCCTCAAGTCGCCAGTTGAACAGCATCTCAGCTGTGATTAGCGGCTCGGTGCCGGAAGTCCGTGAAATGCGAGACAAGTTGATTTTGCGGATTTGGCCAAAATACCCAATATACTGCTGGAGCACGTCGGGGTTCAACCGACCCTGCACTCCTGAAATGTTGATTGCCTCAAGTGTTGATTCTTGCGCAACGATAGTCGACAAAAGAAGATCAAGGTCATGCACGGATAATCCGCAGTCCCCAACCTCCAAAGCTCGCAGGTGACTGCGTCTCTGTGACGCGGCATCGACAAGATAGTCCAGATCTGACTCACCGAGCTTGATACCGTTGAGCACAACCCAGTCCACGCTGGTCAATTCTCGGCGGCAGACAGGGAAAATAGCTTCTGGAATGCCACATCCGGGATCCCGGGTGCCTTTCTCCAAAGTCGGCGTTGGCGTGCGTGTAAGACAGTACGAAAAGTCGAGTCGGCGCAGCCATTTACTCTTCAATGCTAGAGCGCGCACTTCCTGCGAGAGGACGGTCAGGTTTGCCTGGCCTGGGATGTTCACTGAGGAACCTCCTCGGTCGAGATGGACGTCTGAATCAACTCCGTGTACATCACGCAGACCCTGCAATGCATCAAGATTGACACCTCGGAATGAAATTGACCGGAAGAATTCGTTGTAGCGAAGTGCGCGCATGACCGCAATGAGTTCCAATGCGCTGTACCGTGAGTGGTTCGCTGAAGCCGGTCTGAGAAGACGGAAACATGGCGCATCCTCGCACTCGTGGTCGATGGTATAGCGAATGTTGGAAGTGTCAATGTCGTAGCTAGCGGAGTAGGCGACCAGTGTACGGTCAAAGCATCCATAGTCCTCGTCCAGAGCGACAGGCGGGAAATTGTCGTCGTTTTGCAGTCCCTTTGGAACAACAAAATCATAGGGCTGCCGGGTCCACAGTGGACGTAGGAATTCAGTATGTTGTCGGATCCAACATGCAACTTCGACAGAATGAACCGAAGCCAGGAACACGTTGAAAGATTTCTTGAGAGGAACCCTGAAAGTGAGATGCAAGCTATCATCGCCATACTCCATGGACAACCCAGTCAAGTTCATCAGACCGAATGAAGTGCCTGCCTCCCAATCTGACAATGATACCACCGATGACCGATTGTTAGTCTTCTGCATGGGCAGTAGGTGAAGCTTGTGTGAGCCAATGGCAAGGTAGCAGCCTGTAGGAGACAGCTTAGTGAGATCGTCCGAGGAAGAGCGAGTGATTGATTTGCTGGAGGCGATTTGAATAACCCGGAACATGCGGAACGCCTCTGGGTCGTAATCTCGCTCGTGCTCCAGCATACGAGTTACGTACTCGACTGAAGCCCCGCTGAATGGTAGTGGGTAGTTTGCTCTGGCCATCTTGGCGGCTTGACGGATGCCCACCATCCAGAGGTTCAATTCTTGCAAGTCAGATGTCTGCATCTGGACCAATGTGGCTTTATGGGTACGTTCGTCCAGATAGGCCACTTCGACCGTGGGTGAGAGCCGTGCATCCTCCAACATGTATACTGCAATAATGCTGTTCAATGGGATTCCAGCAGATGCATCACCGGACGCCATTAGCTGCATATCCTGTAATGAACTGATTGAGGCCACCGATTGGCGATGGGAAGCCGGCGCTCGCGTGTTGTATGAAGCAGGGACTGAAGGAAAGGCATCGGCGGCCTTGATTTGATTTTTGAAACGAACGATATGGGTATCTGTAAGAACGAGGTATTGGCTCTTTTTTCTCCACATGCCCCCGGTCGTTTGGATTTCCCCATGGTGGAGGATCGCAGATGACCAAATCCCATTTCGGGGACTGGCCGCACTGTGATCGTCTCCCACCGAGGCGACAGAGGCAGATAGAGGGTCATCGTCCTCCCAAGAGTGTAGAGACCTAAGAGATCCAAAAACCGAGGTTCGCTTCTTCTGTAAAGACTTCCTCCGCGGGCGAGGGGTCTCAATGGATGTGGAGAGCTGGGGTAAAGCGGTGGTTTCCGAGCCTGCTGTGCCAGGACGACCCTTGTTGGACGTGTTAGACCATCTGTTCGGACTCTGAGACCGGCCAAAGAAGCCAGAATTGCGGCGGGTTTTCTTCTCGCGTGTCAGGACATCATCCGAGGGTGTTCGGTCATGGAGTGACGGCCGGGTCGGGGGAGTCGATGTGGAGGACGGGCTGAACACGCTCAGACTCTTTCTTCGTTCTCGTTTGCCAATGATTTCGGCCATGTCGGTAACGTGAAGTGGTACAGGAACACGGGGTATCAAGTGAAGAGCAGCAGCGCGAGTGCTGAGAAAAGAAGCTTATCTCGACGACCTCAACGTCGTTCTTACTGAGACCGGTTAGCAGTAATTCTCGTCATGGCCAAATTAGACGCAAAGATTGAGGTGTGGGAGAGAGTGAGGGGAAGGTAGTACATACTGTAAACCGTCAGGGCGCCATGGAAGCAATCAGCAATTGCTAACACCAGAGTAATCTTCCTAAAGCGGGACCTGCGACTATATCTAGGAAAACCCCAGACGCGCCTGGCACCTGTCAACAATGTGGCAAGCTGGTTGCAAGTATTCCGGAAGAGTATCTCGCCACAAATCAATAGACCAGAACGGAAGCCTGATCAGTCTGATAGTTCGTGTCACAAAGCTAATTTGAGGATATCAGAGCCGATCAGGGCAAGGGAGGAGAGGCGGGGGAGAAGGTGATGAAAACAGAAAGACGAGAACAGCGAAAATAGCGAGTGTGCCCAGGTGAGAAGGGAAGAATTTCACTCCAGGTGAAGAAGTTGAGGGGAAAAGGAGGAATGGACGGATGCAGCTAAAGATTTGCCCCAACACTGGATGTGTTTCACTTACTACAATCATTATTTGGCGACTTCAATGTCATTTAATTGTGGTGCTCTATTTCTTATTTTTACTGTTATCTATAATTTACTATATCCCCTTCAGCATGAAGATTGTGGGAAGTATAACCATCGGCGCTTATGCCCGCATTTTGAGACATTCGCGACAAGTCGAATCCGGAGTGAATACACGTAAGAGGCTTGATCCACTCAGAGTCGATAGTAGACTCTACTGGTACTGTAGAGCAGGGATTATTGTTGCATATCAAATGATCCTTGTCATTATGTGCCTGGTACCTGTACATGTACCTGCACTATACCTGTATCTGTACCTGTACCTGTGCCCAAGCCTAAGCCTAAGCCAGTATACATTATACTTCATATACTACTTTCTTCTCACCTCCTTTCCCTCATTTAATGTACAGTTTGTGATGAGATTTGCATCCAAGATCCACTCCACCTGGGATGATCGACAATTTAGGCGCTCCACGCACCATGGCGCTCTACGGCATTGGATGTGCCCCAAAGGGAGATCGCAATGAGATCAGCATGGTGATCAAGGGGAAGCTCATCATCCCCAGAAACCTGGCGTCATCGGTGACGGAACCAAACGAGATCGGCGGATAAACCTTTCCTCTCCCAGAGGAAACGGGATTTCGAAGCAGGGATATCAGGTTTGGGCGTCCTGCCTTGGCGAAGCGGTCAAGCCCATAGCCTGCCAATAGCAGACAACTTCTCCACGCTCTCTCTGATCTCTGCTCTATGCTCTCATTAAGGACGTGTACCCTGCGCCCTCTCCGCTTGCATCCGCTCTGCACGTTTAATCTTTCGAACTAGGTCAATGTACTCCGTGACGCGTTTCTCTGCCCAGATACATCCACCCAGCGTCACAGCTGCCATTTGCAGGAAGACCTTGAATTGGGGGGTCAGACCGCGGTAGACTTTGGAGCCCGGGGAGATCCATTCCGAGAAACCCTCGAGTGGGCGGTGGAAGAGCCGGGAACGAAGATAATCACGGGAGAAGATGGACGGACGGGGACGGGGTTGTGTAGCGGGGTGGGCAGGTGGACTTGGTGCGGAGAAGACGAAGGGGTGGGGGAGGTTCATGATCATATGAGCCAGGATGGAGACGGAGCCGAACTGGACGGTGTTAGCTAAGTTGGTCAGGGTTTGCTGTTCGACATACGCGGAATGCGCCCGTCATGAAACCCTGGGCAGCGATCATGGTGATTTCCTCCGGGGGCTCGATATCGGCCCTTTGGTTTGATGGTGGTGGCATCTTGCTATATTTGAAAGCAGTTCAAAGGAATTGTTTGTATCCTTATCGATCCGAGCTTCCGTGGGGTTGCGATAAACAGGAGGGTATAGGTGTCGTAGATGTGGTAGGTATGGGAGGTGTGCTCAGTGATGTAAGACAAGAGTGCAGTTTGAATTGAGAATATTAAAATGAAATAAAATATCTGGACCAGCCAGCTGAAATAGAGCAAGTAAAGAAAAGCAAAAGACGAGAGACATCTCGGTATTTGATAATGCGGATCAACAATTCTCCCGACGACTCAGACAAAAAAGAATCCCGATTACGGAGTATCAGCTACATACTTCATACATCACACCATCTCACAATGTCTCTCTCCGCACGCACAGCGGTGATCTCCCGCGTAACCAACGAGACTAAAATCCAAGTCTCGCTCTCCCTCGACGGCGGCCCTCTCCCCCCTACGAGCCAACCACCCACTTCCCCGCCCCGACAGACCCCCAAGAAGCCGAAGCCGCCAAGAAGGGCATTGTCCCCCCCCAAGGATGCCGGCCATGCGACACAATTCACCCCGACCCAGCAAATTACCATTAGCACCGGCATTGGGTTCCTAGACCACATGCTGCACGCGCTGGCCAAGCACGGCGGGATGAGTCTGGCTGTCCGCGCCAAGGGTGATCTATACAGTGAGTCCATACATATATCATATCATATTATATCAATTGCCCGCAATTAATCGGAATGCTAATAACCGCTAGTCGACGACCACCACACAACAGAAGATACATTCCTCGCCGTCGGCGAAGCATTCACAAAAGCCCTCGGCGCCCGCCAATCCCTCGAGCGTTTCGGCCGCGGCGACGCACCCCTTGACGAGGCACTCTCATGGGCAGTCATTGATCTCTCCAGCCGACCGTGGGCAGTCATCGACCTCGGCTTCAAGCGCGAGAAGATCGGCGATCTCAGCACTGAGATGATCACGCACGGTTTGCAGAGTTTTGCGCAGGCTGCGGGTGTGACGTTGCATGTTGGTTGTACTTATGGTGATAATGATCACCACCGCGCTGAGAGTGCGTTTAAGGCGCTTGCTGTTGCTATTCGGACTGCTTGTAAGCGTAGGGTTGCGGGGCAAGTTGGGGCTGGGGATGTTGTTAGTACTAAGGGTGTTTTGTAAGGATCTCCGGTAGAGTGGAGAGGGTGAGAAATGGGGATAGAGATATATATAAAAGTGATGTATGAAATGAAACGAGATACGGTATATGATATAACTTATCATCATGCATGAGAAGTACTAAAACGTTACGCCAAACTAAACCCCAACACCATAACGCCATATCCTACATCAAAGAGCCAGCTCTTCAACCCAATGCAAATGAAATCAAATCAAACCAAGTAGCAAACCCTAACGCAAGACATAACCCAAACCAAACCATCAAACTAAACACCAAGAGCCTTAACAGCCCTCTCCCAATACTCCTTCCGTTCATCCGTAACAGAAGTCCCAACACAATCAGAAATATACCGGCTCCAGCCACTCTCATCACCAGCAGCAAGAGCAGTCCGCACCTCCTTAGAGCACTGCGTTGTCAAAAACCAAGCCCCAGACCCAAAGTCATAAGTACCATCATTCCTCAGCAAATCCAACAAAGCAGCTGGGTCATTGGAGACACTAGCTAGTTTATCGCTCAAGGCTGGGATGGACGATGCGTATTTTTTGTTGTAGGATGGCGATTGCATGTTTCGGGCTGTTTATACGATCTCAGGTCAGTATATGGGTCATGGCTGTGATCAAGGATGTTTTTGGTATACTCACTCCCCTGCCCAGCAACACCCGGGAAATGATTCTTATTATACCTGAAATCATCACTCTCGAATGCCATCAGGGAAATGATAGCGGCCTGCTCGGCCTTGTTGGTCACCTGGTACGTATCGAATGACTGGGAGGTGAACTTGGCGGCTTGTTTGCCTGTTGCGCACTCGCCTTCTGCCGGTGGGTTGTCGCAATCTTTGGATTTGGGGGCGATGGTTTCCATTTGGGATTGCGTTATGCTTGTTGCATCGGCGCGGTTGAGGCCGGTCAGGTGGAAAGGGAAGGGCGTTGCGGTTGTTAGGGTTGTTAAGGCTAGGAGGAGGGTTGGGACGTGCATTTTGTATTGAGTTTGTTGTTTTTGTTTTGTTGTGTAGAGTGTAGAGTTGAGATGGTTGTAGGTTGAGTAGATGGTGTATAGTGGAAAACGTGAGAGATAGTTCCAAAGAAACCAAATCACAAGATAAAGAGAACAATAATCAAGTTCAGGAAAGACTCGAGTAACCAATGACCGGAGGAAAATGATATGCCAGTATAGAACACAAGAGCGCAACCCAACCCATATTTATAAACCCTACAACATACCCCCCAGAGGCAAGAAACAGTGTACGAAACATGCGTGCTAGCGCATAATACAAAGAAGCTGGGAACATACAAAGGGGAGGGTGGGGGGCGAATACCGCCTCGAAAATACATGTACTTCCCTACATTACTTACTGTAGTCCTACATAGTAGGCACAGGCGTAGGCGCGGAGAATGCCAGCCGAAGTATGTTAAATGACGGAGTTGCCCCCAAATCAAGGTAGGACAGATGACTTGTCTATTAGAAGTTGTGCATGACTGTTGGAAATGAAACGGGCTAGTAAACTGAAAATTGCAGGAAAGGATAGAATAGAGGGGATTCTTTTACTGAAGAAACCCTAACTGCATGTACTATGGTGAGACTCGCCTCGCGATCGACCCTACGCGGCTTGATGGAGCCAGTCGGAAAGCTTATTGTGGTTTATGGGCTAGGGCCGCTTCTTGCTGCATTGTCTATGCAAGGCACGCAGGTGTTGTCATTGGATGGATGGAATGGTTTCAGGGGTGCTGAAACGCTTGTTTGGAGTTGCCGTTGACATGTGTTTCAAGTTATGCGGAGGTTGCATTTGTGCCGTACTTAATTGCTTTGACTGAGTCGTATTACTGGGTTACATTGTGCAGGAAGTAAATAGATCATGTGGACTCAAAAGCCACGAGTATTGATTCATCATTCTCCCCTGGAGATCTCCGTATCAACGTGTGTGCAAATAGAAAGAACAAAAAACAGGCCAGAGGTCCAAGATCGTCACCATCACCCAGAATCGAAATCTAACTTGTTTACAAATCAATAGGGTGCCACAGAGGTGAAAGTGAAGATGAGGGGATGGTGAGAAGCTGGACGGAGCCAATCGGGACACACAGGCGTAGCGAAGCGCAGTAGCATGTCCAAGCAAGTAATAAAAAGAGTAAGACAAAAACCTCAATGATTTGCTCCAGGTGAGCATTCAATCCAGGATCCCGCCACGGGATTGAGAGACACCATGCATGCGCTCATAAACAAGAGAGAAAAGAATAAAAGTATACACAGTAGTAAATGCTGATGCAGAGATCGTATCCGAGGCCGTATCGATACAGACAAATACAATGAGATGAAGAATTCAGATATCGGAAATCGCAGGTATCAGTCGAATCGAAATCAAAGCATAATCAGACATCTAGTCATCGCGTCGACCGAGTTCGTAGGAGGTTTCGGTGGCACCGCCTGATTCTTCGTCTTCCTTGAAGCTGACTCGGCGAAGGATCGTTGGTACGGTAAGTCGTGATCGCCTTGTTGGTGAAGTCGACAAGCGCGACGGACTGAGGAGAGTAGGCACTTTTGTGTATCGGTAGCGGTATTGGGCACCGAGAAGCATAATGCGGCCGTAGCTCCACCAAAGGCAGAATCCAACGATTCCAGCAACGAGGAACCCGCACATGGTGAGGAAGACCCAATGTTGGCCCATCTTTGGTATGTTAGTTTACTGCCTTGATTTGGAATGAACTGAAACAGCGACTTACCCAGAAGATGAGATGTGCGTCCTTGCCGTGCCAGCTGTTACCCCGGTGGTGGGTAAAGAAGCTCCACGAGAACTTGTTGTACTCATCCTGCATAAGAATGCGGACGCGCCCAGCCTCGCTTGGCTTATCCTGCATGTACTCCTTCCAGATCACAGACAGGAACAATGGACCTGTCGAATACATGACCGTGATGTAGGGGAGGAGCCAGTGGCGGTCGTACTGTTGCAGCAACTCGATCACACGTAGGAAAAAGGGGTGTTGCGGCACGGAGCCCATGGCGTCGTTGGAGATACCGGTTGGCACTGTGCGGCGAACCCAAGCGGGGTAGGAGAGGAGAGGATCTAACCGGCGGTTGCAGCCCTGCTTTCGTTAGTAAACGAACAATCCAGGTGTCACGCTAATACATACGTCGTCAAGATCAATGTAGGTTCCACCGTAGTGCGCGAGAACGAAGTACCGAATGGAATCGGCGCGCTGGATTGGGTACTTGTAGCCATCGAAGGTGTCCAGGAACCATGGGTATTCAGCAGCAATGAAGTCGCGCGATTTTTCGTTTGTCCAGAGCTAGAGTATGGGTTAGCGATTTGACCCTGAGCAAAGTGTCGGGGTTGGACATACAATGTACTCATAATCCGGGTGCAAGTCGATACAGCTCTGTTGAGCCTCCACCCAGACCTCCGGAATGGTCTCATTCTTGTACGTCTGGTGGATGATCTTAGGAATGATCTGGGGTCGCTGTTCGATCAGACTGGAGTTGGGCGACGGCAGTTCAGCGCGGTGAATCGCGTCGGCCGCGGCATCTTCGACGAGTAGCGAGAGAAGAGTCGAGACACTGCGAACGAGCAGTGACAAGATGAGGAGGTTGACGAGGCAAAAGATCAGGAGACCACGCCGCATGGTGAAGGTGTAGGAGACAAGCGCGGAAATCGAGGGAACAATGCGCGACCAATTGAACAATGCTTAAAAGTCGTCAAGTCGTGTCGATATTCAGACCCTGAGGCCGGTTGAGGTTTGAAGTGGAATGAGCGCCAATTCCACGCGGGTGAAGAAATCAAAGGAGAGGCGAGATGCGAGACGAGATGGGAGGACTAAACAGAACAGCTAAGGAGTGACGAGTGGGGAGACTAAAGAGGGAGTGAAGGCAAAAAAAAGACCCCAGCGACATAGGGGAAATACTGTACCGTACAGGGGTTCCAAGGGCCGTACGAGGCTAAGGTGGCTGAGTAGAACTATTTAGGTCTAGTGTGGTGGGGCGACACAGGGGATAAACTTTGGAAACTGTTGAGTACAATACCATACTCAACATGTAGTTGTAATTAATATTTAATAGTTTAATAGTTAGTGTTGGTAGTGAGTTTAGTAGAGTAGCTGCACTGTCTATAATAATTAAACTAACTCTTGTAAAGTAAGCTGTTGAACTTGCGTACTGTAAATAGCCTGTGGGGGAAATCTCCACTCAACCTATTCAGGCAAGTACTTTGAAGCCGAGAAGCCGAGGCTGGGCTAATGTGCCCAGCATAGCATCTTGTCCACTTACAGCCCCAGAATATAGGCACGTTTAAACGCTAAAGCAGATAATAATCTTACTATACAATGTAATCCTGAAACAGCGCCATGTACACGTAGCCCTGAGATAAGAACGCCTTTGCCATTTAAATCTATTCCGGTTAAGAGCACAGAACCAACCTTTCATATCGTGGAATTACCACCGATTCGCCGACACATCACCAGACATTGAACGTGGGGCCCTCATAAAATGTTACGGCTGGAGACTTCTATACGAATACGCTCATAAGATAATACATGTAGCCTAGAGTGCATTAAAATAATGTAACTATATAACTAACTGTAAAAAATTAAAACTACTGCCTAGTGTACCACAACCACCACCGACACACGAATACGATTACCATGGGAACACACTATCACTCCACATAATCACTTGGCTCTGGTACGTTGAAACCGCCCCCACAAACCCGCTAGGATGGCGTCAGCCTAGTCCACCAGCCCACGGTTCACCCAGTCAATCTGAACTCGAATAGCCACACTTTACTCTCTGCAGCTTGACGTATAGTGCACTGCCGACAAGATCGGCAATCGTGTCTTCTCCGGACTCCAGGTTTCGATGCGATCAGCGCTTTGTGACGTGGGTGGGTTGGGGGCTAAGCGTTATAGTAGTCCCTGTTGCTAACTTGATAGGGATTGATATACAGATGTACATTGACCTAGCATCCACTATACAGATTACTATGGCCTATCACTTATATGTATACCACTCTCCGTCACTTCTACTGTAGCACACCGGTGTATTAGGTCGCGCAGATCGCTTGCCGTGCGATGATTATCACAAGGGACAGCGCTGTGATCGGCCGTGTTTTGGCTGTTTTGGTGACTGGAGTGGCTGGTTAGGACAAATGATGTTGATGATTATTCCTATTCGATATAAGCAGCGTGCAGTAACTAACTTACGGTAACTTGATCAGTTAGCTATAGTTAGCTAATGTATCTGCCTGTCAGCTGAAACGCGGCTGTGGCTAAGTCGGAATGCGTCACTTACATGTACTTGTAGCTTATTCTGTTCTAATTATATTTAAGGATTGCACTACGTCAATGTCAGCGTCGATCAGGTTATCTTGCAGGCCTGTATGAGGCTGTACAGCTATGTACATGTACATGTACCTGTACTCGCGCTTGACTTGGTTGTAAGGTGTTTAATTCGATGCATGAATCACGCGGTGTTTGTACTCTATTTTACTTTAAACAATAATACACAGAGGGACGTGCGTTTGGTGCGTCAAGTGTCTCATGTTTCATGTGCTTTTATCTATCTCAAGGATAACTGCTTTTGAATGATGATATGATTTGGGAATGATTGGGTATCTCGGCGATTTCAATGCAAATAAAAATTAAACACATACACGCTCTCGAGGTATCGGCTGAACCTAACCTATGAGTCCTTCCATACATCACAAGGAGGCCTGGGGTCAAAGAGCACATGTCATATCAGACGAAATGATCACCGACTACCCTTTGGCTACCTTTGATCGCATCGTTCTTCGGGAAAAGCCAGTGATGCTACATCACCGTTATCCATGCCCGGGTCCGCTGTTCACTCCTGGAATACTCTCACCGGGCGCGAGTTGGGCAAGGGGCTTTGGCTACCGTTCAGCTTCTTGCTGAATATTCCACATGTTCAAGCATCGTCATAAAAGTACGGAAGCCACCAGATTAACGGATCGGTATCTTTACTATACCAGTGTGGATGTCGATCTTCCAGATATGCGGTTGACCATCGGATTTCGACGCGATAGATGGAATCTCCAATTCCTTGTGGATCCGTCCATTCATCGGACTTCAGGCGCTGCAGCCGCCACAAATTCCCGGTTCACAGTTGTTGCACCCGTATTACGCTCATTGACAGCAGGTCTAGCCTCAAAAATACGCCGCCACCACCGAGGCGGATCAAATGGCCGGTGGCCACCATGTAGAGGCGGGTAAACGTCATTGAAGAAGTACCAAATATGGCCAACAACAACACCGAGAATCTCATCCTTGGGCACAGTCTTATGCACTATCAAACTGAATCCCATCAACACCCAAGGCAGGTAAGGCGCCGTGAAAACCAACAGTCCCAAGAAACTAAGACGAGTATCGGGGTTGCGGCGGGCCCAGATGTAAACCAGGCTAGATGAAAGTGCCGAGCCAAGGAACGGTAATGAAAGGAAAGGCGAGATGATGAGAAGGCAAGTCATGGCGTAGAAAATCAGCCATGCGAAGTGAGCCGGGGAGCGGCCGGATGATTCCTCCAACAGGCGGGAGTATCGTTGTAGGAAGAAGACGTGGAATAGTAAGTCGAGATTGAGCGGTCCGAAATAGAGGAACGTCGTTAGAAGTCGCCAGTATTGCGATTTGACGTATACCGAGCGGAAGCTGTAGAATAGCTGGAATGGGGTCACAATGTGGCATTGTACTAGCAGCGACGTTACCACCGTGGCTACCGTCCACCACCGGGTGACGGGCGGCATCTCATAGAACCACTGCTCGAGAGGAAATTGGCCTGGTTGCCCATTGTTCTCCCAGAGTGCAGCCATGTTGATGAGAAAGAGGTGTGAGAGTAAGTGAAAGTAGATCTCCAGGTGTCCTTCGATAAGGCCAGATATCACGTGCCATGACGCGTGAACAAACACGGGGGCTGGGACGCTAACACCGAAATAGTTCATATTGAGATTTATTCTTCCCCTCGAGGGCTATCTGCGCATCTATACTCGATTAACGAATACTGGGATACAAAGACAACCCGCTATCGCCTCGCCTAACTGCCAGGTCGCAATTGATCGCGTGTCAACGACCCCCAAACAAACACGCGCCAGCACACGGCATTCTCCTACATCCCCAATGCCACCCAAAATGGCACGAAAGTCAGCACCAGGCAGCGCACAAAAGGGTCGCAAAACAGTCGCGACAGCTGCCGCAGATGACTCACCAATACAAGCGCGCAAAATCGCGAAAGGGAAGCAACCCGCAAAGACAGCAGCCGATGTCCAACGTATGTCTATCCCCAACCCTCACCCTCACCGTCCTCTCAATCCAATCCAATCCAATCCAATCTAACACCCAAACCCAGCGGGCGACCCAACCCCTACAGGGCGCCGCCGCCGCTACAAACCAGGCACAAAAGCCCTAAAAGAAATCCGCCAATACCAACGCGGCTACGAGCTGCTCATCGCGAAACTACCCTTTGCCCGCTTAGTCCGTGAAGTGGCGCTCGATCTTCTCCCCGCCGACGTCGGTGCCGAATTGCGCTGGCAGTCGCATGCTATTCAAGCACTGCAGGAGGCTGCCGAGGCTTTCCTTGTTCATCTATTTGAGGATACGAATCTTTGCGCATTGCATGCTAAGCGGGTTACTATTATGCAGAAAGATATTCAGCTTGCGAGGAGAATTCGGGGTGTGTGGGGTGGTTTAGGGTGATTTTTTGTTTTCGTTTCATTTGATTTCATTGGATGGTGCGTTGTTAAATGCGAGGATTTATTAATTCGGTGGGTTATTTGTGGACTTTTTAACCTCTTTTCTTTCTTTCGTGTGATTGATTGAGGTGGGTTCAGCTGGCGTATTGAGGGCATGGAGTTTAATGCGGTGGTGTTTTCTGATATTTTCAATACTGCTGGCTCTCGAGCTTTCGAGCTTTCGTTCACGTGCAGTTGCGCTTGCATTGCATTTGCATTTGCGTTGTCGCTGTGCGCTGGGGTATACCAAGGATCTTTGTACATTATGGATGTCGGATGTTCCTGTCTTTTTCTACTCTCCTATACGGAGTGAAGCAATTCATGATCTTGTCGAGGTGCTATCCTCGTTAAAGCATTTAACTTATCATCCTACTGTAAATATGAAAACAAACAGTGGTGATCGGGGTGGGGCCATGGTGGCATTAAATGTGGTCTCAATTCCATGATTGAAAGAAATATCAGGTGGGGAATAACCGAAGAAAAAAGCAAACGCCTTTCCTGGGTAGCCATCAAATGGTATCATAACGAAGCGCTCCCATAAAAATGAGCTTGAAACAAAGAGTAAAGACAAGATAGATGGGGCTGTTACTAAAGCAAGAAAGAAGTCAAAACCATCAAGAGAGGTCCCTAAGCAAAGCGACTCAAACCTGGGGGAAGGCCTGCCACCAAGCGCTGGCCTTCTTCGCGAACGCCCTGGGCCTCCTCGCTCTTGCCCTGTCGTTCTAGGGTCTCGGCCAGCATATCGTCAGTGACACTAGCCCACAAGCGGTCGTTTGCGCGTTTGGCCATGGCACGGCCAGCACGCGCGCTCTTCTCGGCTTGCTCGCCGACTACGCCGCGGAAATACTTCCAGCTCATGAAGGTGAGCGTCATGCAGGTGATCTGGCTGTTGCTGATAGCTGTGGCAGACTGGAGCGCCTGTTGGAGGTATTGTTTGGTCTGGATGGTTGATTCGGATTGGAAGGTTGCGCATACTAGGTAGTAGGCGGCCTGGATGTACTTGTTTGGACTGCTTTGGCAGAAAGGATCGATGGTGGCTAGAACGCTTGGTAGCAGGGAGTGCGAGGGGTGGGCCGGATCACGGATTATCAGGACGCTGTTGATACCAGCGAGGATGCGCGTGTCACGGCATGGGTCGTTCCGGGCTGTCTTGCTGGTTGATGCGTTGAGAGACAGAAGTGGCGATTGGAAGATTGCTAGTGCGGTCTTGAGATCGCCAGTTGCCTGTGCGATGGTACCGGCCGCATATTCCATTAAGCATTCAATGGTGTCCGGAAGTGTGGAGCCAAACTCTTGGAAGACCTGTTGCAGGTTATTGAGAGTTTGGCTGGCGAGCTCCCAGTCGGTTCGAGAACACGCCAGGAAAACCTCTGCAGAAGGAAGTTGCAGTAAAGAGACTGACGCCATTGCACTCGTCGGTTGGCATTGGCCATGGATTCCGAAATCTCTTGAGGGGCTCTGAAGTTGCCCTGGATCATGCGAAGCCCTTCCTCGAGATACTTCTCTGCTTTCCGGCCATCGTATGAGTTTTTAGCACTGAGTGTGATTGAACTGAGGAAGTAGCAAAGTGCATATAGGTCGTGCTGGGGAAGCCAATTAAAGCTCAACCACAATGTCCCATTCTGGACTAGCAAGATATCACCGGTGTCAATCGAGGAGGGTCCGGCGGACTTTCCATTGAGCGGGACGGAGAATGATCCATCGGGACGCCAGTTGGTGTCACCAAGTGTCTCATCCATCAAAGCCTGCATGATCTTTAATTTCTGACCGGATTGGTTGACATCGTACTCAAGAAGGCTGCAGCAGATATCTACCATCTGGATCAAGGTCGTAAGTTGGGGGATATGGCGAAGCTCATCATTTAGTTGATGGCTACGTGCAGCAGCCACGGCACGCTGCGCTTGCTCAATCGAGTCCGAGTTCGTCCCTTGCTGCAAGTGCGCCAGTGATTCGATAACAGCCGCCATTGCTGAGACAGCCTTGTCTCCGTTCCGACTTGCCATGGCTGTAATCTTGTGAAGGTGCTGCAGTGCCTGCACAGAGTCTTGGTGTGATGGGGACGACAATGAGAGCGTTACTCGGAGGAAACGGAATGCGTACTCCCACGCAGCATGGCGATATGCTTCCACGTCCTGAATCATGCCATCGACAGCTTTCAAGGAAGCTCTGGGGTTAGACTTGTGGATCATTCGCGCCAAGAGATGCTGCATGCTGTACTTCAAATCAAGCATACGGTTCTATAAAAAGTCAGTAACTAAGACATATCCTCTCAGAGGTTCTTTTGACTGACTCGTTCACAAAGATCGATCTGTATCAAGTTAGCTTTGCTTCTAGACATAAGGGAAATGAACATACTCCTTTGCTTAATGCGGTTTCTGCCTCGAGATCATTGTCCGTTTCCTCGAACAACGTACGCGCATAGCGAAGTCTCACAAGCGCTTCTTTGCGTGGTTGCAAGCGCCAGTTCTACTATTTGGTTAGCTTTCGATGACAAGCTATACACCGAGGCGTTCACAAACCTTCAAGACAGCCTCTAAACAGCCCAGTCCAGTAGCGACTAGTTTGTAATATTCCTCAACATCCGCCTCACGTGTAGCAAGGGACGTAGTTGTTCCATGAGAATGAGCAGCGTTGAGATATTCATCGGCCAACGACAACAAGAGAACCTGATAGTCGACTGGGGGTTTCGCAGGTTTGGCAGCTGGAGGCTTCCCATTCTTTTCAGCAGAATGCTGACTCGGGCGCTTCTTTTCCACGTGCTGTGGGGTCTGCTGCTTCTTCGGTGTCTGATTCTGCGTCCGTATCTTTGCTTGAACGTCGGGAGACGGGGCAGGTACCATGACTTGCGGCTTAGAATGCGCCACTGGTGATGGGGCTGGCTGGGGTCGTTTCGGCGTTGCAATAGGAGTTGCATGGATCTGCTGGGTTTCAACTTTGGGGGAGATGTGAGGTTGCTTAGGTTCGACTTTGATGATGGGTTGTGGTTGCGGTTGCGTCTGAGGCTGAGGCTGCGGTTGCAGTTGAGGTTGTGGTTTCGGTTGATTTGGTTGCTGCTGGATATAGATGTTTGCTGGTCCTTGGTTGCTTGGAGTCTTCAGCCTAGGGCTAGCAGCAGGCGGAGCAACATGGACAGGTGCAGCTGGTGGGCCAAACGAAGGTCCCGGGGGTATTTGCGAAGGGCTCGCATTTGGCATAATAGGTGGCTCGGCATATTGAGGGAGTTGGGTGTATCGGGATCGCGGGGCAGTAGGCAGAGGTTGTTGTACAAACAATTGCGCGGGATTCACAAACTGATGCTGTAAGTCTTCTTGCTGGATTTGTTGTTGAATCTGAGGAGGCGGAGGTGCCGGTGCATGCACAGGTGCAGGAGGAGGTGCAGATGCAGGAGCAGGTGCAGGTGCAGGCCGAGGTGGAGGTGACTGTAGCTGAGGGAGAAGTTGTGGTTGCGGCTGGGGCTGGGGCTGCGGTGGTTGTTGGAGAGGTTGCTGCAATTGAAGTGGCTGCTGCGGAGGAGTTTGTGAGGGATGACGCGGCTGTACTTGCGGCTGGGGTTGAGTATATGTCGATGGATACGAGTATCCCATCATCGAGGGAGGATACATCCCCGGCTTCCCATAGCCATCATAGGATGCTGGCGGAGGGCCGGCATTATACAGCATCTGCGGGGGCAGTGGCCCATGCTGATACGGCGGTGGTATATACTGCGGATATTGCCCGTGGCCGGGGGTGGGAAGCTCATCCCGAAATGCACTGCTCATAAAAGCAAAAAGCGAGTAGTTAAACTCGTGAGTTGGTAGTGGTGTGGTCCGAAGAAACCCCAGGCGGTCAGCTGATAAGGATGCGATAATGTACTGGGAACTTGTCTTGGCTTTGTTTGACTCGATATCTTTGGTCTATTTCTTGCATGCTCTCCTTTCTTTTTGCTCATTTGACGAAATACGCTCCATATCTTGAAATTACAATTGTATCTTTTCTTACTTGCTTTTCCCCTAAGTTAGCGACATCTATATACTCCATATATGTAGCTCTTATGGGTCGACAGAACCGGATATTACAGTTACAACAAGGAGGGTTCCTTTCCCAGAGAAGCAAGAGTGAAAGCGAAACAAAAGTCGACTTGTGTTGCCTTAAATATGATTGTAAATACTGTTGATTGATAAAAAAACCCCAAATGAACCCGCTAGGCTAGACCGATGCTCACTATACACTGACAAACTGCAAAAACCCAACATTTAACCCTAATTTGCGCCTCCAACTCCAAAAATGCTTGTAACAACCCAAACGCCTCTCTTGCAGCAAACCTTAAAGATTGCGAAGTGATGAATATAGCTGATTGATGGGCGAATTACCCATAGCAGGATCAATGATTTCCTCGCCCAAACTCGGCGTGAAGGAAAGCGCTGGGTGTTCACGCACTGTCCAGGGACAAAGCTCGTTGCAATTCTCCACGCTGATTGATGGTTCAGCCGGGTGGATTCTCTGGTTTCCCCAGGCTGAGTCAGGAGTGGAACTTGTGCCTCCGAGATTTCGCTCGGTCCAGAATGAATACGTCGCCTTGTTTGACTTCTCAATGTGGAAGGGCTGCTTCCGTGGGCATTTCAACGTCGTGTCACATGCACTGCAGACCGAGATGCGCTTGCACGATGAACAGAATGAGTCAAATAGGCGGCATATGGTGGTTTGGTAGACGCTTGACAGCCAGAGGTCAACTGATCGATGTGCACATCCGAATCGTGGTGTCATGAAATCTTCCTTTCCAACTTGACCCGGTTCGGTGGTGAGCTGATATTCCGTGCAAAGAATCAGCTGGTTGTTGTGGTCGAGTTCCGGGAACAGGGAAGTCTTCAGCTCCGTTGGACCATACTGCTCGGTGCATGTATGCCAACAATAACGTTCGTCGACGGCATTTCCAAATTCTGATTTCAAAGCTTGCAGCGTGATTTGTCGTGCGCGTACATGATCCACAAGATCAAGTTTATCCCGGAAGGTCAACTTCTTGCATGGACAGAGGTCGACAATTCCGGCCAACTCGCCAACATTGCACGTTCGCTGGTCTGCCTTTCGTCTCAACTCTTTCGGCGAGAAAGCGGCTCGAGGATGAAGCTTGAGACACTTGGAGCAAAGCTTCCAGCGGCTGTTCTCAAGTAGGTTGAGGAATGACCATCGTGGGGTGACGAAGTTGTGACCATTACGGTAATGATGGAAGAGCGGCGCAAAGTCTCGAGCGAACCGGAGGGACTTCGAGAGTAGAATTTCGCCGGAGATGGCGAACATGCGCTTGCAAGTCAATGCAAGGGCTGCCTCCGGCAGTACTGTCAAATGGGTAACGATTTCCAGTAATAGTTCAGTGGGTAATTCCATAAGATAGCAACGGCCGGAGCCATCTTCCTGCTTCTTCGACCGTTTTGGTGACCACGGTCTCATCTTGATTATGATTTTAACCTTCTCTGTGGCGCGAAAAAACCGATCGGACATGTTGGAAGGTAACTCTCTTATTAGGGTCATGGGGGTGAGACCAGCCTTTATCTGAAGCAAGAAGAGTCGAAAATGAGCACGGGTTTCACTGAAGTATCATATTGGAATCAAGCGTAGCGCGTGACAAAAGGCATCAGAAGAAAAGGAAAGATGGATCTTTTGACCTTGAAGTAGTCCTATGAATGATTGAATTGCACGAAAACGGACCATGGGACAAGGTCACAATAAGTTATCAGCATTACATATAAGGCTTATATGATTCTGGTCATTCTTTGTCCGATGATCCCTATGCATAACGCCGGATATCTCAACATCTTCTGCTTTTGTCTGCAGAGGCATTTCTCAGACAGACATAGCCATTGTCGGAAACCATGAGGATATCTCCTTGCATTTGATGCCGGAAGTTATCAAGGGCTTCCGGATACGGAAGCCCTTGTTGCCGCATTAAGCATCATGGCATCATCACTCCATTGTCACAACAGAACGCCGTGGCCTTCACTAGATAAGATGTATTGGGTGTATCAATCTAAGCTCAGGCCTAGTATGATATTGTCAACTGACTTAAAACAGTTCAGATGACTGACAGATGTCAGATGTCGATTGTATCATGTGACATTCATGTGATTGATGAATCAGGATGTGGTCACGTGGGATAAGTTACAGCCTCCGCCATTGCGATAAGAACCGCTTAGTCATGTCCAAATCGGGTAATGCCGAGGTCCCTTGAAGCGTTTTTTGCTTTTTATGTTCCAAGCCACTTTTTTTTACTCGAGAAACAAGCAGAAGGGTTCGTCATTCTTGAACATTTATCAGAACATTCATTTCGTTTTAGACTTGATTTCAGCGTTTTGCATCCACATCCTCATGCACCATCTCGTATCAACTCTGCTTGAATCTTTTCCCCTATCGGTTCTCTTATCAGGACTGATTGCTATGGGTTTGCTCTCATGGCTTCGTCCTAAGGGCCGCATATCATTCTATCACTCCAAGGATAACCAGTTGACATTGACTAAGGCTTCCGGCACTGCAGCCAAAGAACAGACCACGTTTGTTGATGTCTGTCGGTCTGCAACACCAGACACATGCAACTTGAACCCATTCTTGTTCAATGGACACCTGCAGACCTTTTGGACAGTCCTGAAACATGATAATGTTCCAGTCTACTACAAACGCAAAATGTTCGAGTCGGATAGTCCTGCATTCACGGGGCAGTATGCTATCGATTTCGTGGTTGCACCGTACGACATGCCCAAGGATCCGGAATTGACTGATCAAGCGAGGAGATATACCCAAGAGTCTGGAATGCCGCCACGCACCTCGTTCTTTACACAGGATGAGTTTGCTGATTTGCCTTCTGATGATACCAAGCCTATGCTTGTGGTTCTTCACGGCTTGAGTGGTGGCTCCCACGAAGTATACTTGCGCCATATTCTGGCACCGCTTGTGAAGGACGGGGCTTGGGAGGCATGTGTTGTCAACTCTAGAGGTTGTTCGCAGACCAAGATTAGTACTGGGGTGCTCTATAATGCCCGGGCTACTTGGGATGTTCGCCAGTCTGTGAAATGGATTAGGAGAAAGTTCCCCAATCGCCCTCTTTTCGGAATTGGTTTCTCGCTTGGAGCCAATATTCTCGCTAACGTATGTTTCCTCGTGGTAACTACTCAACTATTTACTGACAATCTTTTAGTACCTGGGAGAAGAGGGAGATGCCTGTCAATTGAAGGCAGCTGTCCTTTGTGCAAGCCCATGGAACTTGGACGTTAGCTCTTCATACTTGCAAAGTACCTGGATTGGCAAGGAGGTATACAGCAAAACGATGGGCGCCAGCATGAAAAGGCTCTTTGAACAGTGAGTGCCATTGCCCTGTTTATCCAATTGAAGCTAACACTGAATAACAGACATGTCGAGGCCATCTCCAAAAATCCTCGCATTGATGTTGACGCCGTGAGGAACAGTACTTACTTGCATGAATTCGACCGGTAAGCCTACCCTCGCTACACGGAGAATACAACTCTAACATGGAATCAACAGCGCCCTGCAATGCCCAAGCTGGGGCTATCCTACCGAGGGAGCGTATTACCGCGATGCCGCTTCCACTGATTCCATGCTTGCTATCCGTATCCCTTTCCTTAGTGTTCAAGCAGAGGATGACCCAGTAAGTCATGGAACCCTCACAAACACGAATTGCCACTAACAGCACTAGATCGCCTGTCGAGCTAGTCTACCCTTCCATGAGATGACCCAGACACCATATGGAGTCATGTTGACTACGTCTTGGGGTGGTCATTTGGGTTGGTTCGAGTTTGGAGGGTCAAGATGGTTTGTCAAGCCGGTATGTGATACGTCAAACAAAGTTTCTTGACGAACTCACACTAACCTCTGCTTAGGTGACAACCTTCTTGAACAAGATGGCTCGGGAAATCGATACTCAGATCCCTAGTATTGTCGAACACCCCGAGAAACTTCCTGGCAATATCGCCCATCACGACGACCCCAACAAAGATCCCGATATGGCACCTAAGCCCGAGTTTAACCCTATGCGACGCAAACTCGCCTTGCCTTTGGGACAGTAAGAGATAGTCCCTTCAACACTTTTCAACAATGTCGCTGCCACTACTCTGCTCAACTTTAGCGATGCGGCGTTCATGTACAACTGGGAACACCCCACAAGCGCGATTGCATGATGATGGTTCAATTCCGATAGACATAGATAAACTGGTGAAAACGCCGAACCCCGATATCTAAGTACATGAACAAAGTATATAGACAATACACCATTTCGGACTTTTTTTGGTTTCAAGCAAATGCAACGCTCTTCTTCTTTCCCTTGGTCGATTTTGAGACAGTCGTAGACTCCGCCTTGTCGGCGTTCTTGCCCTTCTTCTTGTTCCGGATTGAATCCTTGACGTTCTCAAGCTTGTTCTTCTTCTCTGCAATCCGGGCCTCGGTCTCCTTCTTCTTGGCTTCTCGAATTTCTTCTAATTGGCGGGCCTTCATCATCTTGGACTCGATTTGGCCTTCCTTTTCGGCATTTACCATTGCGAGGATGGTCATCATGCCCTCCTATAAGAGAATATTAGTATTAGGTCTGACAATTGCAATGGAAAGTAAGAGGAGTCAACATACCTGATCATCGACAAAGGTCTTGCCCTTCTTCTTGCCCTTGGGCTTGACAACCCCAACGGGCGTGATAGCGTTCAACTCAGGCAAATCCAGCTCCTTCTCTGTGTATACCCTCTTCTTCTTTTTCTTCAAGTTTTCTTGCATAGTCCGAGGCTTGGACTTCATTTCCTGTGGCGGGGGACGCTTGGGGGCATTTTTCTTGCTGACACGCGAGGCAGATCCTAGGGTAGGCTTAGAGCCCTTTGCGCCTCCGGAGGCTGCGCCCTTGTGAGCGGGCTTGGAAATAGGTGCCATTTGGTAGCGGTTGCGAAAGCAGACAATTGATTCGGTCGAAGTGGACTGAGGTGGGAGAGAACGTAGAGATTGACGACGTAGCAAGAAGAGAGTCGCAAAGACGTCAACGACTCAAATGCGAGACAGATAAACCCCGTAAAATGAAAGATATCAAGAAAATTCGACTGGGAAAAATAAGAGCAAAGAAGCGTCGCGCCGATGGTCCAATCCCCAAAGTCGCAAAAGAAATTTTTTGAAAAGGAAGGCGGTGAGTCCGGCCACTTCCACCACCAACCTCAGATCGAAACCTCCACCTTCGAGCTTGCCAGGAACCCTCGCTCAATTCCCTCCCCTGTCTCCGTTCTCAGGATTTGAATTGTACGGCTTTGAGTACCCTTACCTCCGCCAATATGACTATCAACCCTACCTTCCTGGCGCAGCGCACGCGCTCCTGTACGTTCCCTTCCCCGATCTGTTCCGCCGTCCACCCGGTGGGATCTTCAATGGGGTCTCTGCAGTCGAGAGAGGTGCTAATGATGTTTGTTTAGCTGTTAACTGGGGCGACGCCAAATACAGAGTCCTCAAGTCTTACCGCGAATGGCTCCGTGCGGTCAGTTTACCCAATCCCTGTACACCAACTCCCTTGATGCGCCTCTTTACACGCATTGATTGTGGATTTTATCGCTTGATCAATTAGCTTCATCGATTCGCTTTCTTGGCCTCAAATGCGATGATTTAACTGTGGAGTACTTGAGCTAACGTGGTATACCCAATATAGTCCCCCGAGATCCAGACCATGTACTCTCTCGGCATGCCCGTATCCGCCATCCGCACCAAGATCCGCCAGGAGTTCGAGAAGCACCGCTATGTCAGCCAAATCTCCGTTGTTGACGTCCTGCTCTACAAGAGCCACGCCGAGTTCCAGGTTAGTTCCACCATTCATACGTTGTGGGCTTATGACTTCGACACGGGGGTATATTAGAGCAAGAACGGCCTCAACCATACCTTCGCTATACCGTCTCATTTGATTGTCTACCGTCGCAGCCACCCCGCATTGCAAAATATAATACTGACGCATCATTTAACCCAGGAAACCCTTAACTACTGGAAGCAGCTTTCCCACGTTATGAAGTACTTCCGCCCAGAAGAGGACCCTGGCGCGCGGCTACCCCGCAATTTCGTCTCGGGTTTCCTCGAGGGCCGCAATTAAATCCTCTTTCTCTGCTTTTCTCTCTATTTCCTACCCCCTTTACCTTGTCTCTGGTCCACGGTGTGGCAGGGACTGTGCCGCCGATAGACATGATGTGTACATATTGTCTGAATAAGCCATTCCATTTCCTATGTCATTTATAAAGCTGTATACCTAGGTAGGTAAGTGCTAGCCTCGGTAGCTTACAGTATAATAGTAGTGAACCAGAGCATATACACATCACACGAAGAACAAGAACAAATGTCTATCTTCGAATATATCCAACTTCTCAAGCTATGTAACGAATCAAAAGCGAACGTCTCATGTTCTCATGTCTGAGATCAAATACTTTTCCCTCTACCCATAACGCCATGTATAATACACATATGCAACGATGGAAATCCATGGACATCCATGAATCTGGATTCCTCTACTCACGCCTCCATGCGGTTTCCACTCTCCTCGTTAAACTGATCACGAGCAGCTGTGAACTTCTCTGTTACTACATCGCACAGGTCCATCAGGTCATTGAAACCCTTCTCCAGAGCTTCGAGTGCGGTGGTGGAGTCTGAGTCGACCAGAGTTAGTACCTGTACTTTCCTTTCGAATAATATAAAGGAAGTAAAAACATACCGGTAGTCTGGATACGAACGTTCATCTTCGGGTCTGAGGGGTGGGGAATGGTATATCCGCAGAACTCGACAGCGGGGCTATATCCAAAGGTCAGTAATGATTCGGATTCCCTCTATATCATACGAAGTATGAGAATGGAGAATATCTGCGAGGTCATAGATATATATGGTCCCCGCAAACATCCCATCCACCTTCCAAGGTTGAAAACTCACTTCTTCATAATGGCATAGCGCAGCGCATTACCCATAGTGTGACCCTCGCCCTCGAACTGGAAGGAAGCAGCGGTCTCGGTGGCGCCGGGGAGCTGTAGGTAGAAAACCCAGTGAATTAGTATTCATTTCCAGAATGGTAGAATGGGACAATCCATATATGCGGATCCATCTATTCCCGGCGTTGATTGAATGGGTATGGGGACGTACCACGACAATCTGCTTCTCGTCCAGGGTGACTTCCTGGGGGACTTGCTCGACTTGTTGTTCGGCATCCATCATGGATTGGTCTTGGTCTTGGGAGTGGACTGAGCCGGGCATTTTGGGTGGTTTGCGGTTGGTTGGTTGCTTGTCTAGGGTGTGGAATTGGGAGTGTGTGGGCGGGAGGTGGTTGGTTTGCTGTATTGGGGATATGGCAACACAGAGGCTTGCTGTTATCGCTAAGATTTGGATTGGTAGTTTGGTCGCAATTTGAGGGCCGAATTTGCGCAATGCTGGATCTTCCAGTTGGAGGTATCGCGCAGAAAAAAAGGTGGGTTATCGATAGTCGGGTCTCACCGCCTGCTCTTTTTATCATCTATATGGCTTTTCTACAGTGTTTAGATGTTGACACAAGTACAGTAGAGATTATTGCTGCTTCTTTATATCTAGTAAAGTTGCTCTTCTAATGCCAGATTTGCTTTTTTTCTGTTTTAGGCTGAGAACCCCTAATATGATTACCTAGGTATCCGATGGCAGATGAGAAGCCCTATCTTAATAGCTTGGACTGGCGCAAAGGATAAGATCATTGTCCGAATCTGTGATCCTATAGGTAGGAAATCCTTGTCAAAACGGCTTGGCTCGAGCCTACTGTTGGTTTCACATACCTCTTATCCCGGCCCATCCTATAGAGTTAGGGTTTCGGCTAACCCCCAATATCTACATCAGATTTTACAGGTAACATGATCAACCAGCGGATGCGCTTATAAATAGGAAAAGGAAGCGCACGTTATATGTATAGAGGGCTCAGATGAATGAGTGTACGGAGTATAGGTGGTAGTTTGGCTAGGACTAGCTATCGTAGGTATTTGCTCAAGACAAGTGTAAAAGGCTAGACCGCTTAGAGCTCGTGATATATCCTGATCAGAATTTCAGGCTGTCAAAAGATATTTGTCAGACATGCACGAACCCCTGCGCCCTCGAACTCCAATGAAACAACTGTGGGCCGCTTTGATTCAAGTGGCAGACCACGCAAGTTAGTGTGTCGGCAGATTGGCTCCGTGCACTAGTGAGCAAACTGAGACCGTGCCATGTTTTCTTTTTCGGAGGGGTCTGGGAGATTGGTGTTGGATACTGCCCCTGTCGATATAAGCGCCCGCGGCGCCGTGTTTGACAACGGATGTGACTGAGATGTGATTAGAGATATCCATGGTACTGTGTACTGTAAGCTGTAGACTGTAGACGTAGACTGTACGGACAAAGAGAGAGACAAAGAAGTGGAATATCTCCAAACACACAGTGTCTCAGGAAAGTGATACGTGCTCCACTCAAGTATCAGGTACTTTGGGGGAGGCGCCACAGCTCATTGATCCCCCTCCTTGGGCCTCTGGAACATCGTACCTGGTACTTTTCCCCCTGGATCTCTCTCTTTTTATCCTCACCTTCATCTCGAGCACCTGGTAACTCTCCGGTGATCCCACGTTCCCAGCCGATGCTCTCCTTGCGTGTGACGGGGATTTGAATACTTCCGAAAACCTCATCATGTCGACCGCAGTGGCTTCCGTGGCTCTGTCCTCACCGCATCCGCACCGCAACCCGAGTCCACGAAACTTGCCGGCTCCCAGTGCTCCTTCAAATTCATCTCCCTCCCGGATGTCCACAAGTCCCCGAGATGGTTCCGCCGCAAAGGGCTCTCCGACCGAGAAGAAAGGTCCCGCATCTCCGTAAGTCCGGCCAAAACCCATTGCGAGCAACTGCTGATGCTGCCCAGATCCCAAGGAGGCCCCAGAATCACAGTGAAAAAGGAACCCGGATCGCCACCGCGCATGCAGAGTCGCCCTCGTCCCCGGAAATTGGATCTCTCGACAAGCCTTCCATCCTCCAGCGGTTTAACCGTGCGCCCCCCGGGAGGGCCGATGACAGCTCGCGATGGTGTGACGATGCAAGACGTAGGCCTGGCGTGTCTATCGCCCGGCTTTCAGACCCACGATCCCATCATGCGGGAGCAGCTGCAGCGCAGCCTCTCCGTGCGGGATCAACAGCGATCGATAATCGAGCAGCGCATGCAGAGATCGGCCAAGGATGATGGTCCGGACGGAGTAAAGCCATCGGAGTCGGGGCTCATGGGCATGCCTAAGGGAACTTCGAAGCGTCGACCTCCACCAGGCTTGTCCATTGTTCCTCCATCCGCCTCTCAGTTCGCAAACGAGCGGGTGATCCAATCCGCACCGCTACACCAGACTTTCACTGGGCGCTACCAGCCGCAGCCACTGACACGCCATGTGGTCAACCAGAGCCCGACTCTGGGCTCAACCTCGCACATGCATCAATTGCCAGCCACACAGACCAACAACCGTCTTCCTCCCCTCTCCGATGTCTTTGGATCGGATGCATTGGGTCGCGACCGGGATTCAGGTCCCGCCAATATTCACCTGAACGCATCTAGCACAAACTCCTCGCAATCTAACACCCTGGCACCGATGCCTTCTCCCGGTCTTCCTCCCAGCGTGTCCCACACCCCCAACCGACCCCGTGAGTACCGCTCCGCTGAGGAGGCCGTGCAGGAGATGTCCGGCGGACGGGAGGAATTGCTGCCACGCATCGTGCATTATGGAGGCCACCAGCCACCCACCCCACCATCGCCCCAGATCATCCACGCAGGTCCCAAGACTGCCCCAATGGCCCCGGAGCCTCCACCAGCCCCGGGTGCGCCCCCAGCACACGGCATGTACCTTCCCACAGATGTCGCAGGACGCCGACGCCCTCGAAGCGAGTACGAACGTGACAACGGAAGCCCGCCTCTAGGCAATGGCCCAGACTCTCAATACCGGCCAAACCCAGCTTCCACGGCTGGACCCCAGACATCATTCCCGGGACCGTTCGGCGCAGGAAGAGACTCGCCGGAGACACAGCGGAGAAAGAAAGATGAATTCCTGGGTCTCTGCGCTCGCGCCTGGGACCTTTTCCACTCGTGATACGACCTCGCTTTGTGCTAGTCCAAGCGAATGTCTTGCCAGAGGTCTGCCAGTCTCAAGCAATGATGGAACTTGCTTGGGCTTACTTGTCTGTGACCGACCATTAGGTCATGAGCAGATTCTCCACATACATCTGATGGATTAGCTGCATTATCAAGGTTGCTCAGTTCCTTAGAACTCCTGATCTACAAGTCCGGCATTCATTGGTCTACATGGCAAGTCCAAATACCAATTGTAATACTGGACACACGTGCATACACGCTACATCCCCGACTCATCCTGGACGATGGAGCCGGGGGATTCCCTATCATATTCAGAAATGATGCTTGCATTTCTTTCATGTCATCTATGCTACGACAGTATTCGCAGGGTCTACTACATGTACTCTCCTGTAAAATCTTTTGCTTTTTGCTTTGGCATTTTCTATTTGCTCTGGGCGTTGGGGGTTCTGTGATTCGCAATATACCTTTTGAATTTGCTTTTGGGGATAAAGCATTTTGGTAATGAGAGCTTCTCATAATTCATATATATCGATCTGTTTTGGTTGTCTTTTCTTCTTTTCTTCTTTTCTTCTTTGCAGATAATACCATTATCAGTGCTGGATTTGGTAATTTTAATGCATATTTCCTTTCATTGGACTGAGCTACTGTATACATGTCGAGTAGATGAAGAGTAGAACATGCACAATTCTGACATTCAAATCAATATAATAAAACACCCACCTAACTTCCCTACTCCAACCTCCTCCTCTTCCCCCCATTAGGCATACCCCCATCCTCCTCCCCAAATCCCCTCCGTTCCCAAGGCATCTCCTTCCTCTCCTTACTAGCCATCTTCTTCCTCCTCCGCTCAAGCGCTTTCCCTCTCTCCCGACTCCCCATCTCACCAAACTTCTTCTCGAGAACCTGCTTCTTCAAATCAGATTTCTTAAGATAATAAGGCGTAGCCTTCTTCCCCTCGCGAATCATCTGCTTCTCCCGCTTCTTATGCTCAGCCTGCACATCCGTCTCGCGCTTCTTATTCGCCGCAGCGCGCATCCTGTCCTGCGCAGACCGGATCTGCTGCTTGAGTACCTCCTTCTGCTCAGCGTTCTTCGTTTTGGAGAGTTGTTCTTTCAGCTCTTTCAATTCTGAGGCTCGGTACTCGTCTAGAAATGCGTAGGCTTTTCCGCCGGATGGGTGTTTGCCTGCGCCGCTGTGGCCCATGACTGCTGCGTCGAAGCGCGGGTCTCGGGCTTTGGGCGCTGGGGGTAGTTCCACTGCTGTTCGTCTGCGGGTTACGGCGCGTTTGGAGGATTGTTCCATCGGCGCGTGCTTGGAGGCTCGTTTCTTTTCTTTGGCTTCGCGTTCTTTTTCTTTTTTCGTAAGAGCGGACGCTTTGAGTTCGCGTGCTTCGCGGAGTTTGGTACGGATGTCGTCTAGAGTGCTTGTTGCATTTGTGGATTCTGGGTTTGAGGTTTGTCTGTCTTTGCGCTTGTTTTTGCTCATTGAGGCTTGAGCTTTGGCTAGGGCGCCGAAGGAGATGTTGGCTAGGCTGGATTTGAAGTCTTCGCCGTTGTCACCGTCGGAGTCTGAGTCTGAGGCTTCGTCTGATTCTTCGTTGTCGGAGGCGGAGCCTGAGAGGTTTCTGCCTTCGGCTTCGGAGTCATCTGACTGCTATTTACATTGTGAGTAGGGTGTTTGTGAAAGGGTATCATATATCATACCTCTGATTGGATGTCGTCGGAGTCGGGCTCAATGCCCTCCTGTGAAACATCGTCGTCGGAGCCCGAGGCCTCTGAGTAGACCTCCTCGTCATCAGGACGAGCACGCACTCTGCGATTCAGCATATCTGAAACAGCCATTTTGCTGGTTGATTGTAAACCTCGGGAGAAGACAAAGCGATCGACCCAAAAAAGAAAAATATTGCCGGTCAGGGCGGTGAGTGCGATAAGACTGATTAGATATTTTTCGCGATCCCCCGATGCGCGAGACAGACCGACACTCATTTGCATTTCGTTTAACCCCATGTCCCTGCGTTCGTTGCGGTCTAGAGACCTTTTGCATTTCACTCCTACACACTGGGCATTGTGCTACCCTCAGCCTTCACCCCAGGCCGCCAATCAGGTATGCAGATAGGGCGCCCAACAGGTGTACTGTTTCTCTGACATTGATTGTGAATAGTATTCTTCGAAACTGTCTCTCGATTTTAGATCTCGCTCGAATTTCTCTACCCTCCTCTCATCGCGTTCAAAATCATTCAAGCTGTCTCGCGCAAACAAAAAACCGAAGCGTGCGTCTGACGCCGCGGACTCCAATTACCTGTCCAACACCCCACAGTATGCGATTTCGGCATACAATGCAGTGAATATGGGCTCTGGATCATCACCAATGGGCCAGGGTGGTCTGCCACCATCCCCGTATAACTCCTGGGACCCTGCATCGTCAAGAAATATATATCCCAGTGTGGAGCATGCGGATTATCCTATACAAGCCAATCCCCCACTACACTGGGCTCCGTCGCCAGCCACGAGTTCGACAGGTGGCCAACGTCAAAATGCACAGAACAATTCGCCTCGCGCTCGTCAGTCTCGTGGCAACCGCAACCGCGTGCCGCATCTCCAACCCCCAATACCGTCAAGGCCAGACCAAGTCCCCGACAACCCGTTCAACGGTCTACCACAGAACATGATGGACATGAACAATTTCTTTGCCATGGCACAAAGCATGCCCTGGATGGGCCAGGGTCTCGACGGCGCAGCACCTCCCTTCTTCCCTCCTATGAATCCTGCGCTTTCTTACCAGAATGTTCGGCCGATGAGCACCATGGCTGGACTCCCACAACAACCGATCATACAACTACCCGACTCTCGAACAAAAAGATTGCCAAGCAGAGAATCGACACCACCTGTTAAAGTCCCGGCCCCGACACAGGCATACATGCAGCAATCATCACAGGAGCCGCAGCAGTCTTCTTCCAAGCGTCCACTCCTTATCATCCTCGATCTCAATGGCACTCTTATCTTCCGGAAGAAGCGCGTTTTCCCGCCGAAGTTTGCTAGACGCGCTGGTCTGGACCAATTTCTTGCCTCGCTGATCAAGAATTACTCCGTCATGATCTGGTCGAGTTCTCAACCGCCGACAGTGAATGCAGTCTGTGAGAAGCTATTCCCGGGCGCCATGCACGACAAAGTAGTCGCATTATGGGGGCGTGATAAATTTGGCCTCACCCAGCGCCAATACAACAACAAACTACAGGTCTACAAGCAACTCCACAAAGTATGGGAAACCCCCAGCATCCAGGGTGCATTCCCAGGCAACGAAAGTCTACGTGATGTCCCATCCGCCGCAGCTACTACTACTCGAAGAGCCATGGTGCAAAAGGCATCCGTCCAGCAAAAGGCAATGGTCGACACAAAGAACCTCCAACCCGGGCACAGATGGGACCAAACAAACACCATCTTGATCGACGACAGCAAGCTCAAAGCCCTCAGCGAGCCGTTCAACATCCTCGAGATCCCAGAGTTCACCAACGACCCCAAAATCGACGAGTCAACTCTCTTCGCAAAGATCCTCCACCGCCTCGACATCCTCTCCCACCATGACGACGTGAGCAAGGTCCTCCGCGTATGGAACGAGCGCGTGGACAAAAGCGAAGGCAGTATCCTCGATCTGGATCTTGGTCCAATGGAAGACCTCGATCTAGAAGATGGCGGAATGACTCTTCCCACTGAGCCTAGCGCCAGCACCAGCGCCAGTGCCAGTACCAGTACCGCTGCACCCCGCAACAAGAACCAGCCGCAGACACAGACAGAAGAGGAGAAACAAGAGCAAAAGGCTGCTACCCGGAAAGCAAAGAAGCAACGCCAGAAAGCTCGCAAGGCCCAGACACAGGCGAAGAAAGATCAAAAGGCTGCTGCTGAGGTTGCTGCCGAAATCGCCGACCTGGATATTGATCAGAATGCCGCTGCTGTTACTGCTACTACTGGTTCGAATGAAAAGCAACGCGCTCCTCGTCAGCACAAGGACAGTATCCGGCACCAGAGCAAGCAAAATGCCATGTTCCAAGACTTGCCGGATATTGTCGAAGGTGCTATGGACTCTGTTGCTCCAGAGACCTCTTCTACCTCTGCTTCTACTGCCACTGTTACGGCCGAGATGGGTTCAAGCGTTACTGAAGCTGGTGAGTCGAGATTACTCACTGAAACCGGAGTGGGTGATGCGGATGCGGATACTGCCACACATGGTTCTGAACCGGAGTATCAGCCTCGATCACCGTCGCCGGTTACTTCGGTTGCTTCGGAGAACTCTCTTCTTGATCGGCTTGAGGAGGGACTTGGGATGTCGAAGCGTTGAGTGGGTTGAGTTGTCTGTTTGATTATTCTGGCGAAGATGGAGGGAGAGGAGCTCATAGGTGCTGGGCTATGTTATTCATGTCTTTATTTTTATTTTTTGTCTCTTATGCACATATTTAAATAATATTTGCATAGCCATAATATACCCTGTGTCTACTGATATTTTCTATACTCTTGAAGTTGTTGGTTTTGATATATATCGCACAGCTGTGTAAACACTTAAGCAGGCTTGGTGATATTTGGAATTCACTAGCTTAGAGGCACATTTGGTATTATACCAGTCGCTAAGAAAGTTACTTGTCATTCTACTTGCTTCTATATTGTTCTTAGTTGTTGTATGTAAATGTTGTAGATGTTGGGAGCCCCACACCACGTGACCAGGCAAATCTTTCCTCCGAACGCCGAAGCGGCCGCCATCCGCACAAAATTCTCGCCAGCCCCTCTCCTTCCTTTCTTTTTTCCTCTTCTCATCATCCACCCCTTACATTCAAAATGGCGTTCGGAAAGCTTTACGGTCTGCCCGTACGTTACCTCCTCTCTTCTTGTTTAGCTCCTCTCTGACATTGTCTAGGACAACGGTCGCACCCTGGCCATTCTGGTCGCTGCTAAGCACAATGACCTCGACTTGGAGCTGGTCAAGACTGAGGCCAACTCTGCTGCCACCTTCAACAGTGGCGCTGAGTACCGCAAGATTAGCCCCGTTGGCAAGATCCCTGCCTTCGAGGGTGCCAACGGCTTCACTCTCTCCGAGGCCATCGCCATTGCCGTCTATGGTAAGTGAAGACTTTTCCCTCTGCACCAAAGCACCATAAGCACCTCCAAGTCATCATCTTTTATGATGAGTTCATATTATAGTTATCCCTGTCAGAACAATACTGTTGAGGAACACGCACTCTGAAAAAATTTGGCTACCCCGCTTTGGGAGAAAAAATTGGACGCCCCTTTTTTTCTTCTTTGACCACATTGTGCCATTGGCACACCTGATTGCTCCATTCATGGATCCACTCAGTTTCACAGCGACTTGACTAACATGTCCTGTTCATAGTCACCTCCCAGAACGAGAAGACCACTCTCCTCGGCAAGACCAAGCAGGACTATGCTTCTATCCTCCGCTGGCTCTCCTTCGCCAACGCCGAGGTTCTCCCCAAGCTCGGCGCTTGGTACCGCCCCCTGATGGGTCTCGATGGCTACAACAAGAAGGCCGTCGACGAGGCTGCCAAGAATGCCCTCAAGGCCCTCGCTGTCCTTGAGTCCCACCTCACCGCCAACACCTTCCTTGTTGGTGAGCGTATCACCCTGGCTGATATCTTCGCCGCTTCCCTCCTCACCCGCGCCTTCGCCACTGTCCTTGACAAGACCTTCCGCCAGGAGAACCCCGCCGTTACCCGGTGGTACAACACCATTGTCAACCAGGACTCTTTCAAGGCCGTCTTCCCCGAGCCCAAGTTCGCTGAGGAGTGCATCAAGTACACTCCCCCAAGAAGGAGGAGAAGCCCAAGGCTGCTGCCCCCGCTGCTGAGGAGAAGCCCGCCGCTGAGGCCCCCAAGCCCAAGCACCCCCTCGAGGCTCTCGGCAAGCCCACCCTCATCCTCGACGAGTGGAAGCGCGAGTTCTCCAACAACGACCCCCGCACTGAGGCCATGCCCTGGTTCTGGAAGAACTTCAAGGCCGATGAGTACTCCCTGTGGAAGGTCGACTACAAGTACAACAACGAGCTCAAGCTCACCTTCATGGCCAACAACCTGATCGGTGGCTTCCACGCCCGTCTTGAGGCTTCCCGCAAGTACCTCTTCGGTGCCCAGTCCGTCTACGGTGTCAACTACGACTGCATTGTCAACGGTGCCTTCATGGTCCGTGGCCAGGAGTGGGAGCCCGCTTTCCAGGTCGGCCCCGACTGGGAGGGTTACACCTACACCAAGCTCGATGCCTCCAACGAGGCTGACCGCAAGGTCATCGAGGACATGTGGGCTCAGGATGTCCCCGTCACCGTTGACGGCAAGACCCTTGAGTGGACCGACGGCCACGTCTTCAAATAAGCGTGTCACCCCTCTCATCTTTAAAATTTCATCCCCAAATACCCCGAATGACGTATGCGAGACCAACGCCGACGCATCCCGTCTATTCTCTTCTTTCCTCTGCCTGAAATCTTTTGGGATTCTAAAATACCTCCCCTTGACCTATGGTCTTACGTGTTTATGTTGACTCACGTTCACGTTTATGAATACGTTGCGATGCGGAATGATCCGACTCTTGCTCTGGATACCAGATGCTTGGTCGATGCTAGTTTAGCTCTAGCAATGAAGAACAGAGATAACTCTGATTTCTGTGCATATTTTCTCTATTTATTCAGTAAAAATACTCCGTAGTTTGATCAAGTAGAAGTTCATGAATTAGGTGATCCAGACTTGGTAGATTTTAACACGGTGTGTTTTGTGTCCCTGTTCCTTGCCTGAGACTGAGATGTTTCTTGATGCATTGTGTTAGCTGTTGTCAACCTGTATTACTCGTTATGTTATTGTCTGCCTGTCCAGGTGTGGTTGATACTGAGATGGCCCAATAATCCCTTTGGAGTTTCGAGTCTCCTTCGTCTGGCCTACCCTCGGGACTCGAATTATGCATTCGATTGCTTACTCCTTGTAGTCATATCATTAAATAATGGATTGAGTAAGTATAATGGCTTTCCTACCAGTATGTTGAAGGTGGTAGTTCGGTGCTCGGAGGAACTGATATTGCTAGGTCACATGACCCGCAAAAAACATGACACTCCGGAGTCCATCTATAACTCCAACACGGAAACCCCAGACCAATTGCCCACAAACCACCCATCATGGCGTGGCACAAACCCAACATCGCACAAGCGATGCAATCCCTCCGCCTAACAGCCCTCCCAAAACCAACCTCCCGCCTCTCCACCCTCCCCATCCACCAAACCCGCAGCCGCCGCAGCTATGCAACAGAAGCCGAAGCAACCAAGACACCAGCCCCAGCCGCGCAAGAAATCAACTTCGGAACCTTCACCCAAAAGCCCGCAAGGATCATCCCCGCCTCACCATCCTACTTCTCCGGCAGCCCCCGCTTCATCGACCACGTCCTGAAACTCGAAACCCTGCAAGCGAAATACGCTTCCCTGCCCACAGTAGTAGCAGGCGAAGCACCCCGCATGGCCTGGTTCAAACTCGCCCAGTTCCGCGACTACGTGGGCGAGCCGGTCCCCATGAAGAAATACAAATCCCTCGTCAAGATCCTGCAGCGCCTCAACCGCATCCAGCCAGACCTTGTTCCTGGCGAGGTTCGCGAAACGCTGAATTCCTTCCTGCGTCCTGGAAACCCGTACGCGGTGCAGAACGAGCCCCCGACTCTTGATGAGAATGGGCGTGCGCGCGGTAAAGGGAAGAGGAAGGAGTCTTCGGCTGTTGTGCAGCTTGTTGAGGGGGAGGGTGAAGTGTTGATTAATGGGAAGAGTCTTGTTGAGGCGTTTAAGCGGGTTCATGACCGTGAAAGTGCGCTTTGGGCGTTGAGGTGTACGCAGCGTCTTGATAAGTATAATGTTTGGGCTACTGTTCGTGGTGGTGGTGTTACTGGACAGGCGGAGGCTGTTACGTTGGCTATTGCTAGGGCTTTGATGGTTCATGAGCCGGGGTTGAAGGGTGTTTTGAGAAAGGGTATGTTTTTCTTCTTTCATTTTTACCCTCTCGCATTTTCTGGTATGGGTTTCTTTTGGGATATCAATTGCTAACTTGTTTTCTTTTCAGCTGGTGCTATCACTGTCGATGCCCGTCGCGTCGAGAGGAAGAAGCCTGGTCATGTCAAGGCCCGCAAGATGCCTACCTGGGTCAAGCGTTAAGGGACGGATCTTGCTCTTTTCTGTTTCCCTCTTGTACACCGAGCATTTTGGTCTTTTTTTCTTCCAGTTTCCTTTCCTTCTTGTTTCTACACTGTATTATTCCACCAGCCATGGCACCCCGAGTTCGCGACTTGTTTTATATCCTGTACTCTCAATGCATATGGGGTCGATTTCAAGGTTTATCGAATTGAATATGATGACCTACATTTCTTGGTTCAATGTAGTGGCACTAGACCGTGACTAACAGTGAACCATTTCTCCTTCCAAGCCAAACAATTTGAGAAGTGAGATTGACATCCAATAGTAACCAGACCAGAAAACTACTAGACGAGCAACAAGCCTCAGCGGGTCCGATCAATATCAGGCTCGATCTAAATCTTCATCTGCACCTTTCATCTCAAGACGAAGATCAGGCACAATAAGAATACAAATATACAAACTCGAATCGAACTCTCTTTCACATACATCAAATTGCAACCCCACTACAACCAAAGCCAAAGCCAAAGCAAAGTCCGAGAACTCGAATACACAGGTATCGTTTCCCCTTTGCACCGGCCTTTCCTTTTCCTTATCTTCCCATTCATTTTGTCCACGCCCAACGAAAGTCAGTCCAATACAGACATAAGATAAGATACCAGAAATAAGAAAAGGAGATAGAGAACAGAGAAAGGTAGGATAGAAATGAAACAACATAAAAAACCAGAACACCACCTCGAAAAAAACAGAAAGATGAGACATAGCGCTATGTACAACTCGTGAGATTCGTCATTTCAGGATATAGAGGAATAGATAGTGTAGGAGAGTGGGTAGGTGACGACACGAGGACCGAAGCATCACAGATACAAAGGCATAACAACAGTGAGGCGAGGGTATGTCATAGAGTAGACAGGGCAGCGAATAGCGACCCAACTCAAAATAGAAAGAGTCGATCTCTCTCTTTCTCTTTCTCTTTGCAGAAAGTACAGTCAGCCCTAGTTTTGGGCAGTGACAGATTGTCCAATATCACATCGGAAATGGTGCGACGCTAGCGAGCAATAGCCCACTCTGTGGCGCTTGGGACTTGATTTGCGAATAGTCTCCGATCGCTGCCCAGCCGTGTCTTGGCGGAAGGAGTATGCGATTTGTGATGCGATTTGTCTGCTTTTTTTTTCAAGGTTTTCTCTACTTTTTCTTTTTTCTTCCCACCTGCTGGGCTCATGGGCGAGGTGCCGGAGCTGTGGGATCCGGGAGTCCGGGTCTGCTATCCATCAGATCGAGGCATTGACCTAGGACTATATAGATGGACTTGGTTAGGGATGAAGTGGTGAAGGTGGTAGTGGTGCACTATACCGGATAAGATCTCTTCTTCCCAGATGCCCATTTGGTAGTCTACCAGACCGTGCTGTTCCAGTTGATCGCACAGTTGAATCAAGTCCTTTCCCATGGTCTCCAGACGATCTCGACGTAGTAAACTGATATGCGACGGATGCCCGGCGATCACATCCAAAACCAGATCCTTTTGCTTTTGACAGAATGCCAGCCAGCACAGGTTGAAGTCGTTCCAGAGCTTTAGGCGGTCGGAGTAATGAGTGCTGTCATCGCGGAGGAGCCCTAACATGTCACATAGTTAGTCTCCATGTCAGATTATGCGTGCATGACGCGTGCCTGCAGGGAAGCATGAAGGTCATAAAAGAGACATCTTCCCCCAAGGGTCTTGCCGGGGGTGCGACTTCTGTGCTACGGCCATAGTAAATGGCCGAAGGTCCCTTGTTCTTTTCTCGATCTTTTTACTTCACATAAAGGAAACACCAGTGGACAATCCTTACCTAGATCCCGTGCATTAGTCACAAGCCATTCAGAGATCTCCAGAAGCAATCCACCAGCCTCTACCAACCTTCCAGCTCGCGTATGGTCAAAAGTGCGGCGCAGGACTCGTTGGTATCGACCCACGGCCTCCTCCAGATTCGAAGGATCGGACTGCAGTGACAGCTCGGGTTCCAATCGGTTCATAGACTCGGACCCGATAGTGAAACCGGTGGGAAACTGGGTGGTTGGGCGCATGGGGCCCGGTTGGTTATAAGGCATCGTGTTGAGATACGGCGAGAGCACTGGGACCCCAGACCCTGCAGAATCTTCAAAATACTGTGGAACGGCAAATTGATTTAGTGCCTCAATCGCTGCAGACTGCCGTGTCTGGTACTGTGGAACATCCTCGAAGGGTCCTTGGGTTGGACCCTGCTGGTTGAAGTACAGCATGGAATCATAGAAGGCTTCTTGTCCTCGTCGTCTGGGAGCTCGCTGTGTTTGCTGTTGCTGCGCATAGTCCGGATACTGCAATTCGTTGGTCTGCAAGGAACCGTAGCTGCCTGTGTATCCGTAGTCGTAGGACATCGGGGCTTGCTCCGGTTGCGACATCCCCGTTGGGTCTCCACGTGGTTGTGTGGCCTCAAAACGATCGGTTGCACGGCGAGGTGCCCTGCGAGCATTTGACGACTCATGCTTCATTCGTTGATCGCCATCCATTGGGTTCCAGGATCGTTGATCCAGGGCCCAATGCTTGGGGGAGAGCGGCGGGCTCACGTAGGATGCCAGCTTGGATGGTTCTGAAAGAATCAGAAGAAATGTTGAAGGTCTTTTTCTTCTCTCTGTGTTGGGGAAAGTGTAGAATGGAACCAGATGTGATCTTGGTTCAAATAGACATTCAAATCTTGTCCTCTGACGCAGGCGCGACGTGATTTAAAAATAAACAGGTCACAGTAACAGTAACAGAACAGGAAACAGAAATAACAGGAATAGATCCAAGCTTAGGCACAAATTAGGTAGATATAGCGAAAAGCGAGTGGATCAAAGATCTAGAGCCGAGTATGGGATCAAGTCACAGTCCTCACGGGTCATGGTGTGGATAGATCGAAGATCTAGCCAGCAGTCAAGGAGAAGAAGCCAAGGGGGAAGAAACTAGGGCTTCATAGGGAACTATACCTCTCTCGGACTACGAAAATATACATCAGGATCGACGCCTAAACTCCATTCGGTCTCTAATCGGGAACCCGGTGTTCTGGTTCCTGGCTCCCGAATGTTTTGCGTTATAATAAGGGGGTTCAGCTGTCGAGGTCAGGTGGACCTTTCTTTGCTTTCTCTGGCGTGTAACCCTCTCTGGGGCTGATAGTGAAGACTTGAGACAGTCCCCTTGCGTGGGGGAAAAAGGGAAATCAA